ATTAATTAAAATAAAATGTGAAAAAATCGTAATATTTAATAAATTCGATAACTTAAAAAATATAAATGAATACATTTCTTATTTAATTAAACGATTAAAAAATATTATAAAAGCAATGTTATTAACCCGTAAAATATTTTATAATAAAGTAGCGAAATAATGGAATAATTAATTAAAATAAATGAAAAAGGAAATAATTAAGTTAAGGCGTAAATAGATTATATAACGTATAATTAAGTTATGGGACGTGCTTAAAGTTGCGAATATTAAATATAAAAAAATAATTAAGGTAATTAAAAAAAATAATTTTAAAAAAATAATAACGGAAGTTTTTAAAGATAATAATATTTTATAAAAAATAAAAAAATATATTAGGTTAAAAAATTAATAACTTAATGTTAACTATTAAATTTTATTTTTACGAAAAAACATTATAAAGGAATTTTAAATAAAAAATTATTAAGATAAAAACGTGTTATTAACGTAACGTTTTTTTTTAAATTTAATAATTAATTTATTAAATATCCTAATTAACTTAAATTTAAGTTAAGAACGGGAAAAAACTTTTTAAATATTAAAAAAAGTAAAGTGAAAAAAAATTAAAAATATTATTAAAGATATAAAACCTTGAAAAATATTTAAAAAAAATATATTTTTAGTTAGATTTTTAAAAGCATGCGAAGAATTATTATATTACGTTTTCTTCGTAATTATAATATAAAACTTTATGTTAAATTATTACTTTAAAACTTTTTAAAAAATATTAACGATAATGTTATTAAAATTAAATAAATCGAAAAAAAAAAAATCCTTTTTAAATGTATATAAGCTTATCGTATTATTTAGTATAATAAAAAAGATTATAAAAAAAATTATAATAATACGAATTACCGTTATAATGGAAAAGGAATATATTTTCCTTAAAAGATAAATGGGAAATAAAGTATATAAATTTATTAAAGTTATAATTTAAATAATTATTAAAGGCATTTATTTAATGTAAAAATATGGCGGTATTATATTATTATTTTAATTTAATATATTAAAACTTTTTAATAATGTAATATATTAAAAAATGATTTACGTTTTAAATTAAAAAAGTTATTTATTTTAAATAATTAAATAAGTAATAAACTTTATAGAAAAAAAGGAAGTTAAGTTTATATTTAATAAAAAAAATACGGAAAATTAACGCATTAAGGTTGAAATCTTTTAAGGATTATTTTTATTATTTATTTTATTTATTTTATATATTATTATTTTATATAAAAAATTGGAACGAGAAAATATATTAATAATAAGATTTACCGATAATATAAATTTATTAATAATAAATAAAAATTTTAATTGTAATTATTAAAGATTAAAAAAAATATATAAAATTTACGAAGTATGGGCGGTAAAATATAATATAACCTTCGTATTATAAAAAAATGAATTAATATATTTTATTAAAACTTATTAATTTATAAAAACCTTAATAAAGTTAGGTTAAATAATAATTAACCCCAAAGAAAGCGTTAAATTTTTTAAAGTATAATTAAATAAGAAATTAAAATGGTTTAAATATTTAAGAGTAATTAAGGTGAAGATGGAATGATAGCGGTACACCTTTTTAAAACTGGTGGTTTTAACCTAGGGTTATAACGTATTAAAAGTAAAAAAAATTTATATTAAAATAATAAAAAGCGTTATAATATACGGAGTTATAATATAACATATATTTAATAAAAGTAAATACGTAAAAAAAATAATAAAGAAATTTTATAATATTTAATTAATTTATTTTTAAGAAATAAATGGGATGTATAAAGTTATATTTATAGTTTAATTTGAATTAAAAATAAGGTACTTATTATTTAATTTATACTTAAATATAAAGTTAATAAAATTTAAAAATAAAATTAAGCATTTAAGATTTAATAAATTAATTAAAAAAATTAATAATAAAATCGTAAAATAAATTTTAAGGTAAAAATAACGATAACGATAATAAAGTAACGGCTTCCCTTTTCTATAAGTAAATTTTAAATATGATTATATAATTAAAAAGGAATGGTTAAAGGAATGGTTATTTAATTTAAATTTAAAAAATAATTTTATAATAAAATGAAAAGAATCTTAGGAGGTAGCGTAAAAAAATTATATTATATTAATTTCGTAAACCTTTCCGAAAGATATAATAATTAAAAAATAATATTATAATTTAAAAAAATACGAAACTTTGGTTTTATTATAAATTCGGACGGAAAAAATAAACCTTAAAACGTTTTTTTTTAAAAAAAATATTTTTAATATAAATATATTTAAATGTATTTACGGTAATAAAAAAAAAGAAACTATATATTATATAATTATGGAATGTTAATAATTTATAATGGAAAAAAAAATGTTATAAAAACGGATTACCCTTAATTAACTATTAATAAAAAGGGATTATTTATACGTTATAACCGAATTAAAAAAAATAAAAATAATTATAAAATAATTTTTAAAAAAAAACCTTTTTTTAATGTATAAAATTATATTATTATTTACGTTAAAAAAAAAAATATAATATAAATAAAAAAAAATTAAACAACCCATATATAATTAAAAATAAATAAGAAAAAATGAATATATTATTATTATAATAAAATTTATAAAAAATAATTAAAGTTAACATTAAAACTTAAATAAAAATAAACCTTAAAATTAATAAATAAATTTTTTAATTAAAAAAATATTATTAACTTTAAAAAAAGTATAATTATTAAAATAAATAATAAATTATTAAATATTAATATAATTATATTAAATTTACACCATTATTATTAATATTATTATAATTTTTTATTAAAAAGGAAAAAATATTTTTTTAAAATAATATAACCTTATATAATATTTAGTTTGAATATTAATAACTTTTTAAACTTTTTACGAAATTTATTTTTATATATTTTTTAATAAAAATACCTTGTATTTTTTAAAAATATATAATAATATAAAATGTTTATAAATAAATTTTAATTTTTAATTATTTAAATATAAATTAGTAATAATTAATTAATAATAAAACATATTTATATAAAAAAAAAATAAAAAAATAATTTACATTAATATATAAGTTTTAAGGATGGTATTATTAAAATAAACCTTATTATATTTAAACTTATTTAAAATAATAAGTTAAAGTATTTATTATATTAATTTTAAAAAATTTAAACGCTTTTTAATATTAAACCTTTACTTTTATAAAACCGGCTTTTAATTGGTGTATGGTTTTAGCGAGCTTAATTCGAAAGTAAATAAAATATTAATAAGTATCGTTAAAATCATTAGCTGAATTATACACGTACCTTTCAATTTCGGCGAAAAAAGGCTTTACGAAGTTTAAGATTTAAATAAAAACGAGGAAATCTTTTATTATATTAATGGTAATTTAATGAAAAAATTAATAAAAAATAATAAAATAATACCGGAATAATATTATATTATTTAAAAATTATTTATTTAAATATATTTATTTTTTATTTTTTTATAATGAAAATAAATTTCCATTAAAAACCGGAAATATTAATATAAATAATTTAATTTAATTTTATTAATAAAAACGTAATTTATAAACTTAAAATGAAAACATTTTATATAAAGAACCTTTAATTTAATAATATAAAAAAAATTTAAAATATTTATAATTAATTTTTTATTAATATTGTTAATAATATAATAAAAATCGGTTAATTTTAAAAATGAAAAAAGGAAATTATTCACGTTAAATTTATAACGTAAATTTTTTTTTATATAAGCTTTAATTAATAAGGGAACCTTTTTATATTAATAAAAAAAAATAACCATATAACCTTTTTTAAATTTAATGTTATAAAAAAATAATCATTATTATAATAAAAAAATTTATACCCGAATCGCGGGTATAACGTTAACGGAATAAAAAGAGTTTTATTTAAAAATAAAAATAATAACCATTACATAATAACCTTATATAATAACCCTATTTAAAACCTTTTCACTTTATATAAAAACACTTATATTATATATAATCCTTCCCTTTTTTTTTATCATTTTTATTAAAAAAATAAGTTCTTATAATTAAAAAAATAACAAACTATACCGTCGCGTAACGTAAACGATTAATAATCGGAACGGGTTAAGTTTTTTCCGGCGTACAATTTTTACCCGAAAAATTACTTTATTACAACATTACACGTTCTTTATATAATATATATTATATAATTATATAAAATAACGAATATTCGAAATAAAAAATAATAATAATAATAATAATAATATTATTAAAATATTAAAATAAAAAAGAAAAAATTAAAAAATAATTTACTTTTTAAATTAAAGAATATATTATTAAAAAGTTTTTTAAAAAAAAGAATTTTTATTAATTTTTATATAATTTCTTAAATAAGTAAAAATAATAATTTTAATTTAATTAATTAATTTAAATAATAACGTTAAAAAAATGTTTTTATAAATTTAAAAAGTTTTTTATTTATTAATAAAAAAAAAAAAAGTATATTATTAAAATTTATAAAATATTTCTTATAAAAGTTTTAATAATATTTAAAAATAATATTTTTCCGGATAATTACGGAAATATAATTTAATTTAAATAAAATATAAATAAATATTATTTTAAATAAATATATATAATAATTTAAAAAAAGATTTATAAACTATAAAAAATTATTTATAATAAAAAGAATAAATTTAAAATATAAGTTTAATTTATATAATAATTCTTTAAAAGTTTTAAGTTTTTAATCCTTTTTTTTTTTCAAAAGAAAATTATCTTAATTATTTAAGTTTAATTTATTATATTTAAAATTTAAGTTTTAACACTTTAAACGCTTATAAATATTTTATTAATTAATTTTATATATATATAATAACCTAGTGATTATTCTTAATAATTAATAAATTAATTATTTTAACCTAATAATCTCGTATTTTATATATGTTAAAGGTGTAACACCTATTGCTGTGTGATAATGTTTCCATCTGCTTGTCATTACCTTAAGTTCATTGATGCTTTTGATAAGTGGCAAATTAAGGGATTCCAAGTCAAGGTGGGTACACCATGTTAGGACATACAAGCGACTCATCGTACTAATGAGCCTTGTAGAATGGCGGTGCATTCCGACTGGATCATTCCCTTCCCGACACCTGTAAGTCACTTTTATAATCTTATGTCGACGATAGCTGCTAATGAAGTGTTAAGATACGGACTTTATCGCGTCCGGAGGCCCTGACGGTTACGCCTGGAACGTAATCCGCTCTGAAGCCGACGAACTCTTGTTCGAGCACGCAGGTAGCTGCGGTGCAAAGATATTCGAAATGACTAAGGCCACAAGTATCCACTTCGAAACCCTTCCTAGTACCAATGAAGCAGATCAAGCATCCCGGATGGATACTTCTACTCTAGGACGACCCCTATCGGCGACCTGGAGTCATCGGGATGGTTGTAATGGAACGATTTTCTTCGACTATCTAGTCGACGCCAGTGGAAGACAGGGAATCCTTAGCACTAAGTACCTGAAGAACCGCAAGTTCAACCAGGGACTCAAGAACGTAGCCAACTGGGGATATTGGACGGGCGGTGGTGTCTACGGTGTTGGAACTTACAAGGAGGGTTCGCCCTACTTCGAGGCTTTGACCGGTACGTTACCTGGTGAATACTAAACAAGCTTTTGGGTAGATTTATAATAGTATTAACAGACTCCAGCGGATGGTGTTGGTTCATCCCTTTAAACAACGGTACTCATTCGGTGGGTATCGTCCAGAACCAACAGATCGCTACAGCTAAGAAGCGATTGCTCGAATACCCTTCCACCAAGGATTTCTACCTGAGTTCTCTCGATCTCGTGCCCGGTATTAAGGGCCTCCTATCTAATGGAGAATTAATCTCCCAAGTTCACTCGGCTTCCGACTGGTCTTACAGCGCTTCGTCATATGCGCTTCCCTATGCTCGTATCGCTGGTGATGCTGGAAGCTTCATTGACCCTTTCTTTTCATCCGGTGTACATTTAGCCTTCCTTGGAGGACTTTCGGCAGCTGTGACCATTGCTGCCTCCATCCGTGGTGACTGCGACGAAGACACCGCCGCCACATGGCACACCAAGCGAATCTCGGAGAGTTATACTCGCTTCTTGCTGGTGGTCCTGAGTGCAACAAAGCAGATCCGTCACAGTAACGAACCGGTCATCCATGACTTTGACGAGGAGAGCTTTGAGAGAGCATATGATCTCTTTAGACCAGGTATGGATGGTAAAGGCAAAGGATTTACCATGATTTTCGCTAACGATTTGATATCCTAGTAATCCAAGGAACGGTCGATGTCGACGCCACTACCAAGACGAAGCTCACACAAGCAGAGATCTCCAAGACGGTGGAGTTCTGCTTCCGTTCCTTTGCCGACGTACCACAAGAGAAGAAGGATGCCCTGATGGAGAAGTTGAAGGGATACGGTCTAGGGGGTGGCTCCGACGATGAGAAGACCACCAAGACCATCGAAGAGGTTAAGGAAGCTCTCACACCAGAGGAATCCCAAATCCTCGACATTCTCCGAGGACGACGGATGGTGCGAGGAGAGGATTCGATCAATCTCGTTAACTTTACTCGAGATGTGATTGACGGACTAATTCCTAACATGGAGCGTGGAAAGCTCAGTCTGGTCAAGGCGTGTCCCGTCGCACCCAGCTCAGCGCAGCTATTCTCGGTCTCGTACCTCAGAGGTGGTCGACCGGACATCAGAACCCAACGGGGGGACAAGTCTTCTAAGGCTGGAGTTGATCAGTGTACATCCATGGATGGCAATGTGTAAAGGTCACTCTGGGATCGTACTCGGAGATTTGGGAAAGAGTTTGGTCTCTTTATTTTGTTTTTTCCTTGTTGGTCCAACCTGAAGATTGAGGTTTTGCTATGTTTTTTACGACGCTAATTTGTATGGCATTTTTCTGTTGAGCACGATGGCTGTCATTAGTTGCAGTGGCTTACTCTTTGTGGGATCGCGGTTCTAGATACTTCATTTTCCTTAATTGACTCCTGTTTACCTAAAACTAGGGGCCCATTGCTTCGAGCCTATGTTGTGACTTGCCAAAGACTCATAATGGCATAGAGGAGACTGAAGTATTGAGCGCCTAATTGACTGAATCACATGGTTGCGGCCGCGGTCGTACACTTTACTGATCGCTCGGTACCTACAAAATGGTGAGGTGCTCGCTGTTACTCGCTGTAGCTTACTGCATGTATGGTGGACTCCACCGTCATAAGCCCTATGATTTATAGCGCACCCCTGCCTAAGAGTGGGCCTTTGATTGGAGTCATCACAGGTGCTGTCAGCGGGTTGTTGGAGACCTTCACCCGGACCGGGGTAGAAATGGATATATCATACCTAGGTAGGTAGTGAAAGTATATGATGAACACTACCAACTACTACCTAGAAAAATCTATTTAAAGCATCATGTAATTGAGAGTTGTGCGAAAATATTAATTCCCATTAACCAGGAATATCATCCTTTGAACCACCAGGAGGCGCACTTACTGGCCCATCAACAAGCCTAATGACCGCCGACAGCCAAGTCTCATGGTCCTCAAGGAGTTCCGGATCGCCGCCCCACCGCAGCACGCTAGCAAGCCAGCGGTAGTCGCCCAGGCCGGGCGAGTACTCAGTTCCGTTAGGCAAAGTCGCGGTGACCCCCGTTCCGGAGGGCCAGTTGAACGTCGATGGCGACAGAAGCTCGGTGGAATTAGCAAGGATTCCATAAGACGGCAGCCCGAATACTTCCGTTGGTGGAGCCATTGTCGATGGCCGGTACTCATAAGTCTCAGTTGGATTGAACCCGTACAGGTCGGGCGTGATGCTGATGTTCGCCGGGACTAGGTCAATGCGGTACCCTCTTGTAAACTGGTCACGGCCGATGAGCGAGCGGTACGACAGCGACGAGTTCACTTCGAATAGACCCCTGTCAATCACCCAATCATCGGCGAATTTATATGATAGCGATGGCTGTACGTTGTCGGATGTGTTCACGATGTGGAAATAAGCAGCGTTGTACAGAGAAAAGGGGGCCCCTGAGTAAGGTACGCTGAACTCTTCATCACCGCTGGTCACTTTTATGAAGCCGCCGAAGACGGGCTGACGTTCGGGCTTCACGCCGGAGCTGGGAGGCAGGATTTTGAATGAGACGACAGCAGACTCTCCTGCTGCGACTTGTACTGTCGGCGACTCAAACTCCGCGGATCCGTAGATCGGAAGCTGGTTCTCTTGTGAGAAGATAGGGTTGTTAGGCGGGTTTGGTTCGGAGTAGGATGCCCCTTCGTGGGATAACGCGTATATCTTCGAAACATTGGAGTTGTTTTCAATGGTGATGTTTACTGCGCCATACTCAGTGCGAGAGTTGTCACCCACGAGAAGCTGCCCTGGGAGCACGCGACTTTGGTACGTTACGGCTTTGTAAACGTTCACCAACCCGGCCCCTTGCTGGAATGTTCCCGCTATCATTGTATCATTCCATACCCATGTGATTGGACTCGAAGTTGACTGTAAAAGTGATAGGATTTCCGCGACAGATAATTCGGGGAACTGGGATTTGACCAGAGCATAGCATCCGCTTATGAACGGAGTTGCCATGGAAGTGCCTGAAAGGATGGTGTAGTAGCCTTGATCTCCTAGTGGCCAGGTCGAAAGAATTTCGCCACCAGGTGCTGAAATTTGAGGTTTCAGGTCGTAGCTCAAGTAGATAGGTCCAAAGCTCGAGTAATAGTCCATCTTGCCACCGACGAATCGTGGAGGACTTGAATACGAAGAGTCGTTGAAATATAATTTGTACTGATCTGGCCCTGTTGTATTCATATTCGCAAGGATAACCTTGCTATCATTCGCGTTAACGGCTATGTATTGAACAGAACCGTCGCCGAAGAAACCTGTAGACGCCATCTCGTAGTCCACATTATAGGGGTTCGATGTATCTGCATGAAGTCCCATTATGAAAGGTGGATTAGATTTCGAGCAACAACTTCTCGCGCCGGTATAGCGACAACTATCAGTTATTGGAAAAGCGACGACAGTCGAGTTAAGTTTTCCTTGGTTCCCTAAAAGCGAAATTACCTCGTCCCAGTCGCTAGAGCCAGAGCATCCATTGTCGAGTAGGTAGATCCCTAAACCATCCGGAAATTCGATGGGCCACAACGATGCATAATGGATAGTATCACCTTGAGAGTCCGTGAGCGTGTAGACGAGAGGGAAGGTTTTGCTCGCGACCGAGCCGACTGATATTACAGCTGGGAGCTCAGCAGGCGTCGCGGTGCGATACAGCTGGGGATCATACTTGCTGCCAGATCCAGAATTTCCTTGGGCAACAATAACAGCAATACCTGCATCCACGAGTCGTGAGGCGACTTTCATCAATGGATCATCTCGATCTTGCCATGACTCTTGGATGCTCAGCGACATGCTTATGACATCTACGCCATCCACCTGCGCCCGAAGCATCGCCGCCATAACGCGGTCTGTCGTCTCTCCATTAGTGGAACAGTCAAACACTCTGTAGATGTACAATGTCGCTTCGGGCGCAACACCGGATATGTTCAATGTTCTGTTTCCATCCGAAAGTGGATTCATACCGACAATCCCTGATGCAAATATCAACTCAACTGATTTCAAAGAGAGATTAGTTCGTCGAATACTATACCGGCAACATGTGTTCCATGACCACCGCCATAACATGTAGCGAGGAAGTTATCGTCCTCGACGGCAGTTCCATTGTCGGCCAGCCAAGACCAGCCTCCGGCGATCTTGAATCCAGGGCCGACGCCGCCACCCAGTGCCGGATGACGATAATCGACGCCAGTATCAATAATACCTACCTTCACATCCTTGCCCTTGATTCCGAGTTGATGAAGTTTATCCACACCAGCCATTTCAAGGGTTGAGACGAGTTTTCCATCTGGTTTTGGTGATACTATAGGCATTTCAAGCGGATCTTCGTACGATCGGAGAGGATTCCCTGAAGTAGGCCAGTCACCTGGAATGCCTGGATCCGACAGGAACATCTCGTAGACAGGGCTCACCGATAAGACTCCGGGAATTCTGCCAAGTCTGGATGAAATGGCTTCCGAATCGCCATCTTCAGAGATTCGAATCGATAGGCCGTTGTACATGCCTGGTGAGCGATATTCATGCGCTATCGTGTAGTTGAGGGGTAGTAAGATTGCGTGTTTATGAAATTCTGCATGCTGATCGAAGTCCTCCGGACCGATGCTGCCTTCTGCTGTATTGTCGGCGAACTCAATGATCAAAGCCCCATCAACTAACCTTGGATCTCTAGTAGCAGACACAAAGGCGCAAAAAGCAGCGAAGATGGCGAATGGGAGCATATTCAATCTAAACCACCCTTTGGGAATCTATTCAAGTTCTATCATACAATGATCTAGCGGCTGCGGTATGAGAACGGCTTTATATTCGCAATACTACATACTTTAGGCTATACTCTGTATTGTAACCGAATCCGCCAAATTTTCCGTTTTCTACTTATGAAGCATCTCAATACAACTCGGGTTACGTCATCTTTAAGTAGTAGCTAGAGATAATTAAGCTCAATGGTTAATAATAAGGTCGTCGTACCTGGTTAGTTGTAGATGATTTACTAGGTATCTACATAGTAGTTCTCGATGAAGATAGCGCCAGGGGAATAAGTGTCTAGGTAGGTTAGTGAAGTTCCGCGATGTTCCGAAGACAACTTGCACAGAACCTATCTATATTTATAACAATTGATAATATCAACATAGCTGAGCATTCTTCATGGCAAGGTCGAAGAAAATAGTATATCTATTCACTTGACTATGCTCCTGGGAACAAACAACGAGTATAATACCAAGCGCTTAGGACTTGCGTAACATTGCTATTGTCTATATCGCATGAGCACCTGATTGTTTACAACAATTACTCAGTACACGAACAATGCAGTTGTTGTATGCACCGCCCTTCGAGGATATAAGGTGAGTATATTTCGACTCCAAAGCCGTTTCCTATCCCCCATCGCGAGATATCACACAAATAGATACCTGCCTATCCAACATACCTAGTTTTTACGAACAAAAAACTTATTTTTATTGACAATTAACCCATTTTACCTTTTTACCTCAAATAATTCAAAATGTGGGACCTCCAGTCTCTTGACGACTCCATCAGCGTCATCTCGGAATCGACTCTCTCTCCGAGAGACGCCTGGCCGTGCCTAGACAACCCGTCCGGTTTTATGGGGTACCGTACCGACCGGCAAACGACAGGAGCGTTTGCAGCCCAAGACATCGCTTTCAACATTGAGCGGATTGGGTCAATTACATACAACCACTACGAATGCGGCCCTTGTGGCAAGTGTGGTTGTATGACAGGTTGCAAATGTGGTTCCAAGCCGTGTACCACATACAAGTATGTACCTTGCGGCACATGCAGTTGCATACCGTGCAAGTGCATGCCCACAAGTGCTCCTTGTGCTCCCTGTGCTCCCCCTCCCAGATGCACCGGTGTCCCAGGTCCTTGTGCGGTGGCCACACCTTACCCACAACCGGCACCGACGTGGACGTGCCCGCCGCCAGTCTGGACATACCCAGTCTGCCCGCAGCCAGCACCGGTACTAGCATATCCGACATGCCCACCAGCACCGGTATCGGCATATCCGACATGCCCACCAGCACAAGTAACATGCATGACTTGTAGCTGTGCACCATGTCGTTGCGGAGGCGGTATGCCTCAACCTCCACACGGGCCACACCCGAGGTGTAGGGGCCCAGAGGCCACCGTGCCGAAGCCATGCCACGGGGTTCAGGCCCCGATTGTATGCAGGAGCAAGGCACCCCTTGCTACAATGGCAATGCCACGGCCCGAGGAGTATCCCTTAGGGGGCGCTAAGAGCAAATTGGCCAAGGAAGCGATCCCATTGAAATGGTCTGAGGATAGGCTGCCAATAGAACACAAGACTAAGGCGGCCCAACCTGCGACGGAGCGACCATTGCCTGAAGACCCCTTTCAAGGCAAATTGGTCAGTAAGACTTTAGATGCCACGATGGGGATGCCCTGGCCATCAGATATGCTCCCTGGGTCGCGGAAGCGAAAGGCCGCGGAGATTGAATTAGAGCTGTCTCAACCGCCTCCCTTGAAGCTCTTGGCCAAGCCGTTGGAGAAGACCCCACATGACGAAGAGGAACGTTCGCCGGTGCCGCCACCTAAGAAGGTCAAGGTTGCAGATGGCGGAAGTGGATGGGCGGCTCTTGACCTTCCACCCCCTACAAATTTCCTACTCGGTGGAAAGGGCGCAGGAAAGGACCGGGCGGCATCGGCATCGGCACCGGAGTTGTTTGCTACGACTACGAGCGCCGAAGAAGTCCGGGCGTCGCCTGCCGCTGCGCCAATCCCGGACCCATTCTACATGGCGGCGCCTACGGTTCCCAGATCGGTACCACCCCCTGCCGCGCCTAGGCCGAGTTTGATAGCCAATGCGGAGCTGCATGTTCAGAAAACGGTAGCTCCTCCTGCGCCGACGCTGACGATGGACCTGCCGGGACATGAGGCCCCTAGAAAGTCGCCGCCTAAAAGAACTTACAAGACGATGACTCTTGATGCCAACTTGGGCACAGACATCGGCTATGGGGGCTAGCGGTTATTAAAGCTAGAACTTCTAACTGTTAAGGCGGGGTTTCTTAGGTTTGTATAACGAAACGGTGTGGGGGCGTTTTGGGAGCTATATCAACATCTTTACTACTAACATAGGTAGGGGTACATGTTTATTGTTTACTAGTTAGGATAAAGACATCGTTATAAGAGTTTTTTTTGGGGGGGAAAATGCTTGTATGTGGCAGTGGATACGTACCTCCTACTTCTATGTCACAAGTGATTCAACTGAGATATTATGTAAAGTCCATGTGTTGATTTGAAGTGAAAGGGAAACCAAGTTTTTCAGATGAAGATAAGTTATATATATAACCATATATGAGAGCAACTGGAACGCCGAAAGAACGGTCCATTGCAACGCAAAGGTATCCCGAGGACTTGATGTTTATGTAGTATGCTCTGGATGTTACACGAACGTACGTAGGTAGTTTAGCAGGGGTTGGGTTCATCGCCTAATTTCTTTGTGTCTAACCACTAGTTCGCCACGATGATAGATATAGACATCATCTGCTTTCAAAATTACATGAAACCCCGATTATCAAAACCCGTGCCCTATCCCGTCTCAAGAGTCGGGGTGCGGAGGTATGATCCCGGTACCAGGATGAACAATTGCTCCGAGCATAGAATTGACGGGGCAATTCGAAGCAGCAAGATTGGAACTCTGATTGGTCAAGTATTAGCTGGCCTTTATCTCCTAACTCCTCCTAACCCCGTTAAACATATCATACACCCCCCAGAACCAAAAATAGGTAGATTGTCATGACGAGACATCTACAGAATGTTGGGGATAATGTTATCCTCAATAAGTCCTACGAAGATACGTAGGTAGTTACTACTGTATCTATTTGGTTCGCATGCATCGTTCGTATATAGGCTATTCCATAGGTATCAGGTACGCATACGCGAAGCCCAGTGATGCTCGAGTATAAAGTCTCCAGTTCCACACATGTTAACCCTCAATAGTTAACAATGAAGAGTTCGACCTATTTATTGCGAAAAATTATTTACAAAGACCAAGAAAATACCATAACGACGTAACTCTCGGAAATTATGTCGAATTTCTGCTATTTCGTGGACCTGTACTGGCACCAATTAACATTCAAAGCAAGGCCCCTCCCAGATGATATCCTACTTGGAGGACAGACAGCCATTGTGACGGGTTCGAATGTAGGCCTCGGCTTTGAGGCGGCTAAGGAGTTAGCATCACATGAACTTTCGAGGCTCATCTTGGCAGTGCGCGACCCGGCCAAGGGTGAAGCAGCCAAGGCAGAAATTGCACGAGTAGCGCCTAAGTGTGACATCCAAGTTTGGCAGTTGGATCAAGAGTCGTGGGGAAGCATGGTGGCGTTTGCAGAACGCGCACGCACCGAACTTGATCGCCTCGATATCACGCTACTGAATGCGGGGTTAAAGCGACTCGAGTACACACGGTCGCCGACGAACCATGAAGCTCATGTTCAGATAAACTACCTTGGCACAGCATTGCTCTCTTTGCTTCTCATAGAGCCGCTACGGCGTACAGCACGGCAGACGGGTAAACCTGGTCGGATAACCATCACGGCATCGAGCGTCGGGTTCAACGCGCCCGTCCGCGACGTTCTGAGCCCGCAAGGGGGAAGTTCCATCATCAACTGGCTTGACAACCCGGCCTCATTCGTACCCGGTGAAAGCCGCTACTGTCTTTCTAAATTGCTCGATATGTTTTGGACTCGAGCCCTAGCATCTCGCCTTGACGCTAGCGACGTCGTTGTTAACACCCTCAACCCGGGATATTGCCAAAGTGCTTTCCACCGCGTCGACCCGACGGCTGAGAAGGCTTCGAAATATTTCGCCTTTACCACCGTGGAAGGTGGCCGCCACTTGACCGATGCCGCCGTGCGCCACCCGGACAGCCATGGGGCATATCTGAGCGAACAGAGAATTCGATCGTATGAAACAGTGCTATGATTTCAAGTCCATTTAAGCTAACAAAACGGAGCAGGTTCTCTAAATTTATACTCTCAACCAAAGGCGAAGAAGTCCAGCAGAAGCTGTGGGACGAGACAATAGCGTTATTTCGAGAAGAATGCCCGGAGGCGCATATTGGGGAGTTCGCTAAGGGCAAGTCAAGTGTTGATCGATAGAGAGGCACAATGCCATGGTTAGTATGCACTTACATAGCATTTAACAACAACATTTAGCGATGAGTTATCAGCTAGTCTGTGCTTCTCCACGACTGACGGCACAAAAATGTAATTAGGAAACGGACCGAGGCAATTCTTAGAGCTTGGGCTAGAGAATTTTCATAATTGCAATAGAGAGAATGTTACTTTCTTAGTCTTATCTAGAACCATCACACTTGAGAGATAATAAGACATGTGGATTGATGATGACCGTGATGATGAGCTTCATATTTCCAATAGATCCGAGTTAGCCGGAGGCTCGAGAGTTCTAACATTGCAGTAAGGAGACGATGAAATTGACTAGGTCACTGCTGACGCTTGGTTTAGCGATAACAGAGGAAAAATATGCCAAAAAATCATCTGTGACTCAGATCCATCTCATCACTGGATTAACTTTCTCAGTCTGACTCAACCAAGACTCCGCGCAGAAACGACGAAAGACTTGTTACTCGAACGGCGCCAAGTATGTTGTAAAATGGTTGAGAGTCGATTCGATTGCTCTTCAATTCGCATCGGGGGCTGCCACACTTACCTAACATACGGTGAACTCACCGGAATAGTGAGATAGGGGGCTTGGAGTGATAAAACATGGGATGAAGTTAAGTTTAGTGGTTGGTAATGCTCAACTTGTGTTGATCAATGAAGACGATGCTGCAATAAAAAATGCGTAAAACTAGGCAGTGGAACACCAAATGGGAGACTTCGGTGGCCCCGACTTCAGTAATGAGTGCTGATCTCAACCTGCTGATGCAGGCAATCCAGATGTAATCCACGGCCAGAATGATCAGGTGAAGGATAAATAGCTGGGGCAATTCGATCCAGAGCGATCGAACAAGTCCATCATTTCTCTGTCTTGTCTACCGCTTTCGTTGCGTTACCTAGGTAGGTAGAGGATCCAGGCGCGCGGCATCGGTCGCGCACCAGTGAAATGAACGAACGTGGTCATAGTCCCAGCTGGAAGACCCAGATTGAAGGTGTATTGGCTTAACTCGATCTAGCAGGGAAAAATGATTGACAGTACTATTGGCATGAGTAGGAAAAAGAATGCGAGGAAATGATATTATGATAAGATTGACAGTGCTAATATATGAAAGTTGGAGAGGAGAGAAAAGATAGCAGAGAAGGAAAAGAGAGAAAAACATGGGAGGGTAATAATGATATGGTGATGGATGAAAAGGCAGGAACGTTGAATCAAAATATGATAGCGGCAAGAGGGACCAAGCTAGAGCTGCAATCACGGGCATTTTTTGTGTTATCAAACTCATGCGCCCCAACCCTTTCCCTTCCCCCCCTTCCATCTTTCCCACCCCTCGACCAAGTTCCGACCAATTCTAGGCCTGATTAGCCGGATCTGTTTATGCGTTTAGTTTTAATTACTATTATTACCTTGCTCAGGGTATTATTCATGTATTATTCGGTTAGGTTGGGTGGTGTTGTGATGGAGGAGCTGTCGAATCAGTGCTGATACGCGGAAACAACAACACACTTCATGTAGGTACCTGCCCTAATCACCTTGCTGCCCTCTTGTCCTCGAGCTCTCTCTTAATCTTCCCATCGTCCTCCCCGTCGACTTCCCTTCTTTCTCTTCCTTTCACAACTTTTCCCCCTCCCATTCATCTTACAATTGTTTATTGAAGCTACGTAAACCATTTAACGAGTTTAATTACTACTTTATTACGCAAATTTTCACTATCGCGTTACCCTGCCCCCTAAAAGTCCTGTAAGCAGCCCAACCCAAATATCATCTTTTCTCTACCCGTTCTTCTTTCGGTCGCATTCCGTTTCGCACCCGCGTTTTAAACCACGCTATCCATCTCAGACCTTCATCTTAAATTCTACATCGTGTTCTAACATTTGATGTAGAATTTGCCAAACTTAAGCCCAAAGACATAACGCATAATGCCACGTGAAGGAACGCGATCTGCCACCGGCAACTCCAAGCCGCGCGTTTTCCAGACCATTGACACTGCGCCTGCTATCAAGCGCAGCACTAAACCCAAGGCGAAGAAGTCGCCCACCGCCACCAAGCCTCCGGCTAAGGTAAAGGCCGCGAAGCCTACTGGTGTAACCAAGAAGACAGCTGCGCCTAAGAAGGAAGGAGTCGCAACAAAGGTATACTAATACTTCAACTTCATTTTAATATACCTAGTACATCACATTGCCTTCAATATCAACACCCTGTCGCCTGTCTTCCTGGGCTCTTTTTAAAGCAATTTTAAAATACAAATTTGCCCTATCCCCGGTTCCCTCTTCCGCCCCTCTTATGCGTCTTCCCTCCTCTTTGTGACCAGTGTAGCAAGCTGTCTTATGCCAGTATCACTACATAACACATGACAACCCTTATATTCTAACAAGAAGCACAGGTTAAGGCTGCTGTCAAGAAAGCAGAAGAGAAAGTAGAGAAGCCTGAAAAGGCTGAGAAGGCTGAGAAAGCTAAGAAGGTGACTTGTTTCTTGTGGCATGTTGTTGATTCCTTATGCTGACTCATTTTGTAGCCTGCCCCCAAGGCCAAAACTGCTGCCGCTGCTGCCAAATAGACATGATATCGTCTGTCCTCAGTCTAGGTCCTGATCGCCAAATGATTCAGGCCACAGTATTTATGGCATGAAATGATTATCTATCGCACCTTGCCACCTGGATGTACCGTAGTCTTTAAACGAAAGACTCTAGACCGATCATTCTCCTACGACATCGAAATCAAGGATGCCATCCATGCTGTCTCAATCCCCTCGCATTATGCTAGCATTATGGTCATTCCTGTCTTGCACTTATACCTTGAAGTTTTCTCCTGTTCCTCTAACGGACTAACCTCCTGAACACCTTATGGCTTCGAAGCTACGACTGGGCAAACGTAAGCAGTTGACTTTCTTAATTTACTGAGGGCCAAGGATCAAGAGCTGGTGTAACAACAAGGAGCTGGCAGCAGTACGGTTTATATCTAGGCTGGTGAAGGATGTTGGTTTGTCGACGTAGGAGGCTATCAGATGGGTTAGCTCTAGGCCATGCGCCATGGTATATGGCACATAGAGGTGAGATGGGGGCAACCTGCCATAGTCTCGACAGATCCTGAAGGATTCTCCGAATCTACGTAGTTAATCTAACTGAATTCGCCTGAACCTGTTTTAAATCACATGGTTCCCGTGCCTTGTTTTATAACAGTGAGACAAGACGCCAGATGATTACTTTATGATTGAAATATGCATATTCTTACGAAATGAAAAGGCAAGAAAAAGAGGTCATGGCTGATTTTACTCTTCACTTTCAGAGAAGCACGCATTCTGATTTTCCTCAGTATACGACACCCTATCAGAGGAGTCCGCTCTAAAAGCTCGATGTTCTAAAGCTAGCATCCAAGCCCCTATTTTTTCTTCGCTACCCACGGTCGTGATCCATCCGCGATATTACGATCTCCGAGACTATAAAGACCCGGACTGGACTTCGCACCGGCTAACCTACCCGAGCATCTATCTTTCGAAATCTACAACGATGGCGCAAGTCACATACGGCGAGCAACGAAGAACATAGTACTTTACTGGTCATTAAAACTGATGTGTTATTCAGAACGTAGAATTCATCAACCCCTAAAACTTCGGCTCATCGGAATGGCCTACTATTCCCCATACAACTTATCAACACTTCCTTTCCTCCCTTCCTTCCGTGTGCGAGCCACACAATATTATTTCCCCAAAAACGCCAAACCCGCCCTCCGATTTCTAGGAGCAAATTAGCGAGTGGTGGTATAAATGTCCACCCTGGGTGATTCCGAAGGTCTGCTTCTACGGATAATGAGGCCCAAGATAGATGAGGGTATAGTTCGTAATGGTTTTGTCATGAATTGTGAATGTAGAATTGATGCCTTGAGAGCCACTGCTTCAAATGCTGACCAATAGTCATATCCTGAAGGATGTACCTAATCCAACTTAATACAATGTCCGCCGTGGCTTAATAATGGTGGGATGGAAACGTTTAGTTAGACACTGGGGGTATTCGTCAACAATATAGCTTAATGTGCTGAATATCATGAGAGGGATGGAAGTTGGTGCTGTTGTTGCTGCTTCTTTCGTGCTTTCTCGGCCTCCTCTCTAACTCTCCAGCTCACCATCGGATCCCACTTCTCGCCTGACCGTTGTACTTCTCCGTGTTCGGTCGGAAATCGTGTTACCTGGCCAGCAGGGATCTTGATATTTTCCCAGTTCTTGTCTCCGTCGCGCTCATCTGTGATTTGGTTAATAGCTGACCTTAGAACCAGATTATCAACTCAACATACCAAGTTTTATAACTTGCATTTCTCTAACGCCACAGAACATCCCGTTTCGACCCTGTCGCTGCACTAACTGCCAATGGCCAGTATTGCCTTCACCCATCCATATCTCCTCTGTGAAGGTCTCGCCCTCTTGGACCGTGCGATGTGGGTTGTAAGTGGGCAGTGACATGAACCACGAGATTATAGCATGTGGGATGGTAAATAGTCGTTCCCATCTCTTGACCCAAGGTAGCCAAGAAAGCGTCTTTTCTGTGTATGCGACTCGTACGTATGGATTCATATATATCCCCAATTCCTCTTCTCCGGCTTTTCTAGATACCTGGGCTACGTCGGCATGGAAAAGGCAGCACTCGCAGGCTTCGAAGAAGACCTCTGGTTCGTAACGAAATCGGACTGGAGAGGTGACGTTATGTGGCCTCGCAGGATCGATGACATAACTGCTAATGTCCTGGAAATGGGAGCTCGGTAAGGATTCGTTCATATTTTGCACATGTTTCGCCTGCATCGCCACCATACCACTCCAGCAAGCCTGAACGGGAACGGCATCTTTCTGACCAACCATGGCAGCCCGCGATACACCCTCGCCGACATTGAGGAAGACCGGCCAAAAGGGCATCCCAGCAGAATAACCTTCGTAATCACGGGTGACATATAAATCGTAGAATTTGAGCGGTGTCCAGAAATCGACAGCGCATGCCGACAAATAATGCGCACGCCCATCTGACTCGACATTGGTGCTGAAAAGCAGGTGCGCTGCTTCAATCGGATGAAAAGTTACGTCATTAAGGAACAAGATCTTATCATATTGCTCCGTCCCTATGCTGGGGTCGAAGCGGTCGAGAGGTCGCAGGGCCCGATTCCGCATTTCAGACAAGTAGGCTAGACGCTTCACTCGGGAGGTGTCGTCGGGAAGTTTGACTGTTGGAAAGTCCGTGATAGGCACATGTGGATCGTTGACGATGGCATTTTTGCACCTGAGCTGTCGTCTCAAGCTTTCAAGGGCGGTGGCGCCTTCTGGACCGCTATCGTTCTCGTATATACTTAGAAAAACGTTGTCATGTCCTAGTAGGTGAATGAGTTCCAACAAGCTCTCGCCCCAGAAACCATTCGCTAGGTGACCTTCCTTATCATATAAGGAAACGCTAATAAAGATCTTCTCGTTATGGAGGTTTGCACATCCCGGTGCTCGAAGAGGTCCCTGACACCTGGATTCTAGATCTCGAAAATGTTGAGGGAGTCGTGTGTATGACGGAGCAAAAATCGGCGTTCCTATTAATAGTATGCATATTACCCAAATAGTATATTTGAGCAAAACGGCAGCAAAACTTGCCGGGTGTCTCTTAACCTTCCTTCGAATGGTTCTCAATCGAGATAGGCACCATAGAAGTAACCGGCCGTCCCACGTTTGCGTAGACCATGTCGAGTCTTCTGGTCGTCCGGTCTCTATATCCTTGCCTGCATCTTCTCCGAGGAGGGCGGTAGAAGAGGAAGCCGAGGCCTGAGCCTCATCATCGTCTAAAAGGCTTAACCGTTTCTCTTGTGTTGTAGAGCCAGGCATTGAATGCGATCGAGCATTAAATCGAAAGGACGAAACTAATTAGGTAGACCCAACTCCGGTCCGTGTGCATGTAGCACAACTAAGGCTATTGTCTTTATGCCAGCTTGACCGCTAAGTCAAAAGTCGTGACACCCGCCTGACTTGTCGATGGTGGAACGGGTGCTAGGGTGAACGCCAGCCAAAGATCGCCACAAAGACGATGCTGCAACCAAGTTTTGTTAAATGCCCAAAACCATGCTACTTCGTCCCCTATATAGCGGTCTACAATCCTACCGAAAAGACTGGTGATGCTTTCTGCTTTCCATATACGATCGTTCGAAAAGAATCGCGACTATGCGTACGAAGGATAGAGAGAAGATGTAGAAATTGTCGAATCGTGTGATTAAATGGCGCTGAAATAGGAGGAACGCGATCGGACTGGGAGTCGAGGTCGACGAATTCTGCGGGCACGCGTGAGATTATTACTAGGATCGGGCGTGCCTATGATTTCTTGCGCGATGATTGCGCCTAATCTCGTAGTTGGTGGAGGATATTAATCAACGGTCAAAAGAGGATATAACATCAAAGACGAACAAAGAATACTTTTGAATATTTCAATGCTACAGTTTATGGCAATACATGTAGATGTTCGAGGTTGTTGCTTGAATTAGGGAGTTCGGGATTAGAAGTGGAACAAGGAGAAGGAGAATCGTGCACGGGGACCATTACATTGGGACAGTCTAGGATAACCTAAAAAAAGGGCTGTGCCGCAGTTATTACGTAGTGGGGATGCTGAGGCTTTGCCGTCCAGGCCGTCCTTGGCGGGCGAGGTACAGTTGTAGCTGCAGCTCTAAACCCTACCGTTTTAGCCTTAGCCAGGGCGTTGGCATTTCAGCTTATGATTCGCGGGGCTCCATAAGGTCGGTTTGGAAGCTGCGTAAGTCCTGAGGTGGGACGAACCCTTACTTGCACTTACTACACTTATGACTCGGAAAGGTGACTGCTACCCTACGTATTAGATGCACAACTGTACGCTATTGCCGTACAGATCCGTATCTTGGGGTCCTGATTGCATCCACGGATAGGGCCAGAATGTTTGGGTGACGCCTAGATTGAGCTTCCGTGACTCTAATTGGCTGTCACATGTGCGTATATGCCATTGTGTTAGTTACTTGGATACTTGGTAGATAGGGTGTGCTTTAGCGGCATTCGAATTCATTGGTGTCGGCACTTCAAGCTTGGTTTGCGTTTTCAATGTCACCATACCTACTTATACATTAAACTTGTATATCTAGATCTTTAACAAGCGAGATCTAATGCATTACGTTCTTTACAGCATCAATAGATATCAGCTGATAATACACCAAGTTCACGGGAATGGGCTGTAGAATCTCAATGTGTAAGATACCTAGGTACCTAATTAGTAAAATCATTCAGCCCAACAGAGCTGTCAGCCACAAGACCCATCTGCTGCAAATAACTCCATTGGCCAATCATTAGCTTATATGCAAGTTTGCATCATACATCAATAGTTCTAAGGGAAACATTAAGTTGTTAAAATTTCTAAACCTTCCAACTCATTTTGCAAAATCTACACATAATACTAGATCATGGTTCAAAGTTTAGGTAAACACGTTGTTGGAAGTTGGAACAATTATACGACCCTAGTCATTAGTGTGGGGGTTATAGATGTACCGGGATATCTCATGAATTTAATTTTCCCTTAGAGTTGGAGATCCAAATCTTTTGATCAACATTGAAAACTTGGGAAGCTCAATCTGCTGCAACAACAGTTTCGGCAAATGGCTCTTTCAATATCTCTTTGACCGCTTAGCTTTCATATCGCAAGGCGTTCTCTATATTGATTTAGAGGTGCGGAAAGCATCGGGTCGGACGTCTCAACACCGCATAGAACGTCGGATCCTTCATAATTCCAGAAGGATTTTACGATTATTTCGCTACTTTAGCTTAGCACAGCCATGCCAATATGGAGAAAACTGCCTTGGCGATCACACCTCGCGACTATTTACCTATCAAAGGACCTGTTTATTTGCAATAGAACAATAGTACGCAGGCAGCAGTAATGTGTCCCAACGGATTATGGACTCTTTGCGGCGAGTTTCCGATTCCTCTCCGCAGAAAGCATGCCAATGCCGGAGTCCTCTTAATCGCCCTGTCCGATTCGGTCTCTAGTACTGAAAGAGAAGCTCATCGTCTTCTAAAGCTCGGGTCATAGGTGGGTTAGGGTTCTAAAGGGTGGGTCTTACCTTAAATAAGATCTGGGGAGGCTAAACGTGAGTAGGGCCTTAATGAAAGGAGCTATATTCCGAGCCGTAGTTATCCGAATCGTGTTTACATTAAGTACTGATGTCGACAAGCTATTATTCAATGCTTCAATCCATTCCGTCGACGAAAATTACCTAGGTAGCGTGTATTGAAACGATGCTGATGGACATAAACTCGTCTCCATACATATTCTCAACGAAGCACGTGACTGTACGCAGGTCAACTGGCTGAAATAATGTCCGAACCAGCATCCCGGATACCGATTATTTCCCTATATTGTCGAGAATCGGGTTGACCGCGACACAATACGACCGTGGTCCGTTACAACAGTGCTACAGAAATGATCACTAAAGCATTTCATCATATGTACCTACCTATGTATGTAGGGCTGATGTCGCCGTAGAGTACAGCCACAAAAATGGGGGCCGTTCGGTGAAAATGGTATCGCATTTCCCAAATCGGGTATGATACTGCTATCTCCTGCCTTGGTACAGCAAGAATCGCTGAAAATGTAACTCTGGCAGCCCACCTCAACTCATTGGTATAAATTCCACATCTGTTCTGCAGACCGCACAGTACAACCCTTTTCGTACGCAAAGCTTTGCATCAGTTTCATGCGTGCCAAACATGGTGGGTGTCCCCAGATCAAAACGATGCGAACGCTGCAAGCGCATCAAGATCAAGGTAAGACTACCTCTAGGAGCCATCCTGCTAGACTGGCAGGTTAGCTAAATATGACGATGTATAGTGTGATGAAACTTGGCCAACATGTACACCTTGTCTACGAGCCAAGACACTTTGCTCGGGCCCTCCGAACTTGACCAAATTCATCAACAATGGCCGTCACACTCCTGTCGCCGAAGAATCAAGCGAATCAGAGACCATGGTGCATTTTGTGACGTCGGGGAAAGGGGTTAAAAACTTGAAGAGTATCCGTCACCAAGGTTTACCGAATGGTGCTCAACTGGGTCATTTTCGTCTGTCCGCGGATGAACCGCGAAAAAACCTAACGACCGTAGCCGATCGTGTAGCTGCTCGTTTCGTCGGATACCTTACCCATGAGCGCGCTGCGTGGGATATGCTAGCTTCAGCCGGTTACAATAGACATCTTCCAGTCCGGTTAAGCGAGAGTGCTGCATTGCGGGACAGTGTAGCTCTTGTGTGCTCCACCTGGTCCAACTCCCGGCGAAACGTGCCACCAGACCAAATAGTTGACCCGAACCTTTATGGAAAGGCGTTGCGAAGCCTACAGCGCTCTCTCGAAGATCAGCAATTGCAGTTGCGCTGCGAAACTCTCGCCGCAGCGACTCTTCTAGAACGGGTTGAGCTTATATTCGATACCCATCGTCCCTATCAGCGGACACGCCATTCCTTTGGAATAAGTAGTCTCATGTCAGCTCGGGGACCACCAAATCCCAATGATGAACTAGACATGCATCTAGCACTTGAAAATCATGCGTCGATGGTGAGTGTTCCTATTCTTCCTCTAGTGGCTCAACTAAGGGTTGAAGATATCTCACTGGCTTGTTCATGGGGGCGAGAACTTCTATCTCACGCCAACGTGGGCGGAGGTAATTCAGCCAATGAAGTCAAAGCTAGAAAAGTCTGTCCCAGCTGAGCGGTTGCCTTGTTACACGCTAGGGTACTACTATGGCTTTTGGCCAGGCCTCGTTCACGAATTCCGGCGCATTACTAACCATCCTAATGAATCCTTAAAGCAAGAGCTAGCGATGAATTTCCGAGACCGCGTTGCAACCCTGGAGTCGAAAGTCATAGACATTGGCGAATCCATGATTGAGAGGGCTCTCCTTACAGGTCGAATGCTGGAGCAACTGGACCCTGAAACTCCTATCGGTAAGAAATTCTGTTTTGAAAGCATCGACTTGCTGTCGTCTGTTATATCATATGGGATGATTCGCACTGTCTTCAATCGATTGCAATCTCAGGTGAACGATTTACTAGGGGAGCTCGACTTTCTCCTAGAAGCAGACCACCGAAACACTTGCAGATTAACCTGGATGTGTATCCCGTTTATTTTAGGGTTAGGAATGGCACCCTCTATGATGTTCGCTACGTCGATATTCTTGGCGTATGAAGGAGCAAATGAAGTTGAAAAGGAGTACCTCCTAGACGTTATTATGAAAATGGCCGCGTATAACGGGAGGTATCCTGAGGACAGGTCGGCAATAGAGCATATCATGTCGAACACAGCAAAAGCTCTGACAGGCCGCGATGTTTTCGCTCCATCTATTCAAGCCGCCGCAAAGGGCGAAGAGTGAGATGAGGTGGCAATTAGACGATTCAAATATTGTGAACAAATGCATTGCCAAGAAAATTCCCGAGGCACAGTGATTAATCAGGGAAGCAACGGCTGTATCTAGTGTGTGTACGCTTAAGGGGGTATTGTATTGTCCCCTCTCATCCTCTTATTGTGAGCCACTTAACGGATGGTTCAGGCCACTACGTCGGTCGATAGTCACTACACACGCCCAAGAATCCGGATAATCCAGTCTGTTCATTGGTCCGAAGACATCCATATGACATTGGACATGATAATTAACTCTAGTGGTTTCATTAGCCTCTCTTCAGACTTCTCGGAAATTTTAGGATGATAAAACTAGGTACCTATCTAAGAACTCCTAAGTAAGAAAGTTCAATTATTAATAGTAGTTCTTAATACCTGCAGTCGATAACAATGGACCTTTATTCGTTCAGCCAATCAGTCCTGATCCATCCTCATCACTCCCCTTAACGTATTCTCGCGTAACAGTTCTGGAGGGTTCTTGCGAGATGATCCCATGAGGGCCTTGATATGGCTTATATCAAGCGTAAATATCCGTCGCGACTGAGGTCTCAACTTTTTGGACCTAGACTTGCCTATTCCCAAAATTGTCGGCAGACGGGGCACCCAAAATCTTAAGTCAATTACAAACTTGAGATAATACACCTGTTGTAAGATTACAGGTAGGGACTTGCGCATACCGACTATCAAGGACTCCTGAGGTTGCGAAAGAAAAATCTAAAACTCTATAATACTAAACAATTTTCTAGAAACTGCCTAGGTAAAATATATAATTGCCGACAACGCAGCGTTGAATGAGAAAATCAGGTTAACAGTACGTGATACACCTTAGCTTCAGCATAACATTCCACAGATAACCCTCTCGCCCTTTACCCTCAAAGGCCGTAGAAAGCGACAGGAACAGCCGCAATAGCCACGACCATACCAAGCATTGCATTGTTCGCCTCTCCAGCACCCGTCTTCGTAGAACCGGAAGAGGAGGACGAGGAGCCGGAGCCTGAATCAGAGCTTGAGTCAGAGCTAGCGGTGCTTGAGGCGGAAGAGGCTGTGGGAGTGGAAGTACCAGAACTAGTAGCGGTCGACGAGGACGAGGACGAAGTACCGGAGAGCGCGTCCTGAACCTTCTGGTCGTAGTCAGGATCCGTAGTCTCGACCTTGGCCTTGCAGGAGCTGGTGCTGCCGTCGCCACAGAGACCGATTCCCTTGCAGCTGCTGTTGCTGTCCATGACGCAGCATACGGTGTCGTTGTCGCCGCTGACGATGGCGAAGCCGGGGCAGCATTTGTTGTTTGCGATTAGCTGCTGGCCTGAGGGGCATGGGCCATTGATGGACTGGATAATTGGTGTGTTAGTTCCGCAGTTGAGTTGTATTGATATATTCTTCTTCTGCTATTATAATTACTTACGGCAGCTTGGGCGATGGACGCCCCGAGAGCGAGGAAGACGGTTCTTGTAATAGCAACCATTCTGAATTGAATTGGAGACAGATAAATGGTGATATTAATTAATCGATGAGAATGAAGGTGAAGTGTGTGGTCGAATTATGGTATTTTAATACTGGTCAAAGCCGGTGTTAAGCTAATGCGGTTGTGTGAGTCTGGTCTATTTACATCATGATCAGAGGATGGACCTCATTATATACTCATTCTCTACATCAAATCTATGGTTTCGATTATGAAGGCTCGCTTATACGAGTTCCTGATACGACTAGAAGCTCACGCTCATTCTTACCTTAGATAGGGCGAATTGTCGCATGAGCTGCGGTGCAGGAGCGTCTCATTAATTTGCTCCTGAAAATAGCTTCCAACAGATGTTCAGATTTTCCTACATGCCTAGGTCGGCTATACCCAGATGATAGGAGGCCTGGTCTATCGACCGCTTTCGATTTCCCGAAAAGGAAAGAATATCAGCATTGATGTGGACGCTGACCATGCGGTAAGTGGCGGTGCGGCTGAATCAACGACGGCTGTATGACAGATCTGGAGGCGGATATGCTACTGATGATTAGGCTGGAGCCATATTGAAACGTTTCTTATTTTATTAAATTAGCTTGCTACCTACGCGTGGAAATGATGTTAACCCATTTAGAGGCATGTTGCGACTGTAATCAGGCAGGCGGTATAGGTGTGGTCTGCGCGTGCTGGAATTCCTTTTCTCTTTAAACTTTTCATTGGTCCCTCGGATTATCTCTCGAAGGAGTGTGTTCGTATTTGTGTTACGATTCAAAATTCTAGTAGAGTTCTGGAGCTTTTCTTGATATAATGCATTATATACCTACCTACGCATGCACCCCTGATCAAGCTGCGATGTATGCATTTCGAAATTTGGAAAACATGCGAATGTGAAATTAATTGGGTATATTTAAAAACTCAGTCTTGGTCGAAGCACTTACACTTAAACTCGGTAGGAAATTCTAATAATACATTTAACATGTTCGTGATAGATCTGTCTAGGTTACCTTTTAGTACCCTTACATCGTAAAATAACTTCGTATTGAACGCGATTGGTCAGTCTCCTTGAATCGCTCAAAAGATAGAAGCATCTTGTTGTTATCCTCATGATCTTCGCCCACCCCCAGATTCTTGGCCTTGCAGGAGTCAAGGGTTAAGTGGAACTTCTTGTTCTTGGCTATTGTATTTAAACGACATCCATGGATGCGGCTGATTAATCTTGCTAGGTTAGTAGTCTGGCCCTTATACAAGTACACCTTCTGGATACAAATCTTATAAGGCTATGTGCGATTATATTGAATAGTTAGTATGCAAAATTTCTTTAGATCCATCGGTGAGAATACTTGTATAGAGAATTGAGGCCTCTGAGGAATCATGAAGACATGGATGAGAAGATAGGTTAATCATTCCAACAATGTTTCTTTCCGCGAGAGAACTAAGCGAAAAATGACACATAACTCTGAAAGACCCATCCCAGGGTCTGCTGATCGGCTAGGTAGCCACTGCGCCGCCCGCTACTGGGTATTTCTTTGCCGCTCTTCCAAGAACTCGAGACAATTGCAATTGCAGGGGAATTGTTCGAGCTGGAATGACGCAGTGTCTGTACCTAATCATCAACCGACCACATTATTTTCTGAAGATCGATGATAATTGCAGTTCATAGATATCTGTGGTTTTATTTTACTATTTAGGCTACAGATGGACCGGCTATTTGTATGGATAGGTACGTGACCGTCGTTATAAAGCGACGGTACGGTTGGCATTAGCCACTCATCTGAACAATCTCCATTCCAACATTTTCTAAACTGTCTATTACAAGTAGCGTGTGTGAATGGTCATGTATTAAATGAAATATCTACTCTATAAGGGGAACCTAGCAGCATCACCAATTCTAGTACGAAATAGCCCCTGGATGTAAGTACTATTAAGGCTCAGCCCTACAAATCCGCTCGGTCGAGTTATACATGTGATGGGTCAGGTTTATCTCATATTCTAGTAAGTATAATTAGCAGCTCTAGAACTCGTCATGGGTGTATCTTCGGAGATAAACTATACCTTAGGAGTTAGTACATACCTATATGATAGTTTTCCTCCCAAGTGTTTCGCTATCGTGAAGCCTTTGCTGTGTCTTTCCATACGATCTTCGCTAACCGGATTTAAACTTATTCGAGATCTCCCAGATATCACCAAAGGATTTTTTAAAGCATAATCCACAACATTTCAATTCTAAACAAGCATATATCCTATTGTACGGCGCACGATTCTTCTTCAGCTTACTAATCTTGATAAAATGCTACATGCCACCGGACTGCAGATTCTGAGTTGATTACCAACCGTTTAAAGGAACTTAGAGGTACGTTCTGGAATGTGAAAAGGCTATATGATGATCTTAGTCGCACGTTGACACGCATGATAGGCGGGTGAAAGATTGTTGGTTCGAAATTTGCTGAGCCACAGGTGTATATGCCGCTTCCCACTTACAGGGAGTGAACAAGAATTATAATTCTCCGCCATTTGTAAGAATCACAACTTCCAATCAAAATTTAATCCTCTGCATTGTCTAAAATCCTATTCGCTCTCTAACTCTGAATTGCCTCCATGCCATCAAGGATTGCGTGAGACTCTGTCGGCGTTGGATCCTAGACACTCCTATTGGTTCGGCGGAATCTATGTTGAACTGTTGTGGCCATGGTGGTTCTTTTGTAAAGTCCCTTTTCACTCTATTAGAATAGCTACTATGAATATATTCGTTTATTTTATGGATCATCACCATACCTCTAACCGAATAGAAGCGGGCTTCCCCCAGATTATATCACACCCTTAATAGGCTCGACAAACGTTACTCTATGAGTTATTCAAACATCTCGTTATTCGTCATCGGAGACACCTAGTTCTTTATTTATTTCACCAACACATGATCGGGTTGCGGTAATATCCTGTTTGCGTCCTGCCAGCCCACATAACAGATCATGTCAACGCCAACGTCACAGTCATCGGATCGTGGTCGCCGCACGGTCGAATCCATTGTACAAATTCCGCAACTCAGTTGCGAGTTGTGCCAGTAAGTTGACGAAACGTGCTACGAGATGCCATGGTTACTAACAATTTGTATCATAGGAAGCGCAAGGTCAAATGCGACAAGTCAAACCCATGCTCTAGTTGTGTAAAGTCAGATACGACATGCGTACCTATCTATCGTAAACGACTTCCTCGTGGTCGGCACGTCCATCATCGGCCCTCTGCAATAACGAATGAAGAAGATGAACTGAGGGATCGGATCCTTCGGCTAGAGGCTTTAGTTGCAAACCTGAGTGGCGTGTCGGATTCATCAGCGACCAATACTCCTTCGAACCTTGAGTTGGCAATGCCATCTGGTAGCTCCGAAGCCGCCGATGCTATGGGCGTTGGGAAGCAATTTGGGCGACAGTTTTGGGCTCACATTGCAGAAGAGGTAGTTGATATCCCACCTAAATGCCACCATTCGGACTACCTAACATTGAGTAGATTGGCGGCCTTCGTAACATCGTCGGTACTCCTTCTGATGATGGGGAGAACGTATGGTCCAATACTAAGGCAGCCTCAAGCCCTAGACTGCGATTACTAGGAATTGGCTCCACTCGGGGCGGTAGCCTTGGGGAAAATGAGAGCCTCTTAACTGATACCAAGCTGGCAGCCCAGCTTTGCCAGGTCTATCTGCGGCAGGTAGACCCTATCGTAAGGCTCCTGCATCGACCTTCACTAAGCAAGTTCATGTTAGACGGCCAACGCTACTTAAGCTACGATCTTAATCACATATCCGCAATATGCCTAAGCTCTGCTGTCTGTTATTCGGCTCTAGCTAGTATGACAGATGAACAATGCCAAACCTTGCTTAATATGGATAGGTCCATATTAATAGCTGAATATAGAGCAGCATGCGAAACTGCACTAGAAAGAGCGGATTTGATCAGCACAGACGATGTCACCATTCTACAAGCCTTTGTATTATACCTTTTCGCTAGACGGACCGAGGATTCCAGTCGCGTTATCTGGACCATGTTCGCCATCGCTGTGCGGATCGCAAAAGCCCTTTTACTCCACTTAGAAAAGATGGAGTCTTTTTTCAACCGACAGGTTAGACAGCGATTGTGGAATACTATTTGTCTCTTAGATCTCCAAACCTCATTTGGGCAAATTGCCGAGCCTCTCGTTGGACTCGGTGGATTCCCGTCGATTCTGCCATTGAATATTAACGATTGCGATTTTGATGTCGACACCGTCGGAGAGCTCATGGGTAGAGATGGGTTGACTGATATGACCTTTGCTCTTGTTCTTTACAGCGCGGAGCGGACCGGACGGCTTCTAAACTTCCACGGTAAAGAATTGGTCGACTTCAATTGGGAACAAAGAGAAGAACACGTATCGCGCTTTGAACAAAGTGTGCTTAACCTTTTAAATTTCTGCGACCCAGAATCAAGTCCGTACGCTTGGTCTACCTTTCATGGGGCGCAGATGAGGATAGTAGCCATGCGTCTTACAGCTTTAAGACCATTACATCGTCTAAGCAATAGACCGACTCCACAGGCTCAAAATATCAATCTACTTAATAGCGCCTTAGAAGTTTTAAATAAGGTGCACCTTATCAGAACAGATCCAAGGGGAGAGGGATTTAGATGGTATGAAGTAGTTCAGTGGCATACTCTTGCGATTGCTATTATAGAATGCTTCTGTGCTGATACCGACACCCTTCGTATCTCTTGGCCATTGGTGGAGGCGTCATACGAGGACTACCGGACCGACCTTAAAAATTACCACCAGGGGATGCTAAGGAAACCATTAGAAATGCTCATGAACCGGGTCCAGACAAGAGTTAATTATCTTCTAAGTGGCTCAAATCCTTCTGGCCAATTTTCACAGTCTGAGGCTGGATCATTGGCCCCCTTTGATACAGGCCAGCCGACTTATTACCCTTATTCACAACCTTTAAACGCCGCGGATGAGATGGAACCATCTGAATTGACGGGCCTACCTCCTACCCAACAACTGGCCCAACAGCATATGAACACCCTCAATTCCAATATCGGCGCAGTCCATCCGCCCATATCTTACGGGAACAATATGTTCATGCCATCTTCGGTACCTCCGTGGTTTTTGTCACAATTACCATATAACCCAAGTCCCCAAATGGGTGGTCTGTTTGAAGACATCAGTGGCGTCTCTAGTAATATGTCAAGCAGGATATGGGAAGAGTTCGTATCCAAGTTACCATTCGAGGATTCCCTCCAGGTTCCTACGTGATGGAGTTAAGTTAGAAATCTAATGTAAAGAGCTTAGAATAACCGATAGTCACAGTTGGTTGCATCTCCTTCGAAAAACTTGTCTATAAATAACAGCGTTATAGATGTCTTGACCAAAAGCGTCGCACGTCTGCTGGCCATGGAGGGCCAAGACCGTGTGAATTGAAAGGTTGTTGTATAGTGAGGCGCTTTTCTTTAGTGGCGGAGCTCCTCGAGTTATAGCGGTCAGCCACTAATTTTAGCCGAAGTGCCACTATGGATTTTATAACGAGCCCGTCTTAGCTTATAGTTAATACAGTATTAATCGATCGTACTATGGGAAAAGTATGGATGAAAAATATGTTCAAGATTGAAGATAAGGTTACGCAATGAACTGCTTCCTTGCTAAATTGATCCATGATTCGCCCATCAACCTGTCAAACAGCTTCGGGAAGTGCTTATACATTTGGTTATCTCTTTGGTTGGCATAAGACTACAGCTCCACCACGATTAGTAACTGTACTTCCTGCAACCCCTGAGTTCCACAAAATCTTACTTCTAGTTGGTTAGACGCCTCCGAAGATCACTGTGAGAGCCTCAACGCCCACGGGCTTTAAGGGCCTGCGCTATCGCCGATGTACAGTTACCGGTTTTGTGGAGACTGTAGTCTTATGCCAACCAAAGAGATAAAGTAATTCAAGTCTTGTCTTACCCGACTTGTCATCATGTTTGGCGTGTCATTTGCCCTTAGCTATGTGGTCTAGAGTGCACAAAACTAGGAGAACTTAAAGAGAGACATGTCATGGAGGCGATACTCTTTTTTTTGGCAATGTGACGATTTCTATCTATAGACTAGTAACGTGTCACTCCCCTAGAAAGCCGTATTGTTGAAAAGACATTTGGGACACATAGTGTCGGCCTAAGGCAAGCCGCCGCTGAGTCCGTAGAGAGCTAGTCTGGACCATGTACGCGTGATGATCCGTGATCTCCATCGTGTTTCGAAGACTCCTGAATAAATGGTGGGGGTAGAACGGTCGTAAATAGGGGCAACATGGACAATCCATCAAAGAATTGTCTTAAATAAGATTCCTAAACATATTAAACTAGTATGTTATCATTTTATATAAGTTGTGGTACTAGAAGAGCTCTGGTGTCACGGAAGGGAGACACTCGAAGGTAACGCCCGTTGGTGATCACGTCACGAGATAGGGAAGAGGCTGAGACCGATGGAATTCCATTCAAACCGGCCAAGGATGGTACAATGGCGTACGGCCTTTTAGATTCGACGAAAAAAGATCATGGAACGTTTAACCAAGACTGCAAGGTTAGCCACACGCCTAGATCGGAAAACTTGGCGACGGGGTAAAGTATGGTTAGGAACGTGATTTGTAGTCCGTGATGTTAAGCCGTTGCGTAATGGATTTTTCATTCCAAACGATGTTAGGCGATTTTAAACGTCAACGTTGGCGTTGGCGTTGGTACCATAAATAGAAATCCGATTCTAAATAGCCCCATCCCATCACACACCTCGAACCCCTGAATATTTATATATGTATAACATGATATGCATGTTATGCGTTGTATGCAAGTAGCGTGGGTATCAGCTAACGTCTTGCCGCAGAAATTATCAAAATTATGTACCCACCTAGGTAAATATCCATGGAAGCGATGATCCCGTGTAAGCTGAAAACCCAACTCGTGTAAGGCTGCGTTAAAGTTAGCTAGAAGTGGGACAACTGCTCAGGTAGAAATAAAAAAGGGGTATGGATGGTGGTGCAGGGGGGTACAGAGTTGAGGGTGTGGGTGCTTGGCCCAAGCTCCCTAGCCCCGATCGTTGATAGGGGTCTTGACCTTCTTGGACAGGGGTTGAATTCGACAATTGTTCGCTTTTGCTGGGTATGACTCTATCATGTATATGGTTGCCGATGCTATGAGCAACCTAACGCCTGACAACCTTCAGAGGGTTTATGAGCATCTTTAAAAGTTTATCTCCCAGCAGATGGCAGTGGCGCATTAGGGGAAGTCGCACTTTGACAGATATCTGAAAATGATTTGTTGGTCTGCGACGAAAATACGGACCTTACACTACGTCTACCTAGTATCTTTTAGCCTTTCCGCGTAGGTTATCTCCCCATCTTCCTACAGCCACCCATGTCGTTTACTATTGAAATGCTACTTGCTTACCAACTGCTTTTATGACGAAGGATGCTGCCGTCATCCGAGTCGTCATGCCGCTCGAATCTAGCAATGTCCCGCGTTATGCCAGGTACCATCCTTTTAACACCATGCACCTCTTGTCTAACCTTTCCGATCGGCAAAGAGCCTCATGCCTTAATCATCTTCGCCGCCTTTTTGCAGATCTTGGAAGAGTGTTAGGTTTCACTGATATAATGATTTGACCCCCTTTGTCGGTTCGGCATTCTTATCATTAACCCGACAAGTAGTTGTCAAATCCAAAAATGCAACCGTCCACGCTCAGTGGCTTTGCACGGCCCCGCAGGTCTAAGAGATCCTCTAAGTGTTTCCTATCATGGGGCCCCCAAATCATTACTAAGCGCCAGGTGCAACAGCGCGGGACGGTCAGTTCTGAATTCCAAAATATCGGGAGCAGCATGGTAGGCTTAGCCAATGGATTATGTCTTGCTCTAACAGATTTTAGTGGTTGGAACCGATGGTCTCAACGCGCCCGTACCACATGGATATTCTATGCAGGATCAAGGGTGAACGTCACGCGGCTCAGGGATTGTGAGTGGCCTTTTTACTCCATCGACGGAAATTCTACGCCGGACATGAAGGCGTTTCAGTGGACGAAGGCGGACGACAATCTAGACGTTTTGATCGGCATGGTTGAGTCTCGCTGATCATAACCTCTATGGTTACTCTGCGCCACAAATGAGACTACAAGTGCACAATCGGCGGATTTACGTCCCTCAATCCCAGACCACAACACTACCTAATCGGATAAGGCTTGTACATACCATTGTCCACAACTACTCTTCATTTCATCCTGGAAATGGCGCCCATTAAACTTGAGCGCGTCGTAGAAACGCCCAATTTCCGCCTGGGGCCAGTAACGTTGCAAGTAGTATAACAATTCTTCTTGATGCAACGAAAGGTCCAGCAAAGGTCTAGCGGGGGTGGGGTGGGCCGCCCAGGTTGGTCAGCTCACGAATCCCATTGTAAGCCTGACCTCGGTACCACGAGCATCGGCAAAGTAAGAGTTGGATCTCTTCGATACGCCGTGCTGGAAAAAGTGATCTAAATTAGGAAATACCTTATCTCTCCGCACAAGAAACCCGACAGTGCTCCGGGAGCTAACTTGGATTCAATCTTGACACTTGTTGTCTGGTGGGGTCTGGCCAAGATATTATATTCCCATCGCGTGAGGTAAGTGACCGATGTTAAGACAAGTCGTCTACATGTCTCACACAATCTACCACATTACCTTTACGCCCGTTAGCTTAATTGTTATGCTGAATCAGTTGATCGCCTGTTTTTAATCGAATCTTGATATTTACTCCTTGGCCTACACGCCCCCGATCTATAACAATTATCCCAAGATCTCAAGTTGGTCAAGTGATAGTGGGGTATGAGCGCGAAGGTGGATGGATCCTTACAACCCTGTGATAAGCTGTTTATCCTTGTGCTAATCTCGTCCGAAGGGTAAATGGTGGTATTAACTGGTGGTATTCTGGTCCTAACCTATCTAGTCTTTCATTGGCTGTCGCCAACAGCTTCCCCTGAGCAAAGGCCATCCCCATTACCGAGACTGTGAAGGCCTTGATATGCAAGACACATTCCAACGTCCACCTTCCTTACGCGGAATAGGGAGGGTGCACGAGGGCTCCCAAGCTGCAGTACAGCTTGCCTATGCCTCGAAGCTCCCAGGAGCTTCACTGATACACTCATAACCATAACCGGGAATGATCCCAAAAAACGACTCCGCGGCAGGGAAGACGGCGGGATGTACCAGCACAGGAGCCTGTCTAAGTTGACAGCAGCAACGTTGCCGCCTTGGGTCGAAGAGCCGCGATGAACCGCATATCAAGGCTGTTGGTCTGTTGGCGACTCCTTAATTCCGATTTTACGGTCGCATCCCTGTACCACATGAGAGACACATGGTTGTAGTTGAAGTGTGCTGAGATCGTGTGCTCCCTACACCAGTCAGAGATATAAATACAATGGTATTTCATCTTTCATTCATATCTGTCTAAGCAAGACTTCCTCACTCAGTCCAGAGTTCCATTCCTTTAGACTACTCTACTCGCCATTCTGAACATTCGGCATCATGGTTTCTACTAAATCCTTCCTTAGTACTTTGCTTTTAGCATCACTTGGCCTGTCTAGCCCAGTCAACCAAGTCGAGAAGCGGGCTTCTTCTTTCCAGAACACAGTCTATTTTACCAACTGGTTAGAAATCTACCATATTCCACTTATGAGTAATCATAGCTAACATTATTAACAGGGGTATATATGGGCGAAACTACCAGCCCGCGCAGCTCCCAGCCTCGCAAATCAATCGAGTTCTCTACTCGTTCGCCAATCTTCAGTCCGATGGTACAGTATACAGTTCAGACTCATACGCCGATCTGCAGAAGCACTATGACACCGATTGTAAGGGATTCATCGATCTTGTTACTATCTATCGGCGAAGCTTACTAACAACATCGACTCTAGCCTGGAACGACGTCGGTAACAATGCCTACGGTTGTGTCAAACAACTCTACATGTTGAAGCAAGCCAATCGACAACTAAAGGTATAGGCTAGTTCTTGATACCTCTCCTTCATTCTCTAATCGTGCTGCTGTTTTAGGTGTCGTTATCGATCGGAGGATGGACGTACTCAACCAATTTTGCCGCTGCTGCTAGCACCGACACAACTAGAAAGACATTCGCGTCGACAGCGATCACTTTGATGAAAGATTGGGGGTTTGACGGAATCGATATCGACTGGGAGTATCCTACTGATGACACCGAGGCTACCAATTTTGTCCTTCTCCTCCAGGAGGTTCGGAGTGAACTAGACGCGTATTCTGCCCAGTACGCTGACAACTACCGTGCGTGCAGAGTCTCTTTTATTTCATAACCTTCTTTCGGGCTCAGACCCTTCCTAGTCTAGTCAACCTTGCTGAAGTGTTACTCCTGAGACCTGAAAACACCAAACTCTTTCTTAAGAAATTACTGACTCATCCTTACAGACTTCCTTCTGACTGCTGCTGTTCCTGCCGGTCCCACCAACTTCAACATGCTCCACTTAAGCGATATGGCAGCTGTCCTCGACGCCTTTAACCTGATGGCTTATGACTACGCTGGTTCTTGGGACACTACTTCCGGCCACCAGGCAAACCTGTACCCCAATTCTAATGCTCCGCTTACTACTCCCTTCTCAACCGATGCCGCCATTGCTGCGTACATTGCCGGTGGAGTCCCAGCCGAGAAGATTGTATTGGGTCTTCCGCTGTATGGACGTTCGTTTGAAGCTACCGCTGGTATTGGACAGCCGTACACGGGTATCGGAACGGTACGTAATATCTAGAGTCCCTTCATTTTGGCTTTTCTCAAAGGTGAAGACCGCCTGGTCAAAGTAGCCGAAGATTCATTGTCAACGCGTAGTTACAAATCCTCTTGTGAAAATGACTAACTCGTTATTGAAGGGATCTTGGGAAGCGGGTGTTTGGGATTACAAAGTGCTGCCTCGCTCTGGAGCTTCGGAGATATATGACGCTGTTGCGGGAGCCACGTATTCCTACGACAGTTCTGCCCAGGAACTTATCAGCTACGATAACGTTGATATGGTGAACAAGAAGATCCAATACCTCCAGAGCAAGGGCCTTGGTGGCACTATGTGAGTACCATCCAGAACTACTTAATATCTTTGAAAACAAAGAGAAGGATACTAATTCTCAATGTTACAGGTTCTGGGAAGCTTCAGGGGACCGCAACGACAGTGGTAGTTTGATCGCGACCGCTTTCAACACCCAAGGAGGAGCAGCCTCCCTCGACTCCACGCAAAACCTTCTCAGCTACCCTAACAGCCAGTACGACAACATCAAGGCCAACCTTCAGTGATTCTGACTAGGCTAGGTAACCTTACGGCGGTCATTTGGATCGGGGCCAGCGCTCCGTCTTAGAGGACCCATGATCATTTTTCTCCTGTGGCATTTTGCGACATACCGACATTCGCTTCGTGTTTTATAATTGTTGAATCTTTGGGGGATGTAAATATGGACGATCACGATAGAGGGACATATTCTAGGCATTTTGTTTAACTGTATATATTTATTCGCATATTCTCCACGCTGTACATAGCTGATCAAAGAGAAACCATATTCCAAGTACAAGTTTGTCATCTGACCTGTGTCGCTCCTCTCTGCATGTGCTTTTTAATGGCACTAATTGAAGACGCGCCTAGAAGCGCTGCCCATCCTACAGCTGACCTCGTTGCAGGTGTACTAAGACTCGCTGTAATCATTAAGCAACCCCTAAACCCCACAGACTGATAAAAGAATGGAAACAACTATAGAATACACACCACTTATGACGCCGTACCTGAATACTCCTTTGCTATCCGCGTTCATGTCTTTATGTTATGGCGCCTCAGCATGGCGCCTCAGCATGGCGCCCGTGTTCCGCTACTCCTGGCGTAATTATTAGCGCCACCCCCTATTCAGTATCCCTGTTCATCCCTCTCGCCCACTGCGAATTCAGCGCTTGTATTCCTATCCCACACAACAATGTTAGCCCCCATAAAAACACAGTTTTTAGAATTCACATTAAACAAACAGGAACAGGGTAGACACTTACCTAAATATTCCATGATCCAGTCTTCCCTAGACCGCCGCCTCATCTACATCACACTACACCGGTGGCGCCGTTCCTTCTCGCTAAACTGCTCCACCCCGTTCGCAGCACTGTGCTGAGGATTCGACGAGATAATAACAACCTCGCCCTCACCCTCGCCCTCAACCCCATCTTCCGGCAGCGCAGAGGCAGTTGCAGCAGTAGCGCCAGAATCAGCATTCTCAATCTCCCTAAGCGACGTCGGGCTCGAATTCTCGCCGCCCCCGCCCCCGCCGCCCGTCTTGCACCGGCTGCACGTCCCGGTCAAAGTGCGCCCCGTACTACAGGTGCACGTGCGACTCGAGCTCGTCGTGGGCCGCGACGGCGCCTCCGCGATAACCTCCTGGCTCAGACGCCCGCCGCCGCCGCCGCCGGTGCTGCGGTAGCTCTGGTACGAGTGCAGACGCGCCGCGTGCGCGGGCCTCGCTAACTGCGTGCTGCAGCGCGGGGTGACCGGGGCTGAGGCGGAGGAGGTGCCGGGGAGGGGTAGGTGCAGGAGCGAGTTGGATTGGCTGCCTGGTAGGCTCTCGGCGGGCAGGAAGTTGACCATGCGGTTTAGCTCGTCGTTTGCGTCGACGGCGGGGGCGTCGTCGGAGGGGTTGGAGGGGTTGCCGGGTTCGTTGTGCGTTGTGGAGACGACGACGCCTTGGTCCGCTTGCGCTTGCGCGAGGGTCTGCGCGAATTTGGAGTGCCGGCGGAGCCAGGGCCCGCATTTGTAGACGAAGAAGACGGCGCCGTAGAGGATGGTGGCGATGGCGAAGAGGATTATTGTTCCGACGAAGACGGAGAGCTTTTCGTACCTGTTTTGTTGTTAGTTTCGGGGTTGGGCGATTATTTCTTACACTAGCGGTGGGGTAAGGGGGAAGAATTGAGGTGAGTAAAGTGATTGCTATGGGAATTATTGACGTACTATAAGCAGGTTAGCATGGTTTGCGATAATCTTCCCGGGGCATCTAAGGGTACTGACCATTGGAATTGAATAGGGCGTGAGTATGCCGGCGAAAAAATCTCGCGCCCAGCCATTACCGCCCGTCGCCGACGCAGCGTAGGGACCATATGCCCTGATTACATAGTCGATGGTCGTCATGTAAATGGCAAAATTGGATATACCGATCAAACAAGTTCCGATCATACTCCAGAACCAGTGGATAGGCATCGTAAAAAAAGCAGCTGTGAACGCGAACACTAGGAGGCCGATAGGTAGCAAGGGAGCGGTATACAGCAAACTCTTGAGCCGAGATTCGTACTGCGCATGCTCACACCCGGGTTTTTGCTTGCGCGTCTTCACATTGCCTCTAATTATCCAGAAGTACATGATGTATGCCATGAGGTATCCGATGCCGATTGGTACGAAAGTCAGGCCGAGTTCGTGGGTGTTGAAGCCGTATTGCCAGTATACGAAGTTGAGACTCTGGACCATCACTGTGGAGGTTCAGAGTTAATACTGGTTATCTCATCTGGGTACGACATAGGAGTATAAGGAAATACATGCGCCGTATATCCACATCTTAGAGGAAAACATATTCATGGGGTTCTTCCGTTGATCTGTAGAAAGATACAATGTCGGGAAAGGAGTATGGAATTTCTGAGAGGTGGCCAAGGCCAGGAAAGGACTCACTAAAAATGATGGCATCGGAGAACCCGGATAATAGAGAAAAGACGAGAACTATCGGCTCCGTGAGGAACATCCTGAACGGTCGTAACCAGATGGACCCGTACTCGCGGAAGTTGATGTGTTTCTTGCCTGCAATCTCGCCCGGCCCGTATACGTTGGGTTTTCTACCGGACTCCCGCTCTTCTTTCGCGGCATTATCCATGATAACAGTGACTCTCGTCTCTGGCATGAAGAAGAAATGTAAAATTTGCACGAAGACGCCGAAGAGGACCTGGATACCCAGGCACCATCTCCAATCGAGAAATTCCTCAATAAACCCGCCTATAATGGGGCCGATTATCGAGCCACCGACCGATGATAACACAACGAAGGAGGTAGCGTGCTGGATCATGGGATCCTCGGGTTCGAAAATGTCCGAGATGACGGCGAGTGTCACGCTGCCTCCGGCGCTGGACAGTCCGCCCAGGAAGCGGCCGGCGATGTGTGCCGGCCAGTTTGGGGCGAACCATACTAGGATTCCCCACAGGTTTACGAGGCCTAAGGAGATCTGTAAGATACGCCTACGTCCGAATTCCTCGGACCAGGGCGCCCAAAGCTCGCAGCCGAACGCGTAGGCAATGAGGAATGAGCTGGCACCTCCATAACGAACGCCGAACGGGGTGACGCCGAAGTGATTCGAAATGCCGCTGATAGCGTTGGAGTAGAGCGTCGTGTTCAGGTTCATCGATACCTGGGTTAGGAATATTATCCAGAGTCGGGACCACTTCTTCTTTGCAGACCACTTGTAGCCCAGCTTGTCACCACATTCGGAGGGCTTGATTAGTATCCGTTCCTCTTGTGATGGGAGCTGGACTCTTCGACTTCTGCCGAAGCTGATAGTCATCCGTCTGCGTCTGCCCTCTCTGCCATTCTCGATCTCTTCCGATACTGGTGAAAGCCCATGTTCCCGCTGCATGTTATCTCGGTCATGTTGCGCCATGGCCTCTCCGCATATTTTTGATGTCTCCTGGGAACTCCCAGGCCGCTTGTTGGGTATATGTGAAGGAGTCGCCATAGTGTGTTGAACTACACATGGAACTTCGCTCATATCTGCCTATGTGAAGTTAATAGCTCTGAGCATAAGTATCTCTTATCGCACTCCTCAATTCCTTGTTCCCGTGGGCTCGTTTTGCGAAAGCACAGGTTGGATAAGGATGTAAGTTCGGATACGAGAGGCAAATTTGGGGTGATCCGGTGCTTATATGGCCTGGCAAACTATGCCTTACCCGCTTCCCGGACCTCTCTGAAATAGAGAAATTTGAGAGGAAACGAATGGAGAACAGACTTATTTATCTATGTGGCTGACATTAACTTCATATAATTCTTGAGCTAGTCCTAAGCGTAGCAAGTGGCGTGTCGCTCGGACAAGTTGCGGTAGAGAGCAAAAGGGGTCTTGGATCCGATAGGCTTTGTACCGGATGTAGGACTTAGAAATGCTTGGCTAAGCCAACTTATACCCATTGCTGGAGAGAGGCTAAATGTGCAAGCTTCAAGCACCACCAAAGCGACAATCTCACTTGACGATCCCGAGAAAAAAAGTCCACGATCTATATTAAGTTTACGTTCAACGCCCGAGCCTATATAATTTGGTCACGAGATGCGGAGATATGCATGATATTGTCATAGTAGCAGAGTTTGCGGATAGATATAGGGTCTGATTGAAGCCATAGGGACTTCAGAGTACAATATTTATAGAGACAACAAGTCAAAAGCATCTCACTTGGAGGCTTCAAGGGCTTATCTTAAGCTTCGTGGGCGTCCAATATATTGATGAGCTTAAAGAGGAATTATTATTGGTATTTGCGATATCCTATAACGAGTAAAAAGCCATTGGGGCGATTCAAAGCTGACTCCCCTAATTCATCGGACAGCATTATTCACGATGTAAAATGCTAGGATCCCTTCCTGGTCATTATGATAGAGTTGAACATTTCGTCATATCGCCTTCCAACTATGACAGAACAGGGCAAGTCAAAAAGGTTCTTCGTGCGTATTACGAGATGGTGGCTGATCATAGTTCCGGATAGAGGCGTAGAGTTCACACTACCTTCGGGCTTCAAAGTCGTAGTCAGATTGAGAACCGAAGTGCAATTCCCTATGAAGGCACGTTGTTATTATTTCGACTAGATTACTATCCTGTCTTTATCTTAGGATGTTACATTGATAGATGAGAGATGGGATGCATAGCTGCTTGCGTGATCACTAGGACATACTACTTTGATGTTCAGGGGGGAGGGTGATAACTTGGCAGATGGAATAATCTAGGTATTTAGCGTTCTAGAAATGTCTTCTAGTTTCAAATTCATGCAGCGGTATCTCTTCGGGTACCTAGGTATGTACTTTCATGAGATCTACATATTACATACGTTAATGCACGATTTAGCTACAAGTCCCCTATTGTACATGAACCTCTAAGAATGAAAGTTCATATCAACTCAACCATTGCCAGAAAAGCAATGATATCATCATTTGAGCACCAGCGTACGCTATGTGCTCCAATAAACGTTCTTCCCTCTGACCGTTGACTTCATCGTAAAGGCCGTTATGGTACGAGATCCTAAGCTATGTCTATGGACATTCCAAATGCCCAATTCTACATTCAAGGTAGCACCGCTATGCCTATATAAGGCATGGGAGCAAGCAACGGCTTTATCTACGAGCCCGAAGTCCTCCAGGAGTTTGACGTCAATCAATAGATCGTCTTACCTTAGAAGAAGGCGATCGTAGGATACCACATAGAAGTCGTTCGCGTCGTGTGATCGACCTCTGTGCATAAAATGACAGCATGAACCGTGATGAAATGAAGTTAGGTGCAACACCAATGACGGCTGCTGGTGCCGCGCTGAATGTCCGCGGTGCAACGTCGTTCAATTGGAATAGGTAATCATCCAGTCACTAGCAGCGGGACGTCGACGTTATTGGTATCCATAGATGTTTGTTAGAGGAGCTTACGAAGCACCATAGCCAAGAATAATAGTAGGCTATAGGGTTTCGATGTCGAGGCCCTCAACTTTGCCCAAGAACTCGCCCTTCGCGCCGCGTAGAAGCTCGTCCATATCCACCATGCCAGTAGCGATGTATTTCTCGCTAACACCAGCATTAACTCTCTTCGAGAGGAGCTCTCTTAACTCTGCGCGCAGGGCACCTAACTCGGCCTTGGTCATAGCCCTCGCTTGTTCCTGCTTTTCTTTCCGGCCGCCTCCACGTCCTCCCCACTTTCCGACCTGCTGCATCTCGTCGCTGTCGTACTCGACACCAAGTTCCTCAGCGGCGTTGCGCATCCAGTCGTCTTCCTTATTGCCCTTTTCTTTCGCAAGCCCGGCATCAGCAATCTTCTTCGCTATCGTGACACGAGGTTTTAGACGGTTGACCAATTTCCGGTCCATATCCAACGTCTGTACGAAGAAATTCTTCTTGGACGCCTTACCGCTAGTTGAATGCACCTTAGCGATGAGCCTTCTGGTTGGGACAACCTCCTCCGGTGCACACAGCAGTATACTCAAGCCCGTTTTGTCTGCTCGCGCGGTACGTCCGGACCTGTGCACATATGCATCCGCAGCGCGGGGTACATGATAATGAACCACCAGGTCAACCCCTGGAATATCCAAGCCCCGTGCGGCGACATCTGTCGCAACAAGGATTGACGACTGCCCTTGTTTTGCGCCGGTAAATCGTTCAACAGAACGCAAACGTGCCTTCTGAGGCATCTGTGAGTGTAGTGGATGGGTTTGCAAATTCAGATTTTGAAGCATAGGAGCCAATCTTCGGACAGAACTGATAGAATTGGTAAAAACCAGTGTCTGTACATTTGGATATAGGAGTAAAAGGGCGTATAAATAAAGATCCTTGCAGTGTCTGATTAGCAATGGTAATTTTTGTCACTTTGGTAGAACTCACCTTTTCCATGGCCCCACATTCTACTAGGCCTTCTTTAAGCCCTTCCGCCATTTGAGATACCGGATTTACGTCAATAAATTTTGGCTTTTCTTCTCGGAAATTCAACTTCTTGAGTAGATACTCCATAGAATCTTGCTGGCTCATTAAGTCGTAGCGACCTTTACCAGCAAGTTTCTGTTGTAGCCCTTTATGGAATGTAGCTGAGAATACAAGGGTTTGTCTTGGCGAAGGCGTCGCATCTCCTTCCTCGTCTTCCTCTGTTTCAAATCGGTCCAACGCATTAAAAATTTCAGCAGCTTCTTTGAAGTGGCCCTCTGTCAGAAGTCTATCGGCTTCATCTACCACCAAGCACTGGATCCCCTTGAAGCTGTTCAATAGCTCGGAGCTAGAACTTAGGACCTCCCACAATCGCCCAGGCGTTCCAATAACGATGTCTGCCTTAGCTAATTGGCGCTGTTGCTTGTAAACTGATAGGCCACCAGTAACGGAACATACGTAAGGTGATGTAGGTAAACCTGCGCATAGATTCTTGATGTGATCTGTGAGTTGATGCGCAAGTTCTCTAGTTGGCGAGAGGACCAAAGCCAGGGGAATTTTGGAGGTAGTCTCGGAAGTGATGTCCTTGCTCTCTTCCGATAAATCCAGCCACTTCTCAACAATTGGAATTCCAAACGCCAAAGTTTTTCCTGAACCTGTTGATGCCTTGCCAATGACATCGTGACCGGCTAAGATCTGTGGTATCGCGGCTTCCTGGATAGATGTAGGCTTCGAGAATTTCAACTTCGCTAAAGATCCAAGCAATCCAGGGGATAGACCTAATGACACCCAGGCCGACAAATCTACATCATCTTGCGCGTCCTCTACATCATCCAATCCGGCGAATAAATTGGTCTCAAGCTCTTTATCCTCTGCTTTATTCGACGCCTTCTGTTTTTTCTGCTTCTGCTTTTTCTTAGTTTCTTGGGTATCATTGGTATCTCCCTTCTCTGTCTCTACATCTTCGATGGTATTCGTGGATAATTTGGGTGGCTCGTTTTCGGAAGCATCATTCGCAATAGGCTCATCTTCAAATCCCTCGAATTCGTCATCGTCACCGTGTTCATTGAGTTGCTCATCCTTTTCAGTTTCTTCGTTATCATCACCATCTGAGGGAATGGCAGTCCGCTTTTTCTTGTTAGCACTTCGAAAGCAAGTAATAAAGGGGTCGCCTACAAATTCAATTGTATTGTCACTATTCTTGATAATCTCAACACCATCAACTTCTTCTAAGCCGTAAAAGCCCTCGGCATCGTCGAACATATCGGGGAGCTTTGCTTTGCGCCATTGTAGCGAGTCAATGTTTGTAAGCTTCCTAGATTTTGAGACAGATTTTCGAGATTTTGCCTTCTTGTTAGCTGGCGCATTCCCCGTTTGGCCACTGGCCTTTCGCTTCTTCAGGCCGTTCATGGTGTGGAATTGGGTATGGTGGGATGGTAAATTCGTGTACGATACGCGATGTTGGATTTCTGGAAATTTTTGGGACTTTGAAGTTGTTATCGTCTTATCAGCTTATCAGCAATCTCGATAAGAAATCCACGCATCCACGCACTGACCACACCTTAATTCAGCCCTATCGACAAGCACTTTATGTAAAAATTGTTGGTGGGGTTCAACTTCGACTTCGACATTTACAATTCACGTGGATTTCACGGCCACGGAAATTCGGAGATTAAGCATGGGGAAATCATCCAAAGACAAGCGTGACGCCTACTATAGGCTTGCTAAGGAGCAGGGATGGCGAGCAAGGAGTGCTTTCAAGCTCTTACAGCTTGACGAAGGTCTTTTGCCCCCCCTATCTGAAAAGGCGTAACGGAATAAGCGTGTTAACCGTAATTCAGAATTCGACCTCTTCGCCAATGTTACTCGTGTAGTGGATTTATGTGCCGCGCCTGGAAGTTGGTCTCAAGTTCTTTCCAGAGTACTGATCAAGGGAGAGAAGTTCGGCAGAGCTGCCTGGCAGGACCGTGATGCGAAATTTAGACAGCAGATGTTGGGGTTGTTTGGTCCCCACGCGGATACTGGTAGTGAATTGGAATCATTGGCACCGAAGCCACCAGTCTCCGAACTAAAACCCCGACAGGATGTCAAGATTGTTTCGATCGACCTACAGCCTATTAGTCCGTTGCCAGGGATTGTCACACTTCGGGCTGATATTACTCACCCAGCCACGGTCCCATTGCTTCTGAAGGCATTGGATCCTGGATACGATTCGAAAACTAAGTCTCAACAAGCTGCTCATCCAGTCGATCTAGTACTCAGTGACGGCGCGCCCGATGTGACTGGATTGCATGATTTAGACATCTATGTTCAGTCTCAGCTTCTCTTTGCAGCTTTGAATTTAGCCTTATGTGTTTTGAAGCCTGGTGGCAAGTTCGTTGCCAAGATCTTCAGGGGCAAAAACGTAGATGTACTCTACGCTCAGCTCAAGATATTCTTCGAAAAGGTTCATGTTGCAAAGCCGAGATCTTCGCGTGCAAGCAGCGTCGAAGCATTCATCGTATGCTTGAATTTCCAACCTCCCAAGGGTTTCTCAGCAAGCCTTGAGGAACCCCTAGGTGTTGGTTTTCGCCTGTCAAACATGACAGAACAGAACTCAAAGAGTTTACCTATTACGGCGACTACGATCTTACAGAACCCAGAAACAGGGGCGTGGAATAGTGCTCCGGATGTCGTTCAGACTACAGACCAAGATGGAATTACCGAAGTAAAGCTAGAGGATCTCCGCCAAAGACATGAAAATGATGTGAGGTGGATTGCACCATTTATTGCCTGTGGCGATTTATCTGCCTTCGATTCCGATGCTTCATATCGACTCCCACCAGACCACGTATCCCTTGACCCGGTCCAGCCTCCAACGGCACCTCCTTATAAACGCGCGATAGAGATGAGGAAGGCCTTCGGTGGAGCATATGGAAAGACAAGTAGAGACTAAAAGAAAGGATTATGACGCAGCTTCAGCTATGTTTTGGATGCGATGATGCGGGCCCTTCGATCAAACCGATATTGATGCCTGTCGTATTACACTCATTCCAGTCCCTGACACCGAGGTACTTGCGATAGAGGTACATCTTATCGCTAGTCAACAACATAAACCGTCGCAAGTGGTTCCAACCCTTGATAACTTCATTAAGACATTCCATCATCCAGCTGCCGAGACCTTTTCCCTGATATTCAGGGAGGAGATACACGTCCGTGAGGTATGCGAAAGTGACATCATCGGTCACCATTCTCACGAGTCCAATTTGGACGGGAGTACCTTGGCCTGTTGATGTGAGTTGGATTTTTTGAGCCAGGATAGACCTGAAAAAAAGACATACCAGCAATCTCCGAGGTCGATTTAGGGAGCACGTATACCCCAAGGCACAAGGAGTTGTGAAGTGCCCTTTTTGCCTCGTCCCGCGGCAGTCCCTTGGCCCACCACATCAAGTCCGAGCTCATCGCCGCATTGACGGCGTCAATCTGAATTAGAAGCGGCTCAGTTGAGATAAGATACTCATCTCGATACCAATTTCGAGGAGTCGTTTCGAGAACCATGATGAATACACGCTTGGGCACGATCTCCCCGATATTCTGACGAAATTATTAAAGTACGTCGTTGTCCATACAAGAGTTTGAAGTTGAATCCGGATCGGCCCCGATATCTGTATGACAATGACTAGCGCCGCCATGCATGACTCATTTTCCACGTGATTGATGCCGGTGAACCTAACCTTATGCACAACCGTAGTGGGGAAAGCCCCCGAACCAATCCGCCCCCCGCCGTAAAGCTACACAGCAGTATAGGTGACGATACACGGCGGACAAGCCAATACCAATTCGTCAAGTCAAATTCCGAAAGTCCATATATTAACATTATGGAGACAGTAATGTCGAATATCCCAGGATTGCTATCGATCATGTTGGCAACAGCTCTCATACCCCTACCGCACCGGCGTGCTTAGCCTTCGCCTGAGCATTAAACCCTGTCCACACGGTATCCTTCGGGTTGAACCCCCACGCCGTCGGACTATCGTCATGGACTGTCGTCCGTCTCAAATCGCGCCTATACTTCCCCTCAAACGCCCCACCCCCTGCCCGATGCAGGACGCACCGATTATCCCAGATAATCATGTCGCTAACATTATGCCACTCCACCGTAGTCGTATACTTCTTCTGCGTAGCAAACTCATTCAGCCTCTGCACCAAGTCCCACGATCCCGGTATCTCCTTCCCGTCCGCGTCCTCGATATGGTGCATGTGCGCGCCGACGTACAAGTTCATCCGCCCGCTCGGCTCGTGCTTCTGCACGACGCGGTGCCGCTGCATCGGCCCCGCGCCCGGATCCACGTCCGCGAAAAACTCCGGCGACCCGAGCTTCCGCGAATGCGCCATCGAGTGCGCGCCCACGTAATCGCGCGCCAGCAATTCTTCTTTTAGGTTGAGAGGCAGCTCGTCGAACGCGGTCCGCGAGTCCGCGAAGTCGGTGTTGCCGCCGTTGCCCGGCGGCGGCAGCTCGCACGCGCGCAGGAGCGAGAAGGAGGCCCGCCGCGGGTTGAAGGACGAGTCCGCGTGGAAGAGCCCGTTGCCGCGGTTCGAGTGCGCGCGCGCGCTGTCCGGCGACAGGATCGTGTCCGTCTCGCCGTCGATGTTGCCCGCGTCGAAGAGCTCGAAGAGCGAGTACCGCGGTAGCCGGCCCCCGCCCAGGTACCGCCGGATGTTGTCTAGTTCGCCGAAGCGCGTGGAGAATTCGACGTGTGCGGGGTCGTCTAGGCCCGTGTTGCGGAAGACGCAGAATCCGTACTGTTGGTTGTTAGCTGGGGTTCGGGTTATGTTGTGACCTGTTCAGTGGGGGATTGATTCACTTTGGCCATAGCCGCGAGGATTTCCTTGAACTGCTCTTCGGACAGATCTTGGAAGTTGACGCCGCTGACTTCCGCCCCGAAAGTAGGGTGAAGCTCCTTGACCTGGATGGTCTTGAAGGGCGATTCCTGGACAACTCCCGGCATGATGCCACTTGTCGTCTTACTGGTATTACTTCGATAGTTGTCTAGTATCACTTACACGTTCGTAAGGGCCAAGGCCGGTTTTATGGAAAGACAAGGCTCCATTGAGTCCGCGACGGCCGTATTTAAACCGGGTTCAAATAGCCCATATCTGGTGTTCAGTCGAATCATACACCTGCCGAAGGTATGTCACAATCCCGATCAAGGTATCCGTGCGGGGTATGCACTGGCGGCAGAATCACGGAGTCCCATGATCAACGACGTTAAATCCGACAACCCGGCTACTCATAATGAGTTTCCACTCGAAAGATTTCAATTGTAGATCATTGTTGGAGAGATGCTTGAGTTGAGGCTAGAGGAGTATGAGGTATCAAGGATTACTAATTTGGACACTATAGTTATCAGGAGTGACTAGATGAACTCTAACTTATCTCCTTGGTTGGCACAAGACTGCAACTCCACCACAATGAGCAACTGTACGCAGCCCCTGGGCTACACTGGCGCTCATAAAAGCTTACTACTAGTTAGTTAAACGACTTTCAAGATCCACGTAAGAGCCTCAACACTTATAGGCTTAACGGGCCTTCGCTATCACCAATGTTACAGTCAACGGTTTTGTGAATACAGCAATATCATGCCGACCAAAGGGACAACAACTATTAATACGATAAACAAGTAGTTTGCTCAGTTACATCAAACGTTAAACGTCATTCCTGAAAGGATAATGTAGATAGTTATGACTACACATCCTTAGATAATTAATGTCTAATTAATAACATTCTATACACAGGACAAACGTTCATACTCGTGGTATATAACATATGCGGATTATTCGTCTCATGTTTAGGAGTTTTATATTTTCTTTCTAAATTACATACTCTTAAAGCCACGTACTTATAAATTAAAGGGAAACCCATGTGAAAGACATGTACAATTCTGTGTATAAATTCCACCAGTATTAAATATAAAAATAGTCTTAAGCCCCTTAGAATAATCCCTTCAGTCATAAATATACAGCAATGCCAGCTCTAGCTAGGTACGATCTCAACAGGACTTTCAAATGGTTTATAAGTCATTAGCCTCAAGTAAAACAACTCTCTGGAGACATTCATATAACAGCGCCAAAGGTAGCTTCGACAGCCAACTGTTAACTTCATCGCCTACTAGTGTCTCTAATTAAAGCCTAGTGATAAATTTAGGGGCCGATACCAATCTTAACATAACCAATAATGGTCATCTTTGAACTATCTTCACTGCCCACCCCGAGAATGTGGAGCCGGGAGACAATGCAATCCTCTATGCCCAGTGTCAAAAGGTATTCAATACTAAGATAGCGCATCGTCACGAAGAAGAGGTCCGCATTGGGACTTGATACTTTTGGGGCGATTGCGAGGTTGAAGTGGCCACCGGAAGCCAGTTGAATAAGTACCTATTTTAAAAAAGCACAAGAACAAGCCGGCCCGTGAAGTCCCTTTGGGATGTCTGATATGCCATGTCCCGAGATGTTGTAAAGTGTACGCAATGGCCGATCCAGTAGCCAGTCATATAAGTAAGCATGGAATATATTCATGGACGCTAAGAAATGTAGTAGCTAAAGCTGTACAAGAGCTAGATTATCCACGGATGTAAATGAAGGACGATGTCCGGGTTTGTCTTACTCATATGTTGATATAGTGGAATGGGGAACCGTCTTCTCGTAGCCTTCTACGACGATAACACTCCTCATTTTGTAGCACCCAAGCTCTCCGTTGTCTAGGTAGTGCATTGGCCATGTCAAATTCAAGGGTCGGTGTCGAACTCGACAATATTTGCTAGATAGGCAGGTAACGAACGGCAGAATTTCTGGACTGTCCTTACCACCACTCAAATCGTGCAATATAATTCTTCGTCTTCTACTTTTGCCATCCACAAATTCTCCCATGATTTCTTACAGAAGAACTCATTCAAGATCTACCACAACCACCAACCAAAGGAAAAATTTCGATTAATTATTGGAAAGTCCTATCTTTCGTCGCGCATCAACACCGCCCATCTCGAATCGACGTTCATATTACCTGTAAGAATCACATCTCCCGTCTTTTTTCTTTCTTTTTTTTTACACGCAAATCATGTTTCAAATGATAATAGACCATGCATTATCAAAGATGCTGACATGAAATTGTAGACTTTTACCGCATCTAAAATACCATGACTTCACGCTCACCCCCCTACCGCCATCGCCGGGTCGATAATTTGATCACGCTGATGTGCGAAGAAGCTGGTATCGTTCCCCCTGGTGAAGATGCGTACACCTCCCGAGCGCCTACTCCTCTTACTGCCGAGCAAACCCAATGGGTTTTAGCACTCATCGAAGAACGCAGGCAACATGAAGCATCTGCTGCCCTGCCACAAGGTACGTTAAATGCCCTCAAAGCCGAACAACTACATTGAATTCCACCCACACTACCTTTCGGCCACCTCTCCTTTAGTGTCATATTTTCCATTTTATATCACCATGACATTAACAATTCTTTAGTTGCTCTCGATAGTGACAATAGCACCGACGCCGCAACCACTTCCCAGACCTCTCCGGCTGCACAGCATCAGATCCAGCCTCCCAACGACGATTTCGCGTGTGACCAGTGCAGCAAATCATTCAAGTCAAAGAGGACTCTCACGCAGCATCTTACGGAAGTTCATATCGGCACGACCTGCTATTGGAAAGACTGCAACTATGAGGCCAACAACGAAGCAGACATGAACGGCCATCTCAAATGGCACAACGGCCTCCGGGCTGCGGGCGTTCCAGACGGACAACTGATCTGCCACTGGCCCGGGTGCGGCGCAAGATGCACGAAGGAGGAGTCGGTGGCTCGCCACCTTCGTAGACACCAGATCCGAGCAAAGAACGGAACTGAGAATTTTGTATCTGCCTATCAAAGATGAGCTAAGGAGGTGGAGCAAAGGAGGAAAAGTGATTTACATAGAGATCCCTCGTCTCCTAAATGACACGCTGTTCTAAAACACAATACATGACGGTTTGGCCTTCTGCTTACGCAATATTTCTTTCTTCTTTGACCATGTTACAACTACATACAGGATTTCGTAAGTGGCGATGGCTTCACACAGTGCCTTTTACGTGATAGCCTTGGAAGAAAACGCATTCGTTCTCTACCTACTAGTATATGATGGAAGGAGTGTTTGTATAGGTAAGATTCTGTGGGTAGAAGCTGGCGGCTAGAATGATACATATCGCACTGGGTAGCATGTGATATTGATGTTGTTCGAAGCTTTGGGTCGGAAGGTTGGACTACGTCCCTTGCCCAGTGCGTAATCGAATAGGCAGTGAATGGGGATACTGTATTCTTTTCAGGCTAAGACTTTCAAGCTGGGACCTATTAGTAATCTATTCACTATATTTTGGTGGCTAGCCGCTATAATTCAGCCAGCTTAGTCACTGAAGGAAAAAGTCACACGGTACAAACCATTTCATTTCATACGGTTCTGACTCATCAGCACATAGTCCAAACTTTTGGCCTGAACCACGCTCTAATACATACCAGTATATAACAACATCATTCGCTTGGACGACCGATATAAAAAGCAATTCGAATAGTTGCATAATTTTATTTACCTAATTACAATTACTATAACTATTATAATGTAAGTCATCAAGAAGCGTTAGCTTATTATGAAATGGTTGGATAGATCCTAACGTTCTAGTAAAGGGGGCAGTAATTATCATCGTCAGCCTTGTTGCCGTACTGGCCATCTGCTGGCCGACAGCTGAGACCCTGGGTTGGCAGCTGCGTCATAACTGTGTCACAGCCGAAGCCAGATGCAAACCAGGTCTGCCAGCTGCATTGTTCCTTAATGATTGGTATCTAGGCCGTGGCTCTTGCCATTACCCATGATTATTAGACTCTACATTCTCGACGCTATGATCATTCGGGGAATAATTTAGAATGGTAGGTGACGAGCCGTGTCAGTTGGGAAACCTATATATATCCCTGGGACCTAAATCAAAATCTAAACGACGATTTCCCCCAATAACCAACTCTCTAACAATCACAAATTTCTCTTCTTTCTCACGGCATAACGACAAGTCTCGTTTGATAATTCACTTACTTTCACCTACGATACAATCCGTATGTATTATTTATTTTTCTATGTTATGTCGACGTCCATGTTATCGCGTTATCAAGAGAGATTTACTAATTGATACGATGCAATAATAGACGCGAACCATAATGTCATCGTCAGAATCAGAATCAGTATCTTCTGGCAATCATTTACCAGCCTCACCTCCCTCACCCTCCCCTTCATTGTCTAGCTCATCATCTGGATCATCCGAAGCAAGCAATGGCCTCTTTGCGCACCACACAAATCTAGTAATCAGGCTCATGCACGAGACATTTGGGATTGATGTGCCTAACCCAGGTGCCTACATTCTCAGGCCTGGGACACCATTCTCTCCGGAGCAAGTTAACCAAATGTGGAATATACTAGTCAATGTGCGCGAACAAGGTAATGCAGCTGATGTCGGTACGTAAATCTCCTCAAAATGAAACGGCAATATTTAATGACTAATCAACCCGATAGATGCCCCTGACCAAGTCCAAGAGGCAGCACAAGCCCCCCAATTCAACCCGGACTTACAGTGTCCACAATGCAACAAGGTCTTCAAGACCAAGGCCACATATCGCCAGCACAGCCAATCTGTGCACATTGGCACGAAGTGCTACTGGCCTGGTTGCTCGTTAACATTCTCGAGCGAAAGAGAGTTGAACAAACATCTCAAGGAACATAACACGCTTGCATCCAACGGGGATCCGCAGAATATGTTGACCTGCAATTTCCCAGGATGTGGAAAGGTCTGCACTATGGCAGAGATTGTCGCACGTCATCTCCGTCGACATATTATCGGAGCGCTGAACGCTTCACAGTCCTAAATATGGGTACCATGGAAAGGATATCCCATGTGGACTGATAAGGGACTGAATGCGCACCTGAAGGCCCACAATGCCCAGGCATCCGGAGAAGATCCCAAAGGCGCGTATATATGCCATTTCTCGGGCTATGGAAAGGAGTACACCATGACGGAGAGCGTGGCTCGTCATCTCCGCCGGCATACAATCGAAGCGCTGAATGCTTCACAGCCTTAGAGGTACCTAGGAAAGGATAGCCCATGTGGAAATTAAGGGCGCATTATGATCTATATGCCTTAACCAGCCTTCTCTGTAAGTTCTCCATGCTTTCCAATATTATAAAGTGAGATGGTCTGACATTTTTCTAGACAATTCCCTCTTACTCGGATGTCCTCTGCGATAGCTTCATCTACGCGGAGGACCAATAGGGTGGGCTGGCTAACTTCACATACTTGGCCAATTGAAGGGCCTTCTCTCCCTAGATCGATATAGGTACTTTGCTACATTGCTTGGGATTAATAGGGAATTGAGAGTTGGAACTGGTTACATGTGCGTTGTGGACAATAAGTAGGTTCACAACCGATAAGGTCCCTCTTAATGATAAAACCAAATGATTCATCTAAAGAATTGGCGGCATTTCCATTGAACTAACATCCTCGACACCGTGATAATGGAAAGATGATTGTCTTGCAGACCTCTCCCAAGAAGGAATACTTGAAATCGAGATTGACATATCTATCTAAGTGAACCTAACTTACCCTTCCACCCAACACACACAGGGAAAGTACCTATCCATTATGATTGCCTACATAGCTTTCATCGTGAGTTGAATAGATAGGAAGTACTGTTAGTAGTAGCACTGGAATTCATTGAATTGTAGAAACTTATTTACACATGAATTGTGATATAATTGTAATCAATGGTAATTAAAGTGCGTTTATTCTTGGTAACAAAACTGCTACAATAAATCCGCAACCAAGAATCCTTGCTCAAAAAAAGGGGTATTCGACGATGTTGAATCAGGAGGTTTGATTGGTTGAATCAGCAGAAATAGTGGGCTGAGTGAGCGATGGGAGGTTAAAAGAAAGTATTCTGCCAATCTCACCGCCTTAAATGCCCATAAGCTCTCCTTCGTCTTGCTAAGTTTTAAGAATTCCTCCTATTTATTCTATGTGTGTAATTATCATTCTTCCAAACTTGGTTTCTCCGTTACTAGTAACCTCTAAGCATTAGCATGCAGAAAACAACGTGTTAACAAATAGAAGCCCATTGCCTTCTTCCGTTTTCATTGATTGTGTGTAGAACTCATTGATTCTCCGAGTAGGCCTTTCCTAGCTATACTCAGCAGACCATGTATAACAGGAGCTATTGGGTTGGTTTTGAAAATCAGCCATGGTACTAGAAACCATGCCCTAGGTAGTGGCCCCTGGAGAGGAATATGACATTCTGTATTGTAGTTCCTAGGTACTTAGGTAGGTATTCATACGGTATACCCCCTTGTCCCTTCAACTTGCGAGATCTAAGAGAATCCACTGAAAACAAATTCACCCTAGCCTAATAGTAGTTTCGGCCAATCAAATTTAATCTTCATTGGCATAGGCCTATGTAGGTATTTTAAGATCAGTCGGATTTGGATTCAATCAGACCTAGTGTCCAATTTCCTTACTACCTAGGGATACTCTGGCCTCACCAAGCTCTTCAATCACCTCAAAGTTGCCCTCTTTTTGGGCCCAAGTTTTGATATCTACTCGTCCCATTCAATCCAGCATAAATTGTTAACTCTTCGCCAATCAAGTGCGAAACCTCAAACGTCTTAACTACGGTTAGTCCAATAAAAAGGGGCTACGTGATGGAAATATACACCATCAGCGTCTAGGATACGAACGTGGACTCCTCTAAGTTGGAACCGCAAATTCAATTTCTGGGGCTGCTCTAGGCTCAATACATCGTTTTGTTTCTTATCTACCTGGGATCAGTTACTTCACTATTGGAGGCGACCCTTGCAGCTTTTCGTCACTGACGTGTTGGTACCATTTTACTCAAATCAGCGATATTCTCCGGCCCATTCTGTCTCACCGCCTTTTGCTACTCCTGATCCAAGAAATTATGTATGTTTTCCGACCGCTGCCCGAACGTACGCACCCCCTTCCTCAGCTGAATCCTGTGTTCAAGATCGGCTTGCCTGATAGTGGATTACACATCATTTCGTGGAAAGCCCACATACTGTAAAACAACATCGAATCTAGGAATTATGGAATCACATACGTCAAGCTAGTTCATGATACATACCCGTCTTATACCGTTTTGCGTACGGTCGCCATTCAAGCCTAAAATCCGAATGAGTTCATGCAAAGATAATTCATACATACCAATTGCGATATTTACTGTAAAGCTGAATATATCGGTATAATGGCAGCACGATGTGACTCTCAGGTCAACGACCACCACAACCAAGATGATCCTAAACTAGATTTGGACATCGTCAATAATAACGACGGCTTAATCCAAGACGATGTTGTCAAGCTCAAGGGTTCAGAATGTGCGAGGTTCATATCCTTCAAAAACCAGGAGTTCGCGTCTCTCAAACACCTCGGCATGAAGGTCCCTGACCACTTTGAGAGCGAAGAGGAGCAAATACAACATTATTTGTCGTACGAAGGCACTAAAGATTATAGAGATGAGGATGGCTGTACTTTGCTGCATGGGATAGGCGAGTCTACGCCTCTACCTATAATCAAGCTCCTGGCTGAAGCAGGGGTTCCGACGGATACCAAAAATAACGACGGCTACACTCCCTTAGCAGTGGCCGTCTGCAACAGAAATGTCGCTGCGGTGGAGTACCTTATCAGCCTAAATACCGATGTCAATGTCAAGTTACAGGACAACTATGCTGGCAACCTTCCACAATTAGCTTGTTATAACCACTCCCTCGAGATCTTGAACTTGCTGGTTGAAGCTAAAGCGAATCTTTCAACCTCTAACGATGGATTCGGGGAATCCTTGCTCCTTGTCGCTCTTAGGAGAGGTTCTTTTGGGGACCTAAGCGTAGACTTGATACGTTATCTTGTGGATGAACTTCGGTTCGACGTCAATGCCAGCGATGGCCGTTCAAGATACCCTATCATCGAAGCTACGGCATTCAATACTCGCAATATGTCTCGCGATTCAGAGGTATTGAAATTTCTCATCAGCCGTAAGGCCGACCTTGATGTAGTTGATGAGGAAGGCCGCCGAGCGGTTCATATCGCCGCGATTGGGCTTTGTAGCCATGCTCTCGAGACGCTCGTCGAGGCCGGAGCCGATATCAATGTCGAAGATCACTATGGGCGCAGGCCGATTCACTTTGCTGCTGGTCATTCTCCAGATTGTTTAGAGTATATTCTCGATTACGAGGTCGACATAAACGTTCCGGATAAAGACGGCTGGACTCCTCTCATGTGGGCGGCGCGTTCAGGCAAAGAATGGTCGGTTAGGATGTTAACGAGGGTTGGAGCTGATATATGGTGTCGTGGGCGTGGTTACGGGACTGAATGGTCGGCCCTAAAGCTAGCAAGATTTTGGAACTGGCGGGAGGCGCCTGATGTACCAGCACTTCTCATCCCGAGGAAACTAACGCGGAAAACAGCCGATGGGAGAATGGAGGTATGGGAAAATGATTTCCATAGGTCCCTCCCTTCACACCGCAAGTTCTCCAGTTGCACGAGTTGTGACATGGTACGTATTATCGGATGAGAATTACTCGATACGAGAATTGATACGCTAACAAGAATCAATCAACCGCCTAGGAGATCATCGGACTTGAATGGAAGTGTATAGAGTGCCATGATAAACGTGTTCAGTTTTGTTTCAAATGCTACAGTCACGTATCTACTCTACACGATCCGGAGCACAGTTTCAAAAACATTGGCCCCCTTTACGACAACCGGCCAATGCCCCCTGAAAATGATGCTAAGGACGAAGATGAATTCTCGGAGGATGAAAGCGTCCAGTCCATCGAGGAAGTTCCAGAAATTGACGACGATTCGATTGTGGAGGTAGAGGACTACGACGACTGCGACGTATCGGTATTTGATAACGAAAGTATCGACAATGATGCTGAATGGATGATGTTGTATCACGAGCGGACTATTAAGATCTGAATAGGGTGACAGTAGAGTAGTATGCTGAGTTGTGATGTTTATACCCGTGGATTTCTAAGCAGCAATCATATCATCTCCTCTCTAAAGTTATAGGCGCAAATTGTATTTACTTAGGTTATATTCAAATGATCATGGATGTTCACAAAAAGGAATAACCCGTGACTAGGTAATTGGTAAATTGGCCCAGGCACTGTTAACGGGGCATCATTCTTTTATGAGCACTTCTCACGCTGCTTTTCACGTGTCACAAGGCCGCTAAGCCACATTTAGGGGGGCGTGGATGTAAAGAATACCTATTCGAAGTAAGCCTTATATGAGGCTGAAACGTGATACCGCCAGGCCCGAATATCATTACCGTATTCGGATGGGGTTACATGGATCGAAGAACCCTAAAAAGCTTGTGTTGGAACCAACAACAATCCCATCGATGATCCGATTGATAATGCATACTATGTAGGTAGGGAGAAGGCGTGAACAACTTAATGCTGGCTCAAGGAGGTTTATTAGCCTTCCAACGCTACCTAGGTATTTTCGATGAGTTGGTTGTGATGCGCTAATAAAGACACGCGCATCCATGTTCCTATGTCCTCGTAATTGTGTGACAGGTCATAAATTGCGGATCGGCGGCAATTTGAGACTGGAGAGGAAGTTAAAGAAGACAAACCGAACTGATTAATCTGTATTTCTGACATCCCACTTAAACCAACATCATGGGCAATGTATTCAGCCAGTTCTACTTCATCCCAGCCGCGCGTCTCACGGAAGATAATTGTCCCGACCAGAAAGGCCGAGTATGTCGCGTCACTCTCCCCAGCCCTCCAGCTTTCTATGTCATCGGCGCACGCGCTCAACTGTAACAGGTCTTCATTGTGACGGGTGGCTATTCTGGAGTAGGGTACGAACTATGCAGGATTCTCTATCTTCACAATGCGACTGTTTGGATAGCAGGCCGCTCCGTACCCAAAGCCCAGGAGGCAATATCGCGTATCAAGGAGGCAGCGCCTAGAAGTGAAGGTCGCCTCGAGCTTTTACATCTCGATCTCTCCGACCTCTCCACCATCAAGCCCGCAGTCGATTCTTTCACTGCTCAGCAACAGCGCCTCGATGTTCTCGTGAACAATGCTGGTGTAAGCTTCTTCGATTCTCATTTTCTAGTAAATGTTTTCCCATCTAACGGGCTCTGGGGGTTCATAGGTCATGTATCCTCCTGAAGGTAGCACGGATGCACAGGGGAACGAGCTACAGGTAGGCACCAATTGTCTAGGGCCCTACCTTCTCTACCAACTACTCCTCCCTCTTCTTACAAAAACTGCCTCCTCTTCGCCGACGGCTAGTGTGCGTGTCCTGTGGGCTGCTTCTATCGCTTTACACGTGGCCCTACCAACACCGCAGGGGATCATCATCGATGATGATGGTCGACCCACCGATCAAGGTGTTAGCAATAACTACAGTCAGACAAAGGCGGGCAACGTCTTTATGGCGCGAGAGTTCTCCAAGGCGACGCCTCATACGGGCGTGGTGCATGCGGCTTTCAACCCAGGTAATCTACGTACGGGGCTGCAGCGACATTGGGCTGGCTTCGGTCGTTGGGTTACGGTAAGCTGCTACGATTGCTTTTTTGGCTGCGATCTGCAACTGTCATTAGGACGTCTTCTGATATATTGTGATCGCAGGAAACGTTCTTAGTCTATCCGCCGGTCTATGGCGCTTATACGGAGCTGTGGGCGGCTCTTACCCCTGAACTAACGCCTGAGAAGAGCGGCGCATATATCTATCCTTGGGGTAGGTTCGGGAGTCTCCCTGCAGAAGTCGAAAGTTCAATGAAGAGCAAATCCGAGGGTGGGACAGGTATTGCAGCAAAATTCGTGGAATGGTGCGATAAACAGACGAATGCTTTCGCATAGATTCGGCGGGATGGGCTCTGGACATTCATAACGTATATTTGCGCGTGCCCTGATACACTGGCGGATATTAATTACAACTCGCGTGTACGGTAGACTTCACGGCTTTACAAAGAATTCAGTGCAACAGGAAGAGCTTTCCTGAGATATATCACACGTACAAAAGTCCACGTAATTAGGTACCTCGTAGGTAGGTAAAATATAGTGCATGTACCTATACACCTCCAGGGTCATTGGTATCTGATTAGTGTACGCGTCGATCAAGAGACGAGGCTCATGGTTCAAATTTTCCGCCCAAAATTCATATCATTAAGCAATTTACAAATGCCGGTGAGAGTAATCACTCATCCCTCCTCTTCCTCAGGACGATTTTCTGTTCAAAGTTCGGGTGTACCTCCGTGTCGTACTTCGTATTCGGCGGTCGTTCTGTCTGCCCAGGAGGAAACGAAATGTCGTAGTTGAGTAGTAAGTTCGCTATGATCAGTTTAATCATTGCGGCTCCATACCATCGTCCTGGGCATGTGAACCTGCCATTGCCCCATGAGAGATTGCCTGGTTCAATGCCTGTATAGTCCTGTTGCATACTGGTCTTAGACCTGACATTGGCATCTTCGTATTGGCGATAGAAGCGAAGACCATCGAAATGCTGGGGATTCACATAGAATGATGGGTCGCGTGACATGGGTCCTCCGGGGATGACGATTGAAGCTCCGTGTTGGAGCACAGTCTTTCCATCAGACAGCTCAATGGGAGACATAACCTTGCGATCAAAACCAACTATACGATCAAGCAGTCAGCAAAGGGCAATTTCACTAATAGATTATGTATGCGTTGCTTACGGAACGTGGACTGATTCATACGTTGCGACTCTTTCAGGAAACTGTCCAGCCGACGAAGCTTCTTGATAGTCGAAAGGTGCCATTGACCATTGTCTTGAGCAAGCGCTATTTGCGCTTCGCATCGCAAAAGTTCTATGTATTCTGGCATAGTGCAAAGATCGAAGATGGCATGTGTAATTGCCATGGAAGACGTATGGAGCTGTTGCACAATTAGTCTCGAGGTTTTATTTGTCTCAGCTTATGTAATCTTACTGCGGCCGCCGTCAAGAGTAGAAGTCTGGCAGTAATACTGTCTGCATCTTTGTCCTTTCCACTTTCAATGAAAAGCTTCATTACACTTGGCTCCTGTTTGGCTTCTATTGGTTCCGATTGGGGAAAGAGAAGGTCTCGCACGGCAGCACGCTGACGGAAGATGCGGTTTCGCTGCGGAATTAGAGGTGCAATATAGCATCGAAGAAATGCCGGGAATGGCAACAGGAGGAATTTTGTGATTTCGACATCGATAGGTAAGTTTGTGACAGCACTCGTCCTTCGCAGCTCTAGGAATTAGTCATTACGGAAGATAGGTAGATACAGCTATAACGATTGAAGCGTGTCTACTTTAAGGTGTTATATGGAGCGTGTCTTTAACTCTAGATGATAAATCCGAAAATACGGGAAAGGCTTCGGGGGTTGCATACCAAATCGAGCTGTGGCAGTATGATTTGCCAACGAAGACTAAGGATGAAATGCGATGAATGAAGGAAAACAAGAAGTCATAAGCGACACAAGATACTAGTCATTCAACCAAAGTCATTTTCATGCTCAACAAAGCGCTTCATCAGACGACTCACTCTCAGGTTCCCGCTGGCTTAATTGCTCATTCATGACCGCATGAAGCTCCTCTGCCATCTGGGGTAGGAATATTGCTACACAATCAGTATCAAGGAGGTCTTATATCATATTTTTGACAGCCTTACGTAGATTTCTCGTTAACGGGCCCCTGCAGATATCAGAGGTCAAGTGGTCGCGCAAGAGAAGATCCACGCCGCAATATTGACCCATTACGCTATCCACCAAGGCTGCAGTGGAGCTGAGCTTAGACTCCGGGAGCATATTAAGCTCATTGAGGAACTTAGGTGCAAGCACGACGGTATCGCCCATCAATGTCTGGATAACATAGTTCGTATGTTTGGACTATGCTCAGGTCACGATCAGTAGGTCAGCTTACAGACCCTCGATTACCACGTTCCCATACCTGTTTATAGGCCTCTATCACATCTTCGTGACCACGCTTATACCACTTCCATCGAGCCCACCACATGTAAAGGGAGAAAGGTCCGGGACTTGTTCCAACCCTTGGCAAGCCAGCTGAAGACTGGGAAAGGCTGTCGAAGATGCTGGCGACTGCCCACACAGCTCCTACGAGCATAATTGTCTCTAGAAACATGGCCGAGGTAGGCAGAAGCTCTGCGGCATTTGCTTTTGCGATTATGAAGAAAGAAATTCGTGTAAAGTTACAAATAAGCTAATGCAAGTTGGAAAGAGGGCTTTTAATTAATACCTACCTAGGTACCCAGGTATGTTACACCTGGCCCCCACTCAGACGGGAAGGCTCGCAGTCCATAGATCTACCAACAGATCGGTCACTCAAGGGATGCACCTCTATATATGTACCTGATATGTACCTACCTACCTACCTAGTAGGTATGGGACGGTCCATGCTGTGTTAGGGCGCCACAACACTGCCTAGTACTTACTTAGTACTTACCTAGTACTTACCTAGTACCTAGTATCAAGCGCCCATTCATTTCAGAGCAACATATCATTAGTGCGGCAGCGTCCCTTTAAGTGGGAGTGCTGCCGCGTAGATCCCCACTGCCAAGAGCAGAATCTCCGACGGTGCGCCAAATGAGCTAAACCGCCAAAAAGCCTCAAAATTTTTAATTATAATATATAATTATTGTATTAGCACTGTATTGATACTGTATTTTTTTCGGTGTAGGCCTTGTATTATTAGGGGGCTTAGCGCTATTAGGCCCTATAACTATAAGGGGTTATAGTACGTATTTATAATGATTGATTTTAACCAATTAAATCTATCGCACTTTAAGCAACAATACCAATAACAAGCACTTATAATTATTTATTTAAATTATTTAATATAATACAACGTATATTAAAATGAAGCTCTTTAATTGCTGAATTAATTGATATAATTTTGTTCTTGTATGGCTTGTATAGGTTTAGCTATTGCTCAGCTGTCGTTGAGCCTTCGTTCAGCCCTTGTTGAACCCCATTACAAATTAAAACTTATTATTCTATACCTTTATTATATTCAATCGAAGGCGCTTTTAAACCTCTATTGAACGGTATAAGCAATGCACTATGGGTCGCGTTCTTGAACTCGTTATTCTAATTGAAGTAAAATGTAGAAACGTTTTGAGGCTTTGGCGGTTTAAGTCAAATGGCCCGCCGTCTCTACTATGCGCATCTACTGTTGCTGCTTTCCTTGTGCAACTTTCTGCTCACTTTTGAAAGAGACTTCTGTAGCCCTATTTCACGCACGCTATTATGGCTGACACTCAACAACCGACGATTTGGGGCCTAGGTAGGTAGGTATTGCCTTCCCAATTCTTGCCATCATGGCCGTTGTACTCCGGTTTCAGGTTCGGCGTATCAAAAGGCCAGAAGTTGGGATCCGATGACTGGACTATCGTCATAGCCTTAGTACGATATCCTTCTTTCTAGCGTCATTGGTGTTCACTTTCTCTAATAGATGGTGGTTAAAAATACTAGAAATTGGTGTCACAATAGACATCCTCATTAGTGAGCTACAACATGATCTCCTCTGTCCGCGAATATCTTGACAAGTCGTGAATCATCAGTGACTCAAATTGGCGGTCTTGGAACCCATGCACAATACGATGGTGATGGGAACCCTCTCAATCCCGAGGCCATCATCGTTTTTGGCAAGGTAGGTTCGGCATTGCATATAGTGGATTCATACGATGGTGACTGAGTGTATATAATGCAGACGACGTACGCACTCGAGCTCCTGACATGGCCGGCAGTGGGCTTCACTAAGATTAGTGTTATCCTAATGTATAAGCGTATTTTTACGACTCCAAGGTTCCAGAAAATTTCCTGGATTCTAGTTGGTTTCAATATTGCCTGGACCATATCCTTTACATTTGCGCTCATGTGTATGTCTTTCCTTTGCGATGGTACCCCTCTATTACTAGACTAATATCCCAGTCTCATGCATGCCAATTGCCTCACAGTGGGACTTTGAACTCGAGTTTACTTGTGTGGACCAAGCGGCGCTCTTCACTATTGCCTTAGCGACAGATGTCGCAGCAGATTGTAAGCATACCTATCAGGGACACTAAACCGAGTCCCCCGGACCACGACTTACTTGTATGCTAGTCCTAGTCCTCCTCCTACCTATCCACAAAGTTTGGCAGCTACAGATGTCTATAACCCGGAAAACCATGATCATATGCATCTTCCTTCTCGGTGGCCTAGTCAGCGTCGTCGGCCTTATTCGAATCCACTATTTAACTAAGGTCTACGAGGTGCTCGAGGCGTCTCCTGAAGCCGACACCACCTGTACGTTGATTAGTTGATAACCCAACGGCACTGTTGTCATGAGATACTGACATAAAAGTTTCAGGGATATTTGCGCAAGTCTATTACTGGACCATCATCGAGACCAATGTTGGGGTCTTGAGCGCGTGTCTCCCTACCTTCCACCCCATCCAGGAACACGTCACGCGTTACTTCTCCTTCACTAAGTTGCGAAACTCACTCGCACATCTTCTCTCATCATCTAGCGATGAAGCGAGCGACATTCGTCTCATTCCCATAGAGGAAGGCCTAAACTGGAACAAGAAAGACACCCCGTACCCGTCCGGGCAGCAAGGAGCCTACCGCCGCCTCTGGAGACTCTGCCTCAAATATACCACATTATAGCCTTCAAAGTCCCAAGATACTTTGGCAGTGCACCGAACAGGACGCAAATACCTCGTCTTCAACGGCTACAGCCTTGGGTCGTCTTGTTTTAAATGTAGCAGGTGGGTTGAAGTTGAATGCAATCCGAAAAATCTACCTAGTATATTTGGAAAGGGGCTACGTACCTAGCGTAGTAATACGGGTCTATCTGAGTCCTCTTACCTTGTGTTGCTTGACTTGGTGGCTTGCTGGGATATGACTGCTGACATGTGAACGCTCCATATCTTTAAAAGCCCGAGCATAGGTCGGTCAGTATATTCAGGCGTATTAATCTATTCGGTCCTCTTTGCGAGAAATTCGAACTGAATGGTTAGTATACGGTTTGTCATAATCTTGTGATCGGCATCACGACATCCACCGAAGGCGGATCCGGCGTTGCATTGGATATCTTCCCTGCTGCCTCCAAATTCTCGCATAGTCCGTCCTCCCTACGACGGTTGCATTGTGGCGATAATTTGCGCCTGTGAGAGGTTGTACACGACGCCGTAGAAGGGCATCGCGTCTAGGCGAATGCACCGCGCTTCCTAGATGTAACCACGAAGTTACATGCATCACCTAGGTATTTCCGAGATCCGTTCCCTCGGGCTCCCCCGAGGATTCCACGTCATCTGTGGCCCCTATAGGAAGGAAAATACGTAATGAAGAACATCACTTCTTATAAATTTCTATACTCCAATTTTATATTAGCAGACCCTATAACGAAGCCTCTCGATACGGCCCGATGTACACGTTTTCTCGTGTCTTAGAAGGAGAGGAAGTCCAGATATACTCATGGATTAGTGCCCTATAGTCGAAACAATGGCATGATGGATTTAGTAAGCCGTATCCTCTTTTGGCGTCGGATAGTACCCCCACATCCCAATTTTAGGGCAAGGCACCATGGAAGAGATGAAGATACTGAATAGAAACATAAAACGTGGAGTACGGCGTACTCTCTAAGCCTCAAGAAAGACGTTTTGTCCTAAGCGCATAGGCGCGCTATCGCGTGGACACGCGCCTCCTAAGCCAATGAGTAGATGACAATCCGGGTAACTGATAGTAACACGGGTATCAGATCTGACGCAAGCTGTCCTTAGCTAAGAGATGAGATGTTACTATGTTTAGTTGACATTCGATGCGGTGCAACGGAACATGCACGTAGTCGATCGGCTTATATATGTACGCCATTTAGCCTTCCCATAATGTGACGCACCTACATTGAAAAGGGGCTGAGATTCGGTAGGGTCGCATCGCCAGCCCTAAGGAAGATGCGGTAGCATTATACGTCGGTTGGGCCGGCTTAAAAGGGATTAGTGATTTCAGTCTCTCGCATCCCTAGTCTACATTTGTAAAGGCGCGGATGGGGCCCAGCACCCGCCGCGGCTCATCACTACTATGGTATGGAGGGTATTAGTTAACACAGGCCTAAGTATTTTTAAGTTTCTTGGCAATCGCAGGGGTAAAAAAAGATACTTACGCCTACATTCATTGAAGGGACTAATACTGATTTAGTCTAGTGGACTGCTTCACGTGACGGATTGGTACTTTGGGGGGTGTTAATTAATTGGCCTGATACCGCAGTACCTGCCGGTAGTGGGACTTGCTGCAAATGATATCAATCTGCGAGCCCGATCGCGAACCCGGTCCGCTAGCGCGGCAAGGGGGCGGCCCGCGAGAAAGATTCCGAATAGGGACGTCATTCCTCGGCGCTCGCTTTCGATATGCGGAAATGGCGATGGCACAGATTGACGCGGCTTGATTAACTTAAGATCCTATCTAATGACTTGAACCCCAAAAAATGCTGATAAATTCTCTCGGTGTGCCTATCGGCACATGCATCGATCATCTCGAGAGACACCGAGCTGGTTCCGCCACGACACGAGATATGGGCAGAATAGGCTTTCCCGATGATGAAGAAAAGTCCTGGATATTTGTAAGGAGGACTAGAACATATCATATAAGAAGAGAATGAAGCCGGATATGGACTCGAGAATAGACATACTCATCACCAGCAAATCCACAGCGACAAATCTAAATAAACCAACAAGACCGACTCAGAGAATGTCTCCAGCAGACTCTTCAACTTCAGGGGGATCAGGGAGTAAGACTTCACGAGCAACCTAGCAAACATATAGAACCCAATAGCTAACAAGGACAAAGGTAATGCTGGATCCTCGAAGAAAGACGGCGAGTCTTCGAAGGTATGAACCTGTAGAGGTCAATATGGACATGATACTAATATGGTGCTGCCTCAGAAGGACCAGCCGCCCAACCAAGATGGGGGTTCATCGGGCCAAGGCCAAGGTGGTGGTGGTTCGGGGCCATACGTATCGCCGCCTGATTTTTTCTCTTACAACGACCCCGGCGATGACTTCTCGGCAAAGTAGACACCAGTGCCCCCAACCGTGGATTAGACTACTACGGCTCAAAGCTTACGGGATATGATGACTTGGGAATGACTTCGGATGTAATCATTGTCCAGGGGAAAGGGGAGTAAACGGCATTTGGCAACAGGATAAGGATCAGTTCATGTATCACCCGGCTTTTTTTTTTTTTTCAAAATTTGTATTAGTAACTGGAATTCATAGGTAGACACGCTCCTTACGAAAAATATATCTGACATAGATATCGTTATATTCACACTAACTTGCTTGAACATTGGTCTATGCTACCAAAATAGGGATCTCTTGACGATAGGATCTCTTAAGTTTGTAGAGTAAGCCCTGGTGCAACACCGATTTTATAGGAGCTATGACACGCATATGGTCTCGAGCTTGTATGTCCGCTTGGTATATAGTCGCTTTAGCCAATGGTGTCAACACATTATTACTACCCCCTATTGTATGAAAAATTCTTTCATGTTACACCTGTAATGGGGCATCTTTTTTCTCCTCTTTTCAACGATAGCTACTTTAAGCTAGGTTAGGTACCTATATGTAAGTTATTGCTTCTTACATACAATCTAACCTTTTAGGTATGTGAGTGTCAGACTGAGTCGTATCCAAATGCCCCACAAACCTACTAGATTTGAGATTTCTCCAAGTTTAGTTGCACTATTACTTATCGTTGCATAAAAGTTTTAAAGGGTTCGGAAGCCGACGCTTCTCGTAGAAAGAAATTTCGATGGTGCTAAAGTTTCTATATCGCTTAACGCGCCCCTATTCCAAAATCACTGTGGGTATAGGGGTTGACCTAGACTACCTAGGTATTTGCGTTCAGGCTAGATGTTTACTGACGCATCTTTATAATGTTTCTAGATATAACTTCTTTGTTACCTAGCCTTCCAATTTTCTTGGTTTAATAAGCACCCACCCTAGCACGTAGTATAAAAAAGGTGCTGCCATAAGCTTGAACTTAGGTAAGACAGTCTCACATAACACAAGCTATCCAGGTAACTACCAAGCTTGGAGATAAAATACGAGGACATATCGCCACAAGTAAGTCAGCCTTATGGAGCCTCGAGTTACTGTCACACCCTTCTCATCCCTATTTATCAATCTCGAGGCATTGTTTTGGTCAAGTAAAGTTATCTTAGACCGTCAACTCGTTTCATTGGTCGCTATGTCATGAGCTGTAACCCACGTGTAAGTTCACCTTCGGTCGACCGCAAAATTTGATCAGATATTGGGCTGCTTTAATCTATTTTTCGGGCGCATATATACTGGGGTAATCTTCACTTACCAGCCTATAGTTTCATAGGAAAGACAACTCAGTCTCATGACGATTGCGCAACTTTCAAGTGAATAGATTGCTAGATTTACATATGAGGCCATATCTGCATGAGAACAAGTGTCTTTTATCTTGTCGGAAGAGCGCCGGGTTAGGCAGACAAAACAGATGCCAGAACTCAGCTCAGGGGAAGAAAGTGGAAGGCAGCAGAATGACTGATGAGTCTCAAAATGCAACGTGTTTATTTAGATTTGGGGAATATTAATAGCTTGAGTCTGTAACTTGTCAAGCATCTCGAAGCTCATCCGACTATTGAAGTTTCTGAATCTTATTGAACTGAATCTCAGACGATATCAAGGAAGTTGAAGTTGAATACGAAGTACTAAGACAATGTAAGTACATAAACCTTAACCCGAGGTCCCGAGTTGCCCCTGTGTAGCGATGCACGGTTCAGGTTTAGCAGGCTAATCGAGGCAAATGACAAGCCCCAGCAAGCCTTCATACCGAGCTATTCCCTGCAGCGGAGACCTAATACAGCTAGCCGCTACAAGCCCCGCGCGACTAATTAAGGCATCAACGCCTGTACCGGGTAGGTACCATTCAAGACCTCCAAGTGCGGCGTAGCGCAGGTGATTTGCTTACTGCTTGTGACGTTCTTTGGCGGGGTCATCCGCCGTGATCTCTTTAATAAATCGTCATTTACGATTCTAGCTTAAACTTAAGCCAAGAAGCGCGTCGCCGACATTTCTAGCCCGACTGCAGAACTTAAACCTCGAAACTTATTTCCTTATTATTTTATCTTATCTTACCTAGCCCTCTTCGAGGTGATTTTCCATCGAGTCTTTGCCGGCACTCCGGCAAACCTTTCTTTGTCAAGAAACTTTTCCTTTCAACAATCCGCCATCCCGAATTCCTGGGATTAATCAATCCGTTCCTACGACCCCCAATACAACTCCCCCTGAGGCTGACTGACCCAACTTGACAAGCCATCCTAATCCAACGTCCTAAACCGAAGCCTACGAGGAACTCGTCGCTATCCACTATTCCCCCTTTTCGAATTTCGATCGAGACGAGACCGGGCCTACCAATCACCATGTTCGACATCATCCCAAAGCTCCTCTCGTACGTCCCACTAAACCCCCAGTTCTTTGTGCCGCGAAAACGAAGATCATGAGATGAGCACTGCCGTGTACTAACAGCGAACGACCACAGCTCCGTAGCATCCTTCCTCTTCCCCCTCTTCGCCTCCTACAAGGCGCTCAAGACCTCCGACCCCGCGCAGCTGACGCCATGGCTGATGTACTGGTCCGTCCTCTCCTGCGCCCTGCTCGTCGAGTCCTGGACCGAGTTCATCCTCTGGTGGGTGCCCTTCTACGCCTACATGCGCCTCGGCTTCCTGCTCTACCTCGTCCTGCCCCAGACCCAGGGCGCGCGCGTGCTATACGAGGCTTACCTGCACCCCTACCTCGAGGAGAACGAGACCGTGATCGAGGACTTCATCGCCAGCGCCCACGATAGGCTCAAGGCCGCCGGCATGGCCTACCTGAAGCGCGCCATTGAATTGCTGCGCACCCAGGTACTGGGCATGCCGCCGCGTGAGGAAGAGCAGGAGGACACCAGAGCCACCGCCGCGCCCCAGGGATACACGCAAGCACTACTCGCTAGGTTCAGCGTGCCGGCCGCCCAATGGGTAGCGAACAACAGCGACACGTCCAACAACAACTTCTACAACATGCTCGCCGGCGCCGTTGGTGCCGCGGCCAGCAGCTTCGCGCCGCCCTCGGGCAACCAGGAGGCGTCCACGGCGACCCTGATCCCCGAGAACATAAGCGGGGCCGAGGACAAGATCAACTTCATCGCCGCGCAGAGGGAGAAGCTGGCGTTCATGATGGGCGCCCTGGACAAGGAGGCCAAGCAGCTCGAGGAGCGCAAGGCGGCGGAGCAGGCGAGGAAGGACCTGCGCCCCGGCAGCACGAGCCTAGACGGACAAGAGGGCTCGCGCCCGCCGAGCGGCCACAGCGTGTGGAGCGGACTCAGTAAGAGCCGGAGCGAGGTCGATTTTGAGAAGATCGACGCCGAGAGCGGCGCTGAGGAGGACGAGGGTACTTTACGCAGAAGAGGGCCCGCTGGTGAGCCGAGTCCCGGGAGTGCGAGGAGCGGTTGGAGCTTTCTGGGCTGGGGTACCGTAGGCACTGGACAAGGACAAGGACAAGGGGTCGGCGAGCCGGATGCTGGGCATAGCTCTGGGGTTCAGAAGTAGGCTAACCTTGCACCTACACATTCAAATTCAATCGCATGGAGTTAAATGGTTTTCTGGTTCCCTGGACGGTCTTCGCATGCTTGGGGTGACGGGTAGACTTGGTTGAGCTGGTGGTTAGACGATAGGATTCAACTCTTGTCCTAGGCAATAGACTTTTGGAGCTGAGAAGCCGTGGTTTATTCGTGGCTTGTATCATTATGTTCTCTGCCTCCCCGTCTATCCTAGTCAATTCTTTCGTACGTGACATTTGTTTGTATAGACAGCGTCTAATAGAAATCTTCGGGGTATCTCCCTATCGTACAACGCCCCTATTCATTAAATGACATCACCAAGCCCCAATTCTCACCCCGCAGCGAACCTTTTCCCCTGCCCCCAAGCCTATGACTTCTTGAACGGGTAGCGGACCTCGTCGTCCTTGCGCAGCCAGATCTGCTTCTTCTTCTTGGTCGTGACGTGCTCGACCCACTGCTGCATGGCGTGCTCCTTCATGAACTTGCGGATGAAGCGCGGGTCCCACAGCTCCGACGCGATGCCCAGGTCCTTGCAACACCGCATCAGCGCGTTCGACTTGCACCCTTCGGCCGCCGTCGACACGCCCTCCTCGTTGAAATACTGCTGCTCGCCTCGGGCCTGTGCCACGAATCTATTTCCAACCGTCAGTCAGTTTCTACCTCCCCACTTTACTTACACCTTATCCCAAAAAACGGGGGAAAAGAAAGAAACAAGGATGAAAAGAGAGGCAAAAGTAGATTAGGTTAAACTCACCGCCCATGCACAACAAGCGCGTACTCCCGCGTAACAAGCTTCTCATGCACCATGAGCTGCCCGCGCGGGGCCAGCCCCCAGCCTCCCGGCCCGAACGCCGCGTTCAGGATCCGCCGGTACTTGATCTCGGGCAGGTAGATGATGCCGTCGGGCTTGACCTCGATGTCGTCCGGGTCCAGCCGCGCCTGCAGGACCGCGGCGACCTCGGGCCCGAACGAGGACGTGCCGAGGCCGTGGTACGACTGCGTCCAGTCGATCGGCGAGCCGCCGCTGCCGCTGCTGTTGCCGTCGTTGTCGGTCGAGGTCGGCTCGAAGGTCGCGGAGGGGGCGTCGGGCAGGGGGACGCCGGAGACGGCTGGGACGGGGGTACGCGCGGGTGTGGACGTGGAAGTTGAGCCCTGTGTGGGCGTTGGTTTGTAGGTGGAGGTGGAGGTGGAGGTGGTTGAGGTTGGGGGTGTGGCTTTTGAGGCCGTTGAGGGGGATGTTGATCGGGGGGGTACGGAGTACGGCTTCGCTTTGGAAGCGCTGATGAAGGTTTGGCGGGGTAGATGAGACAAACTCTGGACGTTAGCTGGTGATTGCAGCCGTCTAGATACCGCTCGCAACGGCGTTAACGTTCGTGATGCCATTGTTGCCGTGGTCGTGTAGATGTCGTGATGTTATAGTATTATGTAAGTGTGGGTAGTAGTATAGTGGAAGTATAGAGGTAGAAAATTTTAGACGTTGCATGCGCGTAGTTCAGCCAGTCCAGGATCGCCCCTTCGGCTGCGGTCCCGGGTGCCGAGGGCTTATCGATAGGTCTATCAATAATCGCGGAGATTTCCAACAGACAGCTAGCGCGATAGCGTCACAGTTCCTTCCACACTTTTTGATGGAGAGCTTACTGGAGGAACTTCCAAGTGAGTTTAGAGAGGGATTAGTGTGATATTAATAGCTCATTGAGACTTTTTAAGTGTTGCGTATCTTGGTTTTACATAAAATGCTTGTTCCTTTGCTTTCCTTTCCCCTTCCTTTCATGATGTGACTGCGGTCATGCATCTTTGGTAGATGTCCTCTCATCGTTATGGTGTTTCTTCCAACAAGCTCTGAAGATCTCCATCTGTCATTGTTGGTGAAGTCCGTCAGCAGGTTATCAGGCAACTAGAAAAGCAAAAGCAATTCTTTGAAAGAAATCCATGAATATCATCTACCTACCTCTTTCTTGCAAGCTCGCCAATCCTTCTTTTCGAAATAGCAGTCAGTCAACTTAGCATTCTCATCTGCTCCAATTAGTTGGCGTTTCAATATAGGACGGCATTAGCGTGTTCTCGGATTCGTACCTGCGCATCCTGTGCTGAAGATCCTCTTGTCCCTAAATTATTAGGCAAGAAAGTGTCAGCCTACGAGGATCGATAAGGCAGATTTTGTTAAAGCCTACCATTCATCCGGCTCGTCATCATCTTGAGCGGCGCTGCTCTGTTGACTTGTATTTTCATCCTTAGACATTGTGTTGGATGTTCTTTTTTGGTTGAGCGCGTGATCCGGGCGTTGCGACTTTAGGGGCTAAATCCCGCTAGAGGGGCGGTGAAAAGGTGGAAATTCGGGCATCCGGTCGGCGCTGGAATTACCTCATTGAGCCTCCTTAAGGCCGTCCACAAAATCCCTCCCTTCGGACTGTCGGCGCCGAAATTAACCAAACTTCGCTCAGTATGACGTCGCGCAAACTCAATGTACTGGTTTATACGGGTACAGGGTCGACGGTTGAGTCCGTCAAGCACGCAATCTATTCTCTACGCCGACTTCTCTCGCCAAACTACGCAGTCATCCCTATTACGGAGACGGTCCTTCTAAAGGAACCGTGGGGGCCTTCATGCGCGCTGCTCGTTTTCCCAGGCGGTGCTGATCTTGGGTACTGCCGGGTGCTCAATGGCGAAGGTAACTCAATCATATCTGAGTATGTACGCCGGGGTGGTTCGTATCTAGGTTTCTGCGCTGGTGGCTATTACGGATGCAAGAAATGCGAGTTCGAAGTTGGCAACAAGGCCATGGAAGTCGTCGGATTTAGGGAGCTAGCATTCTTCCCTGGAACTTGCAGAGGAGGCGCATTTAAGGGGTTCCAATACCACAGCGAGAAGGGCGCACGCGCTGTACGAGTGAACGTTATGAAAGATGCATTCAGGGGAGCAGGCCTAGTCCCCGAAGTCTTTACATCTTATTACAACGGTGGTGGCGTTTTCGTCGATGCCAAAGACGAGAATCACAACGTCGAGGTATTAGCAAGCTATGCGAGTGAGCTAGACGTCGGTGGTGGTGCTGAAAAGGCCGCTCTGGTGTACTGTAAAGTTGGTCAGGGCGCCGCGATCCTTACTGGGCCGCACCCCGAGTTTGCTGCAGCAAATTTAAGCCCGCAACATAGCGTTGAAGGATACGATGAACTTATCGCTGCCCTCCGAGCCGACGATGATTCACGCACAAGCTTCCTAAAGGCATGCTTAACTAAACTTGGGCTAGAAGTTAACCAGGAATCATCAGGTGTGCCGTCCCTCTCACGACTTCATCTATCGTCTATCTCCAGCAGTGATGTCGATGACCTACTGTGCTCATTAGAAGAAATCATCAGTAAGGAGGACGGCGAGGAGTACATCCGAGCAGAAAACGACACATTTCATTTACAGAAGCCTGATACTATGTGGTCTGTCACCGGATTAAAAGAAGCACTAACACCCAGTGACAGTCCAGATCAAAAGTCGCCTGACCTGAGCGGCGGGGGTATGATTGATTATAGTACCATTATCAAGCGTATTGTGACGCATGAAAATGCCTGGCCGGAAGCTAAAGCAACTCCGTACTTCAACCACAACGCATTTTATTCCAGCTTGCAAGAATATCGCCGGTTAAAGCCAGAGGCAGAGGAATGGGGCGACTTTTTCATGTATGGTGAGGTCGTCACGAGTACCAATACACTTCTCGAGAAAAACTTCAAGCTACTTTCTAAATTACCATCTGGTTTTACGCTAGCGGCGACGACTCAAGTCGCGGGAAGAGGGCGTGGAAGTAACGTCTGGGTGTCGCCAGCCGGATCACTCATCATGTCTACGGTCATTAATCACCCAGCTCATCTCGCACCAAGTCGGCCCATCGTCTTCATCCAATACTTAGCCGCCATTGCTATCGTTCAGGCAGTTAAGTCCTATGATCGAGGATACAGTGAAGTGCCCGTGAAGCTGAAATGGCCCAACGATATATATGCACTAGATCCAAGGCAGCCTTCGTCGTCTCCTCCATCTTACGTAAAAATTGGCGGTATCTTATCCAATTGTTCTTACTCTTCGGGGTCATACCAGATCGTCCTCGGTATCGGGATTAACGCCACCAACGGACGCCCTACAACATCTCTCGACGCCCTGCTCCCTTCACATCTGGCGTCATTCCGGATTGAGAAGTTAATGGCAGGCATTCTGACACACCTAGAAGCTCTGTATAAGGCGTTTATCCGAAGGGGTTTCACAAGGGATATGGAGGGCGAGTATTATAAACACTGGCTTCACGGAAGACAGATTGTCAACCTCGAAGCCCAAGGAGGGGTCAAGGCTCGGATTGTAGGCATTACACGAGATTGGGGCATGTTAAGAGCAGAAGAATTAGGAAGTGATGGCAAGCCAACAGGGAAGATATGGGCCCTGCAGAGTGATGAGAATAGCTTCGATTTCTTCAGGGGGTTGGTGAAGAGAAAGATCTGAATTTTGCGTTCAAACACGATGTTGTTACAACTATCCAAGGCTTGTCATAAGTTATCATATGTACATATCCTTCGGTTATATCACTAAATCAGTTTTCGATATACAACCAGCGACGAGATATAGAATATTACGGCTTTACTAAAACCGGCAGACCATGATGTTCATAGGATATGAGTTCAACTCATCAATTTTTCTCTGTCTAGACTATTCAAGCGCGTCACCCCTTTTCTTCCCACTCCGCAAACACCACTCCCCAACCCATCTCAGCTCAACGGCTTAGTATCCTTGAAAAGATGGTGCTCAAAGGCAGGCGGCACCGTGCCCCCCTTAACCTCGTTCTCCCTCGCGAAGGCCCTGATCTCCCGCTCCTCCTCGTCGCTCAGCCGCACGTCCAGCGCGCCCCAGTTCTCCTCGAGGTACTTGACGCGCTTCGTCCCGGGGATGGGGAAGATGTCGTCGCCCTGCTTCAGCAGCCAGGCCAGCGCCAGCTGCGCGACCGTGCACCCCTTCTTGTCGGCGAGCGCGCGGAACTTGGCCACGTACGCGACGTTGGCCTCGCGGTTGCCGTCCATGAACTGCGGCAGCGCCTTGGGCCGCATGTCGGCGCCGTCGAACGTCGTCGCCGCGCTCTCGGCGCTCGTGAAGGAGGATGTGAGGAGGCCGCGCCCGAGCGGCGTGGCGACTACAACGGCGACGCCGAGGTCCCGGCATGCTTGTAGTAGGTGGGTGCCCGACTCGCCCTCGATGCGCTGGCTGAAGACTGAGTACTCGGTTTGCACAGCGGCTACCGGGGCGATGGCTACGGCGCGCCGGAGGGTGCTGGATGATACCATCGAGAGACCGATGTGCTTGATTTTGCCCTCGCTGGGGGGGTTGTTAGTTGAGTGTGCCGGGGGAGAGAAATGGGAATAAGGACTCACTCTTGCAGTTCTTTTAGACCCCTCATAGTTTCTTCGATGGGGACATTTTCGTTGACGCTGTGGATGTAGTCTGAATTTCATATTAGTTAGAAATATCCGACCGGCTTGCCCAGGAGCAGAGCAGCGTCCCTAGATTCGAATAGGATAGGGACAAAATACTTACACAAATCGATACAGTCGACACCGAGGTTCTCCAGACTCTTCGCCGCGGCTTTCTTAGTGTACTCGTAAGAGCTGTCGGCCTCAAAGGCCGGGTTGCCCTTGATGTGGCCGTACTTAGAGGCGAGGAAAATCTGGTCGCGCTTTCCGGTCCGCTTGAACCATTTCCCAAGGAACTCCTCGCCATTTCCGTAAAGACTTCGTAATCGTCAGTCAGTACTAGCTAACGAAATATTCTACCCCTTACTAAGGGAAAAACGGGGGTAAGAAACTTACTCAGCGGTATCCCAGAACGTCGCTCCGATCTCGAGGGCGCGATCGAGGAACTGGAAGCGTTCCTCGTCGCTGGTGAGCGTTCCGTAGGTAGGATAAGAAAGACCCATGAGTCCCAAACCCATGGCCGGCACGAGAGGGCCGTTCTTGCCAAGAGGGTGGAGGATAGGCTTAGCAGGCATGTTGATATAGAGTAATTTTATCAGAGAATATTTGATCCGGTTTGTCGTCTTGAAGACTGTTTGTGTCTGATGGTTCTAGCTAATTCAAACGAGAGAAGACTGACTTATATATGTATCGACTTTCAACTAGATACCTAGGCAGCCTCAAGAGTTGCATCTACAATGCTACACTATGCGCCACACACACGGACAGAGAAGCGGTCACTATGTAAGAGCTATGCGGAAAGTCCGACGATCCTATCTCCATAAGTGCCCGCCTAAGCCCGTCAATAAAGCCCGCAAGAAGCATGAAATCACCCATCATCCCGTCGTGGGGTGCGACGCTTCAAAGAAGCTGGATCAATTTCGGCCAATCAGAACGCAGGGTTTCCGAGCAGACCAATGGATCGGCGATCCAATCGAGTGGCTTAATTTGGAGCTGATTTGATGAATTAGGTATCATTCTCTCTCTTAGTTCTTAGTCACGCCGAAACCCTCTTTACTGGATCCTTCGTGGGCTAGAGCCCGCAAGGATGGATCGGCTTTGGGAAATTCTCCTGTTATGAATTCCGATCTAACTTAATAGACGCCGGTTCATTCACTTATGCCTTGAAAAATACTACCAAACGTCTAACGACCATCATATGCTCCTCTCGTATGATATTACGAGCATCGTGCAAGTTGAGTACTTCAATAGATACTGCCAACATCGGCATTCTAATTCCTATCCGGTGCACATGCATGGCGAATTTTCACTAGGACCATTGTGAAACTTGATAAAAGCGTCTATTTCAATTCAATAAGCAACGCAATCGAAAGCGTACATGTTTATCAGACCCCTCAGGTATAGATACTTCGATGGCGTCTCTTGTTCCCAATTCCCGTATTTCCATATTCCCATTGTCTAGGGAAACTGCAAGATAAGTGTAGATCCGTCGAGAGCAAAGCCCATGAAATCTCGAAGCCGTGATAAGTAAGATTCAAAGCGCATATCCTTTTCCTGTATCTCTCCCGTACTAATGATACGCGTCGTAAATCCGAGTTGCAGCCAGTTAAATGTTCAGTAAAGCTCAGTTTAAGTGGTGGTGTTAGAATAAATGTTTGATGCAAGGGAAGTACGACCCCAAGCGTATTGTAAGGGGTGAAGGCCCATGGTTGATATGAATGAAAAGTCCGGAGAATACGATTGAATGAACGAGAGTGTAAAACCTGCGGCTTCGCCTTTAGGAGTGCCAGTCAGTTATAGTTTCTACAGTTGAGAAGCAAATATCACTTACCTAATACGAGCAGACCTAAGTTCCTCGTGCCAGAAGGAGGAAGTCCATACGATCCCAACACAAGCGATGCTGCCGGACACCATATGTACGGCCACCAAGATGATGAGGATTGTCGGAGAACCGAATGCTTGACGTAAACTGCCGAAGAAGCCGTATTCTCCAGAGTTTCGAGGATGTCATTCGTTTTGTTATGCATCTGATGTAAATGGTTCACATGGTCGCCATATCCTGTGGCTAAATTTTCCGATACGCCAATAAGCCGTTGCATTCCCTAGAGCCATTCAGTTAGTTTAATAACGCCCATCTTATGAGTAGAATATCACCAACCTCTTCAAGACTGTTTTGTCTAGTTTCCAGCTCTACTGCCTGTAGGCGAGAAAACTCCTGTGATTTCATATTAGTTTAGAACAGAAAGGATTGCAATGGCATAACGTACAAGTTGGGTTTGCAAATTCACCGCAGATTCAGTAGCAAGTGCCACCGCAATCACGGCTGTGTCTATTGCTGACTCTACCCGTTGATTGGCAACCTGCATCGATCGTTCGAAAGTAGCCGCAACTTCGGCTTGGCCTTCAATGACGCCTTTGAACATCACAGCAAGCATTCTCTGCAGGTTAAGTGCATTCTCGGTGCCTGAATTGACCAGATCTGTAGTTTTCTATCATCAAATTGTTAATAGATGTCCAACTGACTGAGATATCAGTAGTAATTACCTTGACTCCTTGAGTAACTTGGCCGAGAAATAAGTCCTCTACAGATTTCAACATATCCTTCAAATGATCGATCTTCGGAGAAAGCTCATCAATGCTAGCACCAGCTGTCTGGGCTCTCGTACCTAAATCGCTCATGTGTTGTTCAAACTGCTTGTCAACGTCGTCTGTGAATTGGCCCATGATCTTCGTTAGGCGTTCAAAGAGAAGGATTTGTTGAGCTAAAGCGTGTTAGCCGAGGCAAGATTAGGAACCGGAAACCAAAGATGAACGACATACCTTTCTCGTTATCTGCTCTAGCAGCTTCGCAGAATCTCAAGGCTTTATGGCGATAGTTGACCCAAGTGTTCTAGGCCGAGTCAGACTCCCCTAAGCCTGAGAGACAGCTGTCAATCTCTGCGGAAGATACGTGTAGCTGGCCTGGATTCTGAAGTGGAAGTTGATTTAGGACAGGCTCTCGAAAGTTGGCACATTCTCTAGGAATGTTGAATTTGCCTCTCTCTAGGTCGCAGATGGCTAGACTTGCGGCATACGAGTCGACGAAATCCCTGATTTTTCTACCACTGTCAGTAAGAACAGTTGCCTCATTCTTGCTCTCGAGGACTTCGCAACTGTTCACTAAGAGGCGCGCGGCTGTTCTATGGCACAAAGGCTCCGATTCCAGTTCTCGCAGTTCACTCAGCGCCACTTCATAGGGACTAGCCATTCTCGAGCCAGACCCCAAGGCTTGTGACAGGCTACCTCGCGTAGTAGTTGGTTTGACAAGATCATCCCTCGCTAGGTATCGATGAGTATGCAATAACGAAGATTAGAAAGGGCATCTTACCTAAATCTAGTTTTCGCTTACTGCCCCACGAGATCCCAACGACGGAATGTATTTGCAACACCACGAGAATGGCTATTCTCGACCAGCCCACGGGCTTTCCTTGATTTGCCATCATGCCTCTTCGTTATCTCTGAGGAACGCAAACGAGAAGGAATAAAAGAAGGTTAATATGGTTACGATGAGAGAAAAAAGTGGCCAGAATCACTTCATATCTTACTGATTTTTTGCACCCGAGGGAGGAAAGAGAGAATCAGAGTGGTATGATGTTGTAGAGAACACAACTCGATGAGAAATATCTGGTCTGAGAGAAATAGGCATGGAATCACATCAAAAGTATTTGGTCTTCTTGTCATCGGAATTCGTGTCTGTTAAACGTGGGACCATGATTTAACTGGTATTGATTGTTGTAGAGTCTAGATTCATGATTCATGGTTAGAGAGGCAAGAAAATAGCCCATAAGGAAACCAGATGGAAGGGAAGAATAAGAACATTGGAGAGTTAAACATCCACTTGTGATATCTCGCGACTTCCGTCTAAAAGTTACCAGTCAAGTGACTAGGTAGATAACTAGGTATATATGTAGGGTAAATACATTGTGATCTCATAGGTATCAATACATATGGATATGACAGCTTTGAGAGCAAGAGCGATTCAGATGGGCGTTGCGACAGCGGTTGCGATAGAAGCTTGTGATACCGGTCCACCCCCACCCTGTAAACGACTTAGTCATCAAAAGCATCACGTGATTAGATCCAACTTTTTTACTCGTTGCCAAGCATCCCGCAATTGAGCTCTGCAACTAAAACCTCGGGGAAATCGAGTACTGCAGCCAGTCAATATCACTGCAGAGTTCCCAAAACACCACGATGCTGGCGCCTAGCGGAGGCAAGATGCTCAAGGGAGCTCTTGCGAACACAAATTCCGCGGTCACACTCCCAGCTTTTCTAGTGCCGGCCTTCCAAACGGCTGCTCCGCGACGCCAATTCTCGAGCACGACGAATAGATCTTCGAAGCTCGGCCGAACGCCGATATCCATCCCTCCCGGCGTCGAACTGATGATTGGAGAGCCTAAGGTTAAGAGGGATCTTACAACATATCTGAAGATAGCGAAGCGAACAGTCACCGTGACGGGTCCGTTAGGGAAGCTCGATCTGGAAGTCCCTCCTTACATTCACATCAACCATGACGAAGCTTTGAGAAGGGCGGTGCTCACGATTGAGGATACCAATGCTAAGCAGCAGAAGGAGATGTGGGGTATGTGCAGAGCGAATGTTTCGGCGAGGAATCAGGACTGACTCAAAGCGAACCAGGAACTACGTGGGCATACTTAAACCGACATATCATCGGCGTATCGGAAGGGCACACAGCCGTCTTGCGATTAGTAGGTGTGGGATACAGGGCGACGATCGAGGAGCGGCCGAGGAAGGCGCAGTATCCAGGTCAGAAGTTCGTGTGCTTAAAGCTCGGCTTCACGCATCCCGTAGAAGAACCAGTCCCCTTTGGGATGAAGGCAAGCACACCCCAACCGACAAGAATCCTGCTCGAGGGCATAAACAGAGAGGAGGTCATGTCCTTCGCAGCCAGGATACGCAAATGGAGAAGGCCGGAGCCGTACAAAGGGAAGGGTATCTTCGTCAACGATGAAACGATCAGGCTCAAGCAGAAGAAGATCAAGTAGTCGTTCTATTTTCGCACGTATATCTATGTACTATACTACGGCGGATACCCATCCAAACCAAAAGAAATTTGTGTACTTTTATGCATGCCCTGTTTGTTATGTACAGCCTTTTTTTTATTTCTTCGAGAGAACCTCCTGGACCGCTTTTAGCACTTGGGGTTGCGTAGCAGCGGGCGCGGCTACAACGCCCTTGTTATTTGCTAAGGTACGTCCAACGCTGAAGTCTAGTCGCTTGCCGTGGATATCTGTTACGGCACCGCCAGCTTCCCGGACGATGAGGTCGCCGGCAGCGTGGTCCCAGATTTTCTCCTGGTACGTCGCGCTGACGGGCAGTCGCAAGTAAATATCGCCAGCACCTCTTGCAATAGAAGCATACTTAGCCTGGGAGTCCATTCTCACGCTAGGGTTGGTTATACCAAGCAACTGGGCAATCTCAGCCTGATCTCCATGAGACGAGTGGCCGGCCTCTACACTCTCGCAAAAGGTGGCGGCGGAGATATCGGGTATAGCTCTCATAGTGATGCTCTTCTCCTTAACAAGAGAGCCGGTGGTCAATGGGCGACTTGTGGCGCCTTGGCCTAGCACACCCGAGAATAGAACACCCCGGCCTTCATCAGTCTGTCCGGACTCCATGCCCCCCGTCAGCGTAGCGGAATCGTCGATTGGAAGGTTCGGGCAACCTAAAACGCCAACCTTAACGACTCCATCCACCATTAAAGCGAGGCACACGGCGTACTGGCCACCACGTAGAAAACCCTTGGTCCCGTCGATAGGGTCAATAGCCCATATGCGGCCCTTAGCGCCGCCTATACTGTTGCCGTAGTCGATCATCGTCAGCATAGACTCCTCGTCATCAATCTCTCCGCCAAGCAGACTCTCAGCTTCGGGGTCGGAGAGTTGGGTGGTCTTAACCAGGTCCCAGATAGTCTGTCTTAAGTTGCTGTCCTGGCGCAACTGAGCAGCCTCCTCCTCGGCGACGATCTCATCGTCGGGGAAGTTTGCCTTGAGGGCGCTGATAATGAGAGCCTGAGCACCAAAATCACCGATGGTAACAGGCGACTTATCGTCTTTGGACACGGTGCCCTTGGCCTTCTCGTGGAAGACCCGCTTGGTCAAGATGGAAGCGCGCTGGACGGCTAGCTGGGCGACTTCGAGCTCTTTGGCGTATGACGACATGTTACTAGTGAAGATTTGCTGACGGGTGGCAGGGGAGAGATGCAGGGACAGCGAGGTAAGGCGGGGCAGGGCTCGAGATAGGAATATAGCCAGGGTCACAATTAGGAGGGATAATAGGAATAGATATTTTGTAGCAGAATTGGAGACTATCTTTTTATTCCCTTTAGTCCTCATCTAGAAGAGTTAGAGACACGCTTGTTGAAACCTGCGGGACCGGTGCTGTTTAACTGAAGCCCCGCGATTTGATGTTCTAGGCTTATCAGGCTCACGTAACGAGCTTCGCATCGTCCACTGGAAGTACGTAACGCAAAATATTTTTTTTAATATGGGTACATGTAGCTGGCAGCCGGGGACCCCTAACCTTGCTCTCACCCGTTACCCCTCCGACGGTCTCAGCTTAGCTAAGCCGCTATGGTCAACATGTAGGTATCCATACATATAGATGTGACGACCTATCAACGTAACTCTTTCAAGGATAAGAAAGAACATCGAGAAACAAAGATACGTACCTTCTTCTGCACTTCTACATTCGTTAATCACAAGGATTGAAACGACGGCACTTTGTGACTAAACCCAATCCAACCAATACTCCGCAATACTCCATCGATTAAACTCAATTACTTACATACAATTAAATTACCAGGTCAACTTATACGCGACTTTTTATCACTCGGCGCGACTCTCCAGAGTGACAAGGAGGTAGTACGGCCAATCTTCGCCGAGATTGCTGTTGCTAGTTCTACATACCTAGTACTACGGCCAATACAGTCATCCTGTATTACTACCTAGAAGTCTAGGTATCCCCGGTTTAGGTAGCCTAGCACTCTGTGAAGTCGCTAAGTCGCTAAGTCGCCTAACATGAATGCTACCAAGAGGAAGTTCAATGCCTTGTTGCAGGGTCTCGGCGCAAAGCCAACGCCGCAACCATCATCAGCAGATGGCCAAAATAACAAATCTCCCTCGCCATCAAATCGCCCTTCGACTCCAACTTCAAATCAAGCACCCAACGATACATCTACCCCGATCCAAAGCATGGCTCCGACAGGAATACCCACAACACCCAGCGACATATTCAAGCGCCGACGTGTAGGCGTTCTTGAATCACCAAGCAGCAATGAAAATACAGGTGCAACTACTATTTCGAACGTTGTCTTGAAGAAGTGGACGCCAGGAGGTATTGCCGTCTCTCCTAGCAAGTCTCCCAGCAAAGAGACAAAAACAGAACCGGCCAGGTATTGTCCTAGTGATCGCGACGAGTTAATACGACGACTTGGGACTTTCCAAGAGCTGACCGAATGGACGCCGAAGCCAGATAAGGTCAACGAGATCGAATGGGCGAAGAGGGGTTGGGTCTGTCGGGGGAAAGAACGTGTGCAGTGCACATTATGTCACAAAGAGTTAGTAGTCAAGATCAACAAGAGGGAGGTAGACGGCAAAGAAGTTCCAGTTCTTGTAGGGTCGGATATTGAGGAAGCTTTGGTGAAGAGATTCGTCGAGTTAATTGTCGATGCGCACCAAGACGCTTGTTTGTGGAGGAAACAAGGATGTGATAGTGAGAACCCCGATCACTTGACATATCAAGGAAGCCCTTTTTGCTAATTATCGGATGACAGACACTTTGCTCAGACTACCTCTGGCCAGCCCTCCAAGTGCTCATGCTTCTCTACGCCAACGATACGATGAGCTTTGCGCGCGACAGTCGTTTCTCCCATACCTCTTCAATCTGCGTCTACCTACAGATCTAGATCTACAAGCCATTAAGTCACAGCTTGGCCCAACCTTCTTCACCCAACCTCCGCCACCAAACACCAACCCATCAGCTCCAAATGACGTAGCTCTTGCTCTTGCCCTTACTGGCTGGCAGGGTCTCACAAACCCACGTATTGGCGCAGTGCCGAACTCGGCAAGCTGTGCTACATGTCTACGTCGTCTTGGTTTATGGATGTTCAAGAGCAAGGAGGTGGACGAAGCAACAGGACAAATCATTGTTCCAGCTCCTATGGATTACCTTGATCCTGTGCGCGAGCACCGATTCTTCTGCCCTTGGCGAAACGCTGCCACCCAACATAATCCAGGTGCCAAGACAGCAGACAACAAGGCTGCTTGGGAGGTGCTTGTGCAAACAATCAAGAATCACGCTTACCTTCGCATGCAATCGGAGAAAAGCAGCTATCGCAATATTCTTCATCGCCCCACGGCCTCAGTTCCAGTTACGCCATCCAAGAGCGTTCAAACTACGGATGATGGTTCACCTAGGGTAGATGAGGAAGACGAAGATACCACCGCCAGAGATGCAAAGGACAAGGAAAGATGGGCACGACTAAGGAGAGTCAAGAGTCTGTTCAATACGAAGAACGGGAAGAAGTTGCAACGGACACCAAGCCGTCCAGGCACTGCTTCGAGCCGTCCTCCTACTAGGCAGTCCAGGGGGGGTAGTGTACCACCTGAGACGGTTGGAGAGAAGAATTGAAAGGATATAAAAGAGAAGGAGGAATATCCATATATCCATATGGCTGTAAATTGATTGCTGTCAAAAATATTGTACTCTAAGGAACTTAATTGGTAATTACTACTACGAGATACCCAATCCACATGTACTTACATCCCCCATTTAACAACTAATCCAATACGGTACCAATACGAAACTATGGCGCTCTTTGTCTTTTCTTTCAGTTCAGCTTGGCTAATTACCTAGGCATATATTTCCAAGGCTGTATTGCCCCTATTTCCTTGGGAATCAGCTCACCTTTGTTTTCGAAGCAATGTCAAGGATCTTGGTGGTGAGTGAATGTGACAAGCGACATGTCTCATGAAGTAGAAATCTAGGTTAGTGAACATTGGTGTCTTTTAACTTCAGCTGAGCATTTGTCTAGTATTCAGGGGTAAGATTGAAATATCAGGTACATGTGATTGATGTATTGTGCTTTGATTATCTAAGCATATCAAACACCGATCCACTCACAAAATGTCAATTGTTAGTCGCTGTTCGAGCATGCGACTTCCATAACTCAATTCAACTTCACCATTAGGTAATACAGTAATGCGAACTTAGGGAAGAAATCTATTGGTTATAGTGCCAAAGCTAAATACATGTACAGTTAGCTCATCGTCCCAAAGTTCCAATGTTCTTCTTTCTCGTCAGAATAACGGTCAGAATAACGTAACATATCAAACCGGGCTTCCGCCTCCAGTGTCTGCTATTCCACGCACAAATATCGCATATCGCATTCTGTTGCCACCGTGCTCCGCGTGTTGTCAATGCCAACACCTTGCGACTGCGGAGATACTCTAATGCAAGAGGATGGGCCTCGTGCCGAGTCGAGTCTTGTCATCCGACCAACAAGATTGTGCCCGATCACGTTTGCAGCCGACCCTCTGCGGCTTTTGTGCGTGAAAACAAGGGTCGGACATGATACGCATGGTAGACAGACATACTCATGATGCCCCATTCGTTCCCTGCTTCCGTCGAACGGAAGCCGGCTGGCGGCACGACACTTGTTTGGTCACAGCCTACCCGCGGCCGTTAGCCCTGCACTCCACTGCCGTTGTCAGGGGCCTAGTTAGATCTAATAGCCCCTGACGCTACCGTCATTTCTCGAAGATGTCGGATTTGATATGTTATGTCATATCTAAATCTCATCTCCCTTGTGACCTCTCATAAGATGGCACTGAGACGAAACTTCTGGCTCGCCGAGCCGTGCGTCACAGAACGCCGGCCAAGATCCGATACAAGCAATTCACCGCTTGGGAGCTGCGATTGCTTCCTCAGGGCGACTGGACGAGAATGGCCCATCACCCGTCCAAGCCCGGCAGACTTGCGGAGGGGGTTGCTATGGCTGTTTGCGCCTGAGATTGCCAGGCCAAGTGTTTATAGCTCTCGCTTTTCCAAGCAAGGTGAATCAGGAAGTAAACGTTCTAGAAGCATCACACATTCTCTTCACCTTGTATTCCCAACCCAGCTTCTCGGTTACTCGTTTATTTAAGGCTGTTTATCACAATATCATATTTGGAATTAAATTCCCCAGTCTCAGCTTACATGAAAAACAAGGACTGCCAGAGAGACATACCGTTGTACTTCCCAGGTTTTCTTGTTGATTTTCCATTCGCCGGTGGAGTTCACTCCTTCTGCTATACCGGAACCTACCTACATATCCCCTTCAGCCTGAATTACACAGGCTTCGCATACCGACATCCGCATTTCCCAGAACAGTGTCCCATTTTAATATATTCCCTCCATCCGCACGCGGGTTCTATTATCGGTCACCCTAGCTCCTGTACGTCTCCGCCTCGCTGGAGCTGTCCGTACCTAGCAATAACAAGGATATCGACAAAACCAACGCGCGGGTCGCATCTCAAAATACTCCTCTGAGCGGTTGACGGCACAAACTATCCCAAAATGTCTCCGTCGCATCCGCCCGTCACCACCTATTTCATTGTGGATAATCTTCATTGCCCAACATGTGTTTCTGCCATAAAGGACACGTTAGGAAACATCGAAGGCGTAGAATGGGTATCGCCTAACATCGTCACCAGCTGGGTCGCCATTGAGCATGATCCTAAGGTAACTCCAAGCGAGATGTATTCAAAGTTGGAATCTGCGGGTTTCGATATCTCTGGCGTTGGCTCGACGAATGGCGAAGTGTCCCTGGCCGACTTGAGACGTGGGGACCACTCTGACGGCCTCCATCGTTCAGATACCCACTACTCACTAGATCTTGGAGAACGACTAACCCCTTGGGGCCGAATGATTAAGCTGTCGGATAAGCTGTCGGAGAAGATCCTACCCAAGAAATCATCAACTTCAGAGGCCGATAAAGAGAGAAAGGAGAAAGAGCATCTCAAGAACTGTGAGAAATGTCGAACCAAGGCATCGAATCCTCCTGCGCCTGATACTTTGCCCTCCGGTACAGCGTCTAACCAACGCGATGGTCAGTCAGAGGACCAGCAAGTTGATGATGAGAAGTCAACTGAGGGACTCGTCACGTCAACGCAGCCTATTGGGAATGAGGATGATGAGAAATCCGAATCTCCCGATAATGTTGGGCACCGATGGAGAGTTTCGATGACCATATCGGATTTGGTGTGTAGCAGTTGCGTAGCCACCCTCACCGATCTACTAAAACCGAGACAATGGATCACCAAGATCTCCATTGACTATATTTCTGACAGTGGAGTCTTCGAATATATCGGCACTAAGGAAGATGCCAAGCAAATCGCTGAAGCAATCGAGGACACAGGAAGAGATACCGAAATCGTGCAGATTACCAATATTGATCGCGGCAACAATGTTAGCAGCGAGAGAACCGTCCGAATCCGCATTGATGGCTTCTACTGCGAGCATTGCGCCGACCGAGCCACGAATAGCCTCAGGGGGCTCCCCCGAGATCTGAAAATTGAGAAGAGGCCCACTTGCGAACAACCTATCTTGAAGATTACCTACACTCCTGCAGGACCTAAGTTCACCATTCGACAAATCCTCTCTGTTATCGAAGCGAGTGATCCGGCCTTCAAAGCATCGATCTTCCACCTTCCTACATTAGAAGAGCGTTCGAAGAAACTTCGAGCGGCCGAACGAAAGAAGATCGCCATCCGCGCTTGGTTCACAACAGCCGTTGTAATTCCTACGTTCATCATCGGCGTTGTGTACATGAGCCTTGTGCCTGACCATAATCCCTCGAAGATGCTACTCATGGAAGCTTGGAGACCTGGAATCAGCCGAGCGCAGTTTTCTCTATGTATCATGGCAACGCCAGTGTACTTCTTCTCTGCGAATCTCTTCCACCGACGTGCGATTCTAGAGATTAAGGCGCTATGGATGCGAAGGCCACGAAGCGATGGGCTGCGCTACATGGATGATGATGAGACAAGCGGAGCATTAAAGACTAAGGAGTTCCTCCAGCGATTTTACCGATTCGGTAGTATGGATATGCTAGTCTCACTAGGAACTACGATCGCCTACGTTTCGTCGATAAGTCAGATGATTGCTGCAGCAGTGGATCGCCCTGCTATGGTTAACGACGCAAATTTCTACTTTGACTCGGTCGTCTTCTTGACCTTCTTCTTGCTCTGGGGCAGATTCATCGAAAAGTACAGCGAATCAAAGTTGGGGGATGCGGTAGATGCTCTCACAAAGCTTCGCCCGACTACCGCCAAGCTCATCGAGAAGATCACGGACACTAACGAGAAAGAAAAAGAAGTCAGTATCGACATGCTTGACGTTGGCGATATCATCCGCATCCCTAATGGTGCGTCGCCTCCTTGTGACGGAAAGATTGTGAGCGGGGAAACCAGCTTTGATGAGTCTAGTCTCACGGGAGAGTCGTTCCCAGTTTCAAAGGCCGCCAATGACGATGTCTTTGCAGGAACTGTCAATATGGACCGCCCCGTTTTAGTGCAGATTACTGGTACCGCTGGCCAGTCCATGCTCGACCAGATTGTAGCCATTGTAAGAGAAGGACAAGCCAAACCTTCGCAGATTCAAGACTTGGCAACTCGACTTACTAAGTACTTTGTGCCCTTCATTACTTTGATTGCCATCATTACTTGGCTCGTCTGGCTAGTACTTGGCCTATCCGGTGCGATCCCAGGACATTTTCTCGACGTGTCTTCCGGTGGATGGGTTGTATTCTCACTTCAATTCGCCATCGCCGTGTTTGTTGTCGCCTGTCCGTGCGGTCTTGGACTTGCTGCCCCTACGGCAATATTCGCCGGTAGTGGATTGGCCGCCAAATATGGCATACTTGCTAAGGGGGGTGGACATGCTTTTGAGAAAGCAAGTCGAATTGATTGCGTGGTCTTCGATAAGACTGGTACTCTCACGATAGGTGGTCAGCCTATGATCACCGACTCTACGACATTCCCCGATTGCGAAATTAGTGAACAGCAGCGTAACACATTCCTAGGCGCGCTCCGAGCCGTCGAAGATAACAGCAGCCATCCTATTGCAAAGGCTGTTGTCTCCTGGTGCGCAAGCCAAACACTTGAACGTGTTGAAGTCGCAGGCGTTCAAGAAATGCCCGGAAAGGGTTTGAAGGCGACTTATAAAGCCGGCTCTCCACCCCAGTCATATGACATCGTCGTCGGCAATGAGGCACTGATGGACGACTTTATGATTGACATCTCTCTTGGTGTTGCTACAAGTCTTCAGACTTGGAAGAAAGAGGGCAAATCGATCGCACTCGCCGCTATCAAGGCTGCTGACAAACCCGACACATACAGAATCGCCGCCGCCCTCGCAATCACCGATCCTATCCGTCGCGAAACCCCAGCCGTAATCCGAGCTCTACAATCAGCAGGCAAGGACGTATGGATGCTCTCGGGCGACAACCCCACAACGGCCAAGGCCGTAGCGCTCCGCATCGGCATCCCCGATCTCAACGTCATCGCGGGCGTGCTGCCGACGGAGAAGCACGAGAAGATCAAGTGGCTGCAGCAGACGCTCAAGGCGCGCAAGGGCAACGTCGAGCTGACAAACCGCCGCGCGTTCGTGGCCATGGTGGGCGACGGCATCAACGACACGGCGGCGCTCAGCACGGCGGACGTGGGCGTGGCCATTGGGTCCGGCAGCGACGTGGCGATCTCGAGCGCGGACTTCGTGCTCGTCAACAGCAACCTCGAGTCCATCGTCACGCTGCTCGACCTCAGCAGGGCCGTCTTCCGCCGCATCAAGTTCAACTTCGCCTGGGCGCTCGTGTATAACGTCGTCGCGGTCCCCATCGCCGCCGGCTGCCTCTACGCGCTCACGGTCGGCGGCCAGCATGTCCGGCTCCCGCCCGTCTGGGCCAGTCTAGCTATGGCGCTAAGCAGCATTAGTGTCGTGACGAGTAGCCTCGCTCTACGGAGCGGGATCCCTGGGTTGGGGTTTAGGGTTAGGAAGGTTTTTGTGGCGAGGGATGGGGAGGTGAGGAAGGGTGGTGTTTATGGGTTTGGGGGTGTTAAGGCCTAGGGGTGGTAGGGGCTGTGGGAAAAGGGGAGGAAGGGTGTAATGTTAGGGATGTGAGCCGGGGGTTGAGGCGGGAAGTATGGTGGTTGGACTCTGGTGGTGGGGATTAGGGGCTAAACTGAGCAAGAGGCACGAGGAGAGGTGGTTGGGGGTTAGGGGAGGGAGGTTGTCTACCACCCAGTGTGGGATATCTGTCGGTTTTGCCATTGCAGTTGCCGTCGCGGATCTGGTTGAGCCTAGTGGTCACCAATCCCGCATATGATGGCCTGCGTGGCGTGTTTTGTTCACATCGGTCGCGGCTTAAGATTTCCTCGCGGAACCTTAGGTATATGAATTCACTCTAGTTTTCTGAGTAATTGACGGTGTTCGTTGGTTCGTGATGCTGCCCACTGTCTATATGGTAAGGTAATGGTGGAGTGAAGTGAAGTGAGAGGTTGTAGAACGTTACGCGGCGGACTTGCTGTAGTTTAAATAATGGTCGTCTAACTTGTAGGACAGATCTTGTGCCTGCGAGACTTGTGATTCGGTAAGGAGTCATGGATTGAGGATGTGTTGTATTACGTGTGGCAACTTCGTGATAATAGGGGCTTATAGTATCGCATATCACAGGACTATTTCTATTTCTAGGTGAAATAACCTGCCATCCCCATCCAGCACCTCGGTACATAACTCACACGTCCGCACCTATCCCATAATCGCAGCTGCAGTCACAACCCAACTACCACGATCCGCTACTTAAGCCACTTACTCCGAGTCCTCTTCCTTGCTAAGCCCATACCCAAGTTCGGCATACGATGGCTTTTCCTCCTCGGGGAAGGCCTTGCGCTTTTCTCCTTCTGGGCCGATCAAGTAAAGGCGCGGGTAATACGTAGCGCCGTCGGCGCCATCTTCCTCGCGCTTCTCCTTGCTGATAACATAGGAAATACTGTTGTACTCGGGGCTGTCCGACTCGCGCTTGGCGAGGGATTCTTCTGTGGGTGGGGTGTTAGGTTAGTTGAGGCGGTCTTTGTATGAGTGGAGTGTTCATGTATTTCATCCTCATTTTAGTATGGAAGAAGGTGGGAAGATGGGACTTGGGTGCTGGTATAACATACCGCTCTGAACAGGGGCAGCGATGACGCCGGCGAGGTAGGTCGCGAGGTATAGCTTGAAGAAAAGCATGATGGATGATTCTCTGTACTGAAGGCTGGGTGGGAAGTATATCACGAGGTCAAGTTTGGTAGGTATGTGAGTACGGCCAAACAACCAATCACCCCGTCCAACTTTATACTCGTCCAAGACAGCTCGATTCCCCTTACTCCGACACCTGAGTGCGGCATCCGTACGGAGGACACGCACCCAAGGAATCGAGATAGTTGATGGCTGTACAATAGTAAGCCCAATAAACAGCATAATTTGTGTAACTTGATCTCGAGCCGAGTCATGAATGAGACTTGGGAGCTCTTGATGCCGTAGCGAATTCTGTCGTCATAATAGCACCATACACCTTGTATGAGATTTGGGCAAGCTATGTCCCCCTCAAATTGAGCCTCTACCTATACTGAACAGAGCTAGAAGCACTTCTAATCAGTCGACGTTCCACGGCGTGCAAGGTCTGATTGTTTTAGACTCTCGAAGGAGCCGAATGCTTGCTGTTTAAGCCGACTACCCTATTAGAACCAATAGTTCCAAAAAGCCCTTGCCGGAGCATTGATAGAATGAGGACATGTCTTAGTTGGTAAACAGCCGGTCTCAAGTCGATATCGTATACTAACACTACCGTCGGGTTCAAGTAGGGCTGTTCCACGACATCGGTCAAGATTCATGGCCAAGTTTGAGCGCCGCAAGACACGAAAAAGAGCTAATATCGATCTAAGACAATCTCCAACGTGGGGATATAGTTGATTAGGGTAGTGAAGGAGTACAAAGTTCATAGTAAGCTCTTATAATCCCTATATGATTGGCCTTGAATCAACTGCTGCGTATCTAGCTTTGTGTCGTAGAACATAAATATTCGCGCTGTTACTTTCTATAATATAGGCTCGGATGGCGGATCGATCGGTAAACTAGGTCAGTTGCGGAGAACTGCGAAATCTATACAACAAACCGGGGTAAACCTTTCGGGGATTGGGGGGGACAAACCTGACTGACCCAACCCCATCCGGGTCAGAAGAAAAATTCAGACGTGAAGCCTTATCGTAAACTAGGCCATCCGGGAAACAGCCAGCTGGGTAGCTGTCTAGGATATACGTCATGTCGTAACCTTCCGGATCGCATTCTTATTCCCAGTGGCGATGTAAAATGTAATAGGCGGCTTTGTACCGACCCATTCACATCAGTTCTACTAAGTCGAACCAAAAGTTGACTTCACAGTAATTGAAGACAATTCCCTCTTGTAACTTCCAGATCGACTCATCTCATCGCGAACAAATCCATTTCATTATCACTGTCCCAACCAGGATGACAATGACGGCCATTAAGCAGATGTTTGCCGGGTCCTGGGGCCGAGGAGCTACTCCATGGCAAAGTGAAGACGAAGTAGAGTCTTCGGAGGCATTGCTTGAAGAGGATACCAAACATTACGCTCCCGCCTCATCGGGAGGACAAGGACGTAATAGAATATGGTGGATTTTTCCCCTTCTTAACTCTATATTATTTGCAGCGGCTGTGGTTCTGTATTCTGCCACTTGGATGAAATATACCGGGCACAACAGGTGCCTAAAAGCCACCTCCACGTACTGTAAGTCAATGCTCACAGCTCACCAAATCATCATCCCGGACATGGAAGGCGTCTTGTTAATATTAACCCAGCCCCTATACTCGAAGAAGTCGATATGCCAATGACCAACGCATTACTAAATGGAAGTCTCTGGTTAGGGGAGAATCCACCCATCTGGAGAGCCATACCCGATTCTGACGAGGTCGAAGAAATTTGGGAGAATTTCGAGTATGTGAGACCAATTGCCTTAAGAAGAGACCAGATATTGGCAATGGGCAAGGATCCCGACACTGTAGCGAAGTTCAACAATGATTATTGGGGACTTGGTGACGACGCATACGTTGGAGCACTTGACCTTTTTCACCAAGTCCATTGTCTCAACGTGCTGCGGCATGAAGCTTTCAGGTACCATGATCGAGAGGGTGAGACGGTACCGAAGTGGAACAGCATCCATTGGATTCATATACAACATTGTGTTGGTATGATGATGGAGCATATGCTCTGTAATGCCGACGCCGGGTTTTTGACATACAATTGGATGGAGCATGAGAAATATCCATTTCCAGATATGAGTGGTGAGTATGGTTCATTTTTATACCACAATTTCTTCATGACCATTTGGAGATCAAGATACACCCAAGACATCCACTGAATAATTATGCTGATGTTATGCCCTTTAGTTCAGAAGCAATGCAGAGACTGGCGCCAATTGGTTGAATACCGCGATGCGCATGGTGTGAACGAGACTCTATATGTGAATTGGAAGAAGCCTGAGGGGATAACCCAGCTCAAACAGCCTCAAGACTGGTGGGAACATCGTGGTGAGCATGATAAGGCGCACTACTCCAATGGGACTGTAATTGAGAATTGAGTACGTTCGATCGTCTCCAGCCATGTCCAGGAAAAAAGATGGAAAGGGAAGAAGCTTCCAAACTTCGGAGACTGTGTACCCCTGTCAGCCCTGTACCGGAAGATTGGCGCTAAGGAAAGACCCCGGCTGTAAGCAGTCTGCATTAGCGTAGTTTGAATCAACCAATCAAAGCCAATAAAATAGACAGTGGATCTTGAATGGGGAATCGAACCATTCGGATGGTACCTCCATTAATGAGTCTTATTCAAGGCAAAGTCAAGTACCTGCAAATATGGACTTAGAACACCCTCATCCTCATCCTATGCGGCGAAGTCGTGGTATAGAAGTCGTGATCGGTTCATGATGGGTCATATCAGCTTATGGTCTCTCATTCCGAAGCATTCCGGGTGACGTGGAGTGAAGAATAAATAGGACGTTGAGAAACTTCTGTCACCAATTCATATTTCATTAATCTCATCACTCATCACTCGGTGTCTCAAATTGTTCACAAGCAAGGAAACGAATAAACCCAAAGACGTTCCTGTTCTAATTATTTTGGTATCCCTTATTACTATTAATAAACCATGGCATCAGGCCGCTTCCTCGACCCCCTAACCCTGCTCCGCGTAGCCCCCCTTATCACATCCACAGCCTCGCTCACCATCGCCTGCGACTCGCACTTCTTCCTCAGCAGCCTCGTCTCTCTCAAATGCCAGCGGCCGACCGTCAACCAAGTCGCGCCGCGGTACTTCGAGACCTTCTTCTGGCGCGCCCTGCCCGAGATCTTCGTCACCTTCGGGCTGTCCATCGCCTTCGGCGTCGCCAACGCGAGGGTGCGGGCGCCCGCTGCGGCTGCGGCCTGGGCCTGGTATGCTGGGGGCTCGGCGTTCTCGCTCGCGCACTTCGCGTTCGTGCCGGCCATCGCGTGGAAGGTCAAGGATACGATCGACGCGAAGGAGGCCCCGGACGGGGGCGCCGCTGAGGCCATCCAGGGCTGGTTGAACGTGCACTACGTCAGGATGGCTTTGGCGGATATCCCGTCGTGGGCGTGCTTCCTCGTTGCGGTGGTGAAGACCTTGGGGCCGGTTTAAATGGGACCTGCTATATTGGGTATCTGGGGGCTGCTAAGAAGGTCATCTTTGCTTTCTACAGGTAAGTCAAAGTTGTACCTATGGCAGCCATTGACTCTCGACTAATGATCTATGCTACGATCAGGTTGGAATACATGTACGAAGTGCACTATATCAAATTCGGCTCTCCAAAATTACATATCACACGAAATAAAATATACCTAATAAACAGTTCCATTAGCATTACTTCGAGACTGGTGAAGAAAAATAAGACGCCAAATACGCAACCGAATCGCCTCGGTTGGAGCTAGTAGGCACTACTAGTGATCAAGCTTAGAGACGGCATATTTCTCCAATTTATCCATCAATAAGAAGTGAGGGTCTATTTCGGTAAGCTCACAGTCTAGAGCCAACTCGACTACACTCCATACACGACTGTCCCTTTAACAACGGCGGGGTACATTATCCCCCTATTTGCTTTTTATACAACCGAGTCGACCCCGAGCGCTTCTATAGTCATTCCCCACACGAAGCTGAACCCCTCCAACGTACCCTACGATGTCGGACGTTGAAGTAATATCATATATCTTCTCGAAGCTGCTTAAGTGTTACTATCCCTAACTTCATTTCTTCTTGGATCGAGACTTTTCTATTTCTTATTCCTCCAATTGAACTCCATAGACTTCGCTCCGGTCGTTACCTACGTCCTTTTTTTGTATATTCTACGTGCCCATTCAACGGTTCCCAAGCTTCAAAGTTATATGAGAAGATCCAAGTCTAAGTAGAAGAAAATGCCCGAGATCACCATAACCGGCTTCCGGACCCGCGACGTGCGGTTCCCCACGTCGCTCGACAAGACGGGGTCCGACGCCATGAACGCCGCGGGCGACTACTCCTCAGCATACTGCATTCTAGAAACGGACTCCGAGTTCTCCGGCCACGGGATGACCTTCACGATCGGGCGCGGCAACGACATCGTCTGCGCCGCCATAACCTATCTAGGCGACCGGCTCAAGGGCCGGACCCTATCCTCGCTCGTCGCGGACTGGGGCCAGACGTGGCGGTACCTCGTCAACGACAGCCAGCTGCGGTGGATCGGGCCGGAGAAGGGGGTGATCCACCTCGCGCTCGGCGCCGTCGTCAACGCCGTCTGGGACCTGTGGGCCAAGAGCCTCGGCAAGCCCGTGTGGCGCATCGTCGCCGAGATGACGCCCGAGGAGGTCGTGCGCTGCATCGACTTCCGGTACATCACGGACGCGCTGACGCCCGAGGAAGCTCTAGCGCTGCTCAAGAAATCGGAGGAGGGGAAGACGAAGCGGTTCCAGGACGCGCTCGACAGCAAGGCCGTCCCTGCCTACACGACGAGCGCGGGCTGGCTCGGGTACAGCGAGGACAAGATGCGGACGCTGCTGCGCGAGACGCTCGCGAAGGGGTACAAGTACTTCAAGCTGAAGGTGGGCACGTCGGTGGAGCAAGACCAGCAGCGTCTGTCGATCGCGCGCGAGATCATCGGGTACGACGCCGGCAACGTGCTGATGGTAGACGCGAACCAGATCTGGAGCGTGCCGGAGGCGATATCGCACATGCGGCAGCTGGCACCCTACAAGCCGTGGTTCATCGAGGAGCCGACGTCGCCGGACGACATCCTCGGCCACAAAGCGGTGCGCGAAGCGCTGGCGCCTTACGGCGTGGGCGTGGCGACGGGCGAGATGTGCCAGAACCGCGTCGTGTTCAAGCAGCTGATCACCCACGGCGCCATCGACGTCGCGCAGATCGACGCGTGCCGGCTCGGCGGCGTCAACGAGGTGCTCGCCGTGCTGCTGATCGCCGCCAAGTACGGCGTCCCCGTCGTCCCGCACTCCGGCGGCGTCGGCCTGCCCGAGTACACCCAGCACCTGAGCACCATCGACTACGTCGTCGTCAGCGGCAAGCTGAGCGTGCTCGAGTACGTCGATCACCTGCACGAGCACTTCCTGCACCCGTCCGCGGTGAAGGACGGGTACTACCAGACGCCGATGAACCCCGGGTACAGCGTCGAGATGAAGCCAGAGAGCATGGACCGGTATAGCTTCCCCGGCGAGGAGGGCGTGAGCTGGTGGAGGAGCGAGGAGGCGAGGGGGATTTTGGAGGGAGAGAAGATTTAATCTTGGGTATCTTGCTTGTATTTACCTACCTACATCTCTAAGGGGTATATGGTACGTCTTTTTAGGGGGGAAGTAAAGGGTAAGGATGGGAGATGGTATATATATGGCGAGAGGTTTGGGACTGCATTAACCAACCATTGTATTCATGAGCATTTTATAGGAACGCATTGAAGGAGGGAAATTGAACTCCTAGTTGAAACCAATGCGGGGTGATAGTAGTACTGCGTATGATGTTAGAGCAAGCCTATAATGAGTAGGGAACCTGCATAGCTTCTGGGTCTTCAAGGGAACACAGCTGCTTCCCTGCGTCACGAATCTTACATCTCTGTAGCGTACAAACTGGCTTACCAACGTAGTACAGTACCTGAGCAGTAACAGCCCGCAAAATAGTCGTAGAAGACGTCTAATTCGCAAGACACCAGAGTATCTGTCAAGTACATTATATTGTCCGAGAATCTTGACTGGTAGATTATATAGCCTTGACTTTGCTCATAGCAATTTAAACATCGTTCGAACCAGTATACGGAGCCTCATGACCACAGAACAAAGCCCAGATATATTCATCATTGTATCCGACTATGTATTTCACATCCTCCCGAGGCATCGATGACCTTGGTAGATGGCGTACCTCAAGCATCAATGCGCTCACATAGCAAAACCTTGCCCGCGATTTAAAGCCGCCGAATCTTCATCCACTCATTCGTCCCCAGCCCCAAATTCAACCCGTTCCTAGCCCACCACCGCCTCACCGGTCTCGGGTCGCCAATAGCATCCTCAAGCGCCTCCTCGATATCGCACGTCTTATATTCCACCCTATGCGATCGCCCGTCGGCCTGGTCCTCGCCCCTCGCATATTTCTTCCACCACTCCAGCACCTCGACGTAACCCTGTTTCGTCGGCGCGACCAGGACCTGCGAGTCGAAAGACAATTTATCGCCTTTGAGCTCGCGCCACACGTCGAGCACCCCCGTCTGCCCGTGCGCGCTAGCGATCTTGCACACGCCTTCGCTGTGCGCCGCCGGGATACCCGATGATTCCCACCAGCGCAGTACTGCCGTCTGCCCCTGTTGAGCGGCAGTGAGGAGACTGCGACCGGGCTTAAGCAGGATATTGTCGTGTTTCAGGGCGGCGTCTCTCCACCACTCCAGCACGAGTAGGTGTCCCTTTGCCGAGGCCGACTCCAGTGCGGCCTCAGTATACTTAAGAGAGAGACCGGAGCGGAGCCACCAGTCCAACACGTGGACATATCCCATGCGAGAAGCGTTATCCAATGCTTCGGCGTCGTATTCCTTCTTAAGGAATGACGGGGACGTGTTCCACCAGTCCAGAATATCCGTTCGACCGTATACCCCAGATGCCTTATTCGGTAGCAGTTTAGAGCTGAATGATGCCCAGAAGACCTTACTTAGGTGTGTTTCCAGGTAGGTGAGAACGTCGGTTAGCGAGAACTTGATAATAAGCTTGACTGCCAGGTAGGAAACGAAGCGTAGTCCTTTAGGCGCTTGGGCAAGCTTGTCGCAGATTTTGTCGGATCCGGGACACGAGAGGATCAGCCATTCGAGATCGTGCATGTATAAGTCAAGGGGGTCAGTAATGGCAGCGCGATCGAGTCGCCATTCTGGCGGAGTCTTTAAATTCGTATATACATTAAGAGCAGTGGCCACTTCCCAATCACCGACGTATTCAAATACGATGGTCCATATCTCAGGTGGTAGGGCCTTAGTAGATCGGATTGGAGTAGTTGTGTGCATGGCTTGCTGCGTGGCGACTTCGACATCGTGGCCTAGGCTCATCAGCTCGGCTTGGTTCTTTATTATGCCGACGAGATCGTTAAATCCATCCCAAGACACTATACGCTTATGCGCACTATGTCCCTCGTAATGCCACAACACGGGGGCCATGACCTTAACCCAATTCCACTTGCGCTTGATCTTGCTCAGTTGCTTCTTCGTCATAGGATTTTCCCACATCTGCACCGACATGCCAGGTACTAGAAGAATCTTCTTAGACACGTCCCATGCTCTTAATATCTCCAGAAGGGTTGTATCTGCTATGCCGGACATCATCTTAGCGAGGTGATCAGCATCGATAGGGGCTAGAACGAGTAAGTCGGCCCAGTCAACGAGTTCGAAGGCAGTCTGCTTGGCCGATTCTATAGCATCCCTTGTCCTCTGGTCCGCGTCGATGGCCACCGTCGCTAAACTTCTATTCTCCATGACAATGATCTCGTGGGTGAGTCGGACGGGTACTTCGTCAACGAGAGCTCGGGTCTCGATCTGAGTGTCTTTGAGCAGACGCACGGCGATAGCCTGGGCATAAGCGACGTCCCTCTGGCCATTGGCGGCGACTAATAGGCGCAACCTTCTAGTGCGCGGCATCTCGTGGAAGGATGAGCAGGACGAATGTGCGGTTAGAGTAGGATTGGGAAGACGATGGGCGAGGGAGAAGGGGCGATTATCGGTAGAAGAATCATCGGCCATCTTGACGCATTGTGACGGCTAAGTGGCAGCGCTTGTGGTAATATACGATTCGGTGTGGAACTCGGGCACCAATGTATTGACCGACAATACGGCTATGTCGTTGGATCGTTATTATGGTGCGCGTACACGTAGAGTTGTGCGAGGATGATCTTAATGGTTCAGATGATCGTTCGGCTTATCCCTGATGCTTGAATATGCAAGGGAGAATCGAGTACCGCACACTATCGGCTGCTCTAGTCTATTCTCTAGTGCACAGACTGCCAGATATTGTGGTGCTGTAGGCTGTATTGGATCAGCCCCACGTTCAAACAATTCCGAGGCGATAGAGGCGATTAAGGCGATAAAAATCAAGGGACTCGAACGGGGGGATTTAAATTGATGTGGCGCTTCACAAAACAAAGACCTGTGCTGATCTAGGATACGAGTGAGAATCAAAAGTGAGAATAAAAAGTGAGGATAAAATCAAGAGAGTTACACTGTGAAGAGTCGGTGAAGGTGGCATGAGTGGACGGCGTTACACCGCGACATATTATTTATTTTTTTGGTATGAGACAAAGTTCGTACGATCGATAGTCTAGATAAGTGTAGGATGTAAGGATGTGCATGCATAGAAGCCGCAGAATGACGCTTGCTGGGTCTCACCTTACTCCACATCGGCGACTGCCTCTCTCAAGGGTGGGGTCAACTATAATCGGTCAGATATTACCATCAACATACGCAGGTACCTACCCGAATCTCGTAATAGCCTTCTTGAAGCTGGAAACTGCTCGGATCAAGAAACCGAAAATGCCATAAGGGGTTGGAACTACCTCCTATAATAGGGAGTTATGTAAGTGACGAAGCTAGTGATCATAGCCCCTAGGTACCTATACGGGTGGGGGGGGTTCCTTGACATTGTTGCCCCTTAATTGCATACTAGCAACCATTACCACTCCTGGCAATAGCTTCGACATGATTGCGTTAGAATAACCTTAAAACACCTTGACCCATTTAGTAATCAATTGATTAAAGTCAAGTATAAGCTGTAGTTATACTGGCCAGCCAGGGCTAAAATAACCACGTTAATATACTGTTCTTCTTGGGACACCATTTTACCTACTCATTTATTACCTGCATACACCCATTATCTACGTAATATCATTATACAAAAGCACTATTATTTCTTTTATTGCAATAATCTCTTACTATTGCAATAATCTCTTACTATTGCAATGATTTTCTCCCACTGCAATGATTTTCCTCCCTGCAATAGTGGGTCTCGGCGGATCTCCGGGGGGCTTCACCAATCAAATCTTGGGGATTGAACCCAGGATATAAGCTCCAAGATCCGGACTTGCCCCACATGCGCGTAGATTCGTAAGCCAATTGGCCAAGTGGTCAAGCCTAATGACTCGTAAAACTGTAATACCCGTAGTATGTAATAAACTTAGGTTCAATTCCCACTCAGTGCATCTAAAAAAAACTACTTACAGTGACCTTCCACAGCAGTGCGGACGCCCCATTTTTTATTCCCTAACAGCAAGTACACCAAAAATCCAGACTGCGATATGCCTTATTTTAGATCGGCCATATTAAATCAAATCTCGCTCCAATTAGAAAATAAAAATGGCCATAACAGACTAGAGCTTTTAAAGCTCAATATCGACTATACTAGCCTCTGTCCTAAGGTGTTTCTGAGAGGTATCAATGTATCCAGTTATGACCTTGAGGTCAGGGTTAAGGTTAGGTGGTATCAAGTGTTAAGGGTTAAAAAATGGGGCGTCCGCACTGCTGTGGAAGGTCACTGTACTTAAATACTAAGCACCTTCCTCAATTAAGAAGGTGCACCTACACTTTTTCCCATTTTTCTTCCCTTTTTAAACTAGCCCCACCATTGCAGGACGAAAACCATTGCACACCAAAAACGATTTTAGCTTAGTCACCCTTGCAATCAATTACAATATATTCCTTTATACAATGGTCATTATTTAGTTATACATGTTATTGAAATATCCTATTCGCGCTTCAAAACCCTTTTTCCTTAATAAGCATTGCTTTCCTATGTATATAATTGGTCGAAAACCCTTGTATTATTTTATAATGGATGTATAGTTAATTACATATTATACTCAATATGCTGGAAACATGTTTTTTTGCATTTATTATTTTAAGCATAATTCAGGATGTCAAGATCATTGCATAAGAATGTCTAGAATCCCCCCCCACCCGGGTAGGTAGGTATTCTGTAGGTATGTATATGTACTCGGTAACCAGTCTCATCAATCTTATTAATAATCCTATACAGACACAGAATGTTCTCCAAACTCGTCGTATACCAAATAATCTCTTGGCATCACTGCACAGATGACCGCATACCACGTCACAGAAGAGGTCCGTTATGAAGTAATATCCTGATTCTAATAATCCTCAAATTCCCCTCCTGTAGAAGGGACTCACTCCATATTCTTCCCGTCCCGCGTCTGTTTTCGCCTGCTATGGTGTGTACCGTACATCAAGCCTAGGATAGCCAGTGTCTGATATCCTAGCTAATGATTAAATCAGATATGAACAATGGGAGAACTGGTAGCACACCAGTGGTAAAAATCAGTCCATCCATATAGGGTATTATCGTGTGTACCCTTTGCCTTCCTGTGTGTGTGTGTGTTGTCGAGGTAAGACAGATGCTGCCGAAAGAGAAAAACGTAACTCGAATGCCATGCCGCTCGCCTAGAAGTCATTTAGAAGTCATTTTCAACGCAACCCAATCACACTCATCTCCAACGTCCACACTCTTCGGATCCACACTTTCAGGGGGCCGTCTACGCCCTCTACATCTTTCAAATCCACTCCTTCCCACCAGCAGCGTCGTGCCGGCTTTCTCCAGAAGAGTAATAGCTTTTGCGCCATGCCCACAGCATTGCCACCCATATCATTGCCACGGATATCGCTTCGTAACCGAGCAAGGGCCAGACTGCAAACGACGGCTTTGTTAGGCTCGCCAGCACGGTGACCCCACCTGTCGTCGTGATTGAAACCGCTATATTGGATGTCAGGGATAGGTCATGCAAAAATGGAATTAGTACGAGATACGGAGCGTTAACTTACCCAGCCGTAAGCATTTCGATCAGATGCGCCTCGGTCGTGCCAGGCTCGTCGCTTCGTTTCAACCCCGAGAAGATACCGTCCTGCTTAAGAAGAGCTCGAGCGGCAGCTCTCTTGACTTCAATCATCTCCGCCTGGTTGATATCCGCCCGGGGAGGAATAGCATAGAAATCCAAGTCCTCCCTTAGGACAATGATACCAGCTCTCTTAGAGCCATCCTCACCCCGACCACCAAGCGAGTCAATGGGAACAGCACCGCCATCAGGTGAAGCACTGGGGGAGGACTCGTTAGGGATAGATTGAGCTACATTCCGGAAGAAATCCAGCATGTATTGTAGTGATGCAGGGTCATACTGAGATGTGAGGTCAGTGAAATGTATATCTATATTGGACACTAGATTGCGGAGGGTAGAAGAGCGAGGTAAGGAAGTGTTTTGGGGAGTGGCCTCTTGCGTTATGATGCTCGAGGACATCGGAGTGAATCGAGTGACGGGTTTATCATTCAGTGTACTGACATCAACTTGCACGGCATCGCCTTCGGAAAATCCACCCATGTGACCTTCGGGAAAGAGTCCGTTGGGGAATAGGGAGAGAAGGACAAATTCAGGTAGTGTCAATAGTTCGTCTCTTGAAAGGACGAAGCGCGTTCCGCTACAGAAATGGTTCGATTAGTATTAGAATTCGAGACATTGGATATCCGAGCAGTAAATGGTACATACCGCAAGTCCATGGTGATTGTTTCATCGGCTCCGACATCTATACATCAGTTTAACATTGTTTCCCAAATCAACCACACCCCTAATATGTTGCTTACCTCCGATAGCATTGATAGGAGGACCTCCTTGCTGGACCTGAGTAATAATACTCGATGCACCACCGGCGGCCGCCATTAGATAGGTGAACGAGAGTAGCGGGCTATATCCTTCGGAGTATGCTGGAGGTGGTTCGCTGTCGTCGCCCTTCTGGTTAGAGGACTCGCCCTTAACGTCCTGCGGAAGTGCTCGTTTTGTCTCTGCGACGGTATCTTCGAAGGACCCCGACCTTTCTAGAGGACTTTCAGACGCTGAGGCTGAGGGCGCGTAGGCAGGTGCAGCAGTTGCGGAAGATGCTCCAGCTTCGGAGGCGGGGCTACAGATAGTCGGTGGGAGCTTAAAATGGTCGTCAACAGTATATAAGCTCGAAAACGGCGGCGGTGCAGGGCGAGAGGCACCGAGCGAAAACGAGGTCGAGGCAGAGGCTTCGGAAGCCGAGTAGGGATATTGTGGAGGTGGTGATCGTCCCCGGCTGAGGTTGTCTACCTCGTCGCTCTCGAATCTCAAGACCTCTTCTTGTTGTTCAATGCTGGTCGGTGGAAGCCCGGTGGACACGGACTGCCCGTTACTATCCTCCTGGTGTTCAGACAATTTGGCGGTTGCGTACGCGAAACAGGAAGCTCTTTTCTACTGATGGGCGGCTACCGATCTTGTGACGACCCGAGAGCGGTGATGGCGATCTCGATTACGCACGGCGGTTGCTAGGTCGGTTTGTTTGTCGCATGGAGGAGCAGATTCCAGTATTTAGACTATAACCATCGGAAAAGCTTGGTAGAGAAATGGTCGCAGTTTATAGACAGATATAGAAAGTAGCGGAGTTTGGGCGAATTTGAGTACAGCAAATGAAATTATGAAGTTGATGAACCTGAGAATCCCAGTCTCGATTTCCCTAATTTTATTAGTTGTTAGGCCCCTGAAGCTGAAGAGAGCACAGATGTATTTTTCGCCCAGCATTCGCCGTAAGGGTACTTAGTGCAACCAACGATCTGGGGAGCCGCTTCCAGATTTGGTCACAGCGTTATGACTGGTCGACTAACCGCCAATGTCCCAAACCCAGAACCTGCTCTTTCCTCCCGATCTTTGAATTTGTTTATAGACGACTTCAATAATGTTATTAGCTGCGTTATGTGCTTAAATCGAGCTATCTACCTACGTATATTTAAAATTTGTATCTAACCGTTGAGAAAAACCAGTACACCGAATCCAGGAACACAATCAAGGACAAAAATCAGGGTCTCGTAAAGGATTACAAAGAACAACAATCAACTAACAATTGTCTTTGACCACGATGCGAGATCTGGCATGTTCTAGACTGAAACTAAACACCAGGGAATGTTAGTGAAAACAGTAAGAACGGTTAAGCAAACGGCTAAGTGAACGGCTTCCAAGCAGTTTGTAAAGTTAATATGTCAATTTAAAGCGGATAGACAAACGGACAAGCTTAGATCAAGATTATTAAAACGTTAAACTTCAAAAAATAACCATCTCCGAATACATGGTAAGGGAAGAATACCTGGTTTGGAAAGCTTTGCGGATGGCAAACAGTATTGTTACAGCTCGATATAGCTAAGCTAGGGATCAATTTTATAACATCGTATCGTAACCATCGATCCGCTAGTTTAAAGAAAAACATAAGGTATAGTATTCCGAAATGATAGATAAAGGCTCAAACATATAAGCGACCATATCACAACGTCAAAGCCAAGAAAGTTCGAGATGCATACTGTATCACCATACCTGTGTAAACCGGGTTCACATTACCATCTATACTATACGGCTTCCGTAGGATATCTCATTTATTTCCGAAATTTTTGTTTAGTCGCAAGACGCAAGCTACTCTGCTTTTGGTGACCAACAGTCCTGCCGAATCAGCGCCCCATCTACATCTTAACGCCGGGCTTCGTGACAATCATCCTCGAACCTGTTGTGTTTCCGCCGTCAAATCCACTAGTACGATAGACCTGGCTCCTATTCCTCCATCGTCTTGACGCACTCCCACTCGCCTCGAAGGTTCTCCTTCCATAACGAGACCTTGTTGTCGCCACCGCTAACGGCCAGCACGTTCCCGCTCAGACTCCAGCTGACACGCCAGACTTCGGCTTCGAAGTTCAGCACCTTGACCGACCACTGGCCTTGGCTCGCGTTGTCGCTGGTCCAAATCCGCACCGTCTTATCTTGCGAAGCTGACGCGATGTAACTCTTCTGCAATACCGTAGGGCTCCATGCTACGTCCCGCACCCAGTCCGTGTGGCCCGCCAACGGCTCCCTCTCTTGCTTGTATCCTTGCGAAGCAACGTCGTAGGTCCATAGCTTGAGTACGTTATCGCAGCCTCCCGTTACGAAACGGCGCTGACCAAGTGCGCCGGGGCCCGCTGGTGCCGAAGAGACGATGCTACCAGGCGTTGTCGCGGGTGCCCAGGACACCGAGTTCACGCCGAGGCCGTGTGCGGGGAAGGAGACGTGGGAGAAGTTGTTGTCTTTGAATTCGAGAACGGAGACGTTTCCGTCGGAAGACGCACACGCAAGGAGACAGCCCGATTCGTGAGGTGACCACGCAACCATATTCACTGAGGCCTTGTGGAGAGCAAAGTCGAAGATCCTTTGCCATACGTTCCCCTGTTCGCGCCAGATGAATACCTTGCCGTCATAGCCTGCCGAGGCGAGAATGTTGCCGTACTTGGGATGCGCCCATGAAACACACCATACTGCGCCTTCGTGTCTACACCCATCATTGTCAGGGGCCGTATTGCTTCAGCCAGGAAATAAACCATACCCTTTCAATGTCTCTGTCAGCCTCTGAGACTCGCCCTCAATCTCGAATATCTTGATTGTTTTGTCGGAAGAACACGTTGCGAGGCGACGGCCGTAGTAGTCAAGGACAGCATCATGCTAGGGAGTGTTAGCTTTGGCTCTAATAGTAACCTTAGGGAACGACTGGTAAACGGAGAGCTACAGCTTCGAGTAGGCTCGTAGGCTCGAAGTTCGGTAAAGGTTGAATATGGTGTTTGAGTATGGAGTTCTACATACAATCATGTCATCGTGGCCGGAATTGGATATTACTTGTGCCTATTATCAAGCGAAGGTCAGCGAATAATAGATCGGTAATCATATAGAGTACTACATAAACGTACCATTGTGGAAGGAATTTAAAGGAAAACGAATTAGAGAGATGGAAGAGTCAAATGAGGGTTCGTATTCTATCAAGGTCTAAGATAATAGCCCAGTTGCTATGTCGCTTAAGTCGTCTAGTTGGCGGTTCAGGAAGCAAGTCTGAAGCTCCGCCAGAATCATAAAAGTGTACATACACCAAGGTCAATTGCATAGCATGCATTACTTGTTATGGATCAGTCCAGATTTCATAAAGCTCAAGCCCCCACAGAGGCTCTTCGGATTAATAGCGGTTCCGAGAATACATGTATGTGGGGATCAATGTACCTGAATAACGGGTATCATATGGTGGGGTGTCCAGGATGTCGCGGGGATAAATTGGTACGTATCCATGTACCGGTCCTAGTACCCAATGCGGCTATGGTAATTGACATCATTCCGATCGGTTGATATGCGTGCAGCCGAGGCTAAATAAGCTTAGCAGCTTAATAAATCGCATGTAAAGGAAATCATAAGCGATCAACCTCCTTGTGATCCTTGTGACGCCGCGAATCCCTTCAAATTCATATTTCAATAAAGCATCTGCGAGGTGCACTTGTATTCATTGTAGTTTTGAAATTTCTCACGATACCAAGAACATAGCACTGTATATCAGCTGTACTTCTACACGCGTACCTGTACGGGCACTGTACTAATTATTATCTGATCGTCTTAATCCTGACAATACAGTCCATCTTGTCGTTCGGGTCACCAGGCAACACAAACAACCACAGGCAATTACAGAGCACGGCAGACGGTCATTGCTCATCACCCAACGGCCGACAGGGTCCAAACTATATATCATTCGATTTCGTCCCCACCAATCTACGAAACTTCCTTCTGTTATTTATTCTCTACCCACGTCGACCTCCGATCGCGAAATCTAGCATACCGTCGAACGAGTCGTTCAGGAACCCGAACAGACCTAGCATCGCTGATCTGTCTACCATCCATCACTTCAAATACTTCTAAAATATTCGCAGCACTCAATTGTCGCCATGTCGGACGGCGTTTGTGGAGGGTCTAAGAATGCCCTCCTCACTCACTTCGATCGGAATGCTAGTCGCGAGACTCAAGAGAGCCGCGAACGACGCCTCCAACGAGAAGTGGAAGAATCCTTGTTTGTTAGTATCACCTTTCGATTTAAATTCGTTGTTGCATATATCTCTAACAGGCCCACAGCGCGACAGCCTCAAATGGGACGAAATGATTGCCAATGCCCAATTCAAGCACTTCCAGTCAGGCAAGCCACTACTTCCAACCGAACACCCTGCACACATTCCCGGCCCTTCGATGCCCCAGGGTGTACAGTCTTTCAACGCACCTCCCGGACTCGGTATGCTAAATGGTTATGGACCTCAGCAACCTTCTACGGCCTTCAGACCTCATGCCTACCCTGCCACCCCCATGAAGGCCCAGAGTGCACACCAAAGTTGGGTTGATCAGTTCCAACGCCTGCAACCTTTACCGAACATGATTCATTCCCCCGGTAGTCGATCTGTTAACAACCACGTCGACCACCGCTTATCTGCTCCCATGCATATGACTCCAGCACAAGTACCCATGCCAGCACCCGCACTGCCTCCTCTACAAGAGCCCACCACCGTTACTGGCAATCTGAAACCCCACGTCGAATTCGATAGTGCGTTTCAAGGATGGATGGATGCCATTGCCGGCGATGAAACTCTTCTCTGGACAAGATATGAAGGTCCCGATTCAGCTCCAGCTTCAGTCCCAGCCCAAGTCCCGGACCTGGCACCTAAGGCGCCTGAGCAGCCTGTCGCGCATCTCGCAGCGGACGAACCAGTTCGCACCCAAGAGCAAACAACGACCCCCACAGAGCGCGTGCGAAACAGCGAGGACTCCAAACTCGCAGTTGCGGCCCAGGAGATCATCAACTCCGTGTCTAACGACCAGTCGGATAAGTTCCAACAGTCAGAGTTTCTGAGTCTCATGCGCCGAATCGCCTCTATGGACTTGGTGGTCCGCGACAACGCGTTAGTGAACCCTGACACGCTGGCTCCGGCCGAAACGAAGAGCTCGAGCTCTGGTGAAAGCATCAGCAAGGCGGGTCGCGTTCAGCCTAAGAAGGCGACGGTGGAGGATGAGGAGTAATTGTACTGAAATACAATGCTACGGATAAGAAACAACCAACGGATACCCCATGGTAGAGAGCGGGGGCGCATAGGAAAGGGAAGCAGGAATCAACGGCGTATTACTTGAATTCGGAGTTCTAAGTTCTACGTCTGTATACCTAGCTACTGGACATCATCGGCGGCAAAAGCATTGCCATGTGCATGATCCCCCTTAGGTCCTCAGATAGCCTAACGCTCAATAACGGATGCCACGCATATTCTGTTCCTCTTGTCGCTCGTGATCGATGTCGTGATATGTAGTTCGTAATTAATAGTATTAGCTCCGCGCGCTCAAGGCTATACTCGACCGTAATTATACCTCAACGTAGAGTAGTATTACATACGATAAGCCACCTTTAACGGTAGAGTTATAATGTTGCTGACCCCTTCTGTACACCTGACACCAAGCCCGGGTTCCTAATACTCGGGAATAAAGCCCTTTCATATGTATGTAAGAACGCAATCGACGATCCTTATTCTGATGGTGACATAGCACAACGGGCCTCGTATTATCTATAGTACCTACTATACCTATTTGCATTCATGATTACACATCCCGCATACGTTTCCAGAAGCCAGCCAACCGAAGCGCCATCTACAAAAACGTGGAGGCTGTGCGAGCAGCAGCCACTGCGGGTAATACGGTAGCCTGGGGAAGCGATAAACCACACACGACCGGGCCTCACAGCCTTGCGTCGCATCCGCGCCGACGGGCCCCGGGTCCGGCCGCTTCGTGGTCGGCGAGACAGGTTAGGTATGTACACTAGGAATGCGCAGCGTCAACGCTCTACCTGCCTAAACAAATCGTACACGTACTACTGTATAGGTATCTAGGTACGTGTGTTTGTAGGCAACTACAAATATACTCTAGAAGGCGACCAATCCCGAGGGCCGCGGGCCGCGGGCTTCACCGGCGGTAAACGCAGGCGCCAATATGTCGGGATTATCGCCACGCGGCTCTTTTAAATATCTACCTAATGTCCATGTGGGCGGGTGGGATGGGATGGATGGAAGTCTGAGGCGTCTGCCTTACGCTTCCCATTTCTTAGGCTGTTTTTTGCGTTTTGCGTTTCCGGGGCCTCAAATTACTACGCTGCGGGGGATTACCAGAACGTAGCGCATAGTTGTGTGTTATTTCCAGCACGTCGCTTACGTGAACATACATACAATGTACGGACAGACAGACAGATATACCGCACGGCCGGATGGATATGTGATGGGAAAATGCTACGTTGGATTTACCTTGGAATAGCGTTTCTTAGGGGCAGCTGACGAGAGTCGGTGCATGGCATCGGCGTTGACATAGGGCGTAGTTCGGTAAGCCTACACATATGTATAGTAGTAGAGCTACGTCCCTAGTAACAGTAAAAAGGTAGGGTAGGATGGCCGCCGCATCGAGTACATATCCGCACATGCTGCCAAATGTGTCCCGCGGCGTAATCCACAACGCAACAATTGGTCCAAGTACATACGTGCCAGCCTAAGGCGCTGTGGCTAGAGCGTAAGCTCGGAGGAATTCTGGAGACACTAGCAACGTCTCCGCGGCCTTTCGACACCGGGTCGGCTAAGGAAACGTGGCCTCGTGGAAGAAAGACTCTATTGGTTAGGGACTTCGATCTGCGAGTAGAATCGAAGTGAAAAAAGATGGAAAGGGGGAGATGACACTGGATGAGAGGTATGCAGGACTAGGGTATTGTAGGGCTGATAGGGCGTGTCGTGTCGGACTCTTGGGACGTACGCATGTACGAAATATGTCGTGTGCGAATGTCTCCCAATGGTGTCGCGCGGGATTTCAGGCAGGCGTTTTTAAGAAATATATGCATGCCTAGGTACATGGCCGTATTATATTTGATATTTCAAATACATAATCATACGAAACAGAGCTTTGATAGTTGGCTAGCAGGCTGGGTCTTCGATGATCTGTGATCTATGATAATCGGCAAGCAACGGCGTAAAAGACTGCGCCCTGCGTCTTGCAGAAAAAGCGTATCGGTTTCTTGGCTCGATATCCACTGATGTGCGACCCCTGGACATGCAGGACAAGACGATCAAGGTGCTACGCATGCTTGATACATGTAGGTTGATATGCTGATATGTAATCCGTCTTTTTGAGCGAATTTCATAGGACACTAGTCCGCAGACCAGTCTCCGTTCCGACTCCATATCCGCTACAGGGCAGTTTGCGCTGCAGCGGAATTGCGGAATTCTGTGTCTAGGATATTTAGTGATGTACTAACTACTACTTTATACAGTAGTAGGCCGACAACCCGTGCCGTGAGAACGGAATAGGACCGGTTTGGTATGAGATCCAAATGGCCAAGCAAGGGGCTTAAAATGGCAGGACATGGCGAACCGTGTTCCATATACCCATCCATAGCGCAATACTATCGTGGTATGCATGTCCCATGCCTACTGATGGATGTGGATGTTACATAAGACGCGGGTGAGGTTCGAAGTATGAGTCACAACCCGATGGCAGGGCTGGGAGATTGTAATTCTCCATAGGAATTGGTCGATCCGATTGATCGAATTGCCAAGTTCATCCTGGTAAAATGTCTTGAATGTCTGAATTGAGTTTCGATTCCGCTCGTCCCTTGGAGTTTGTGGGGTTGAAGAAGCCAACGCCAATAGATGCCAATGCGCATCCGCGCTGCGCACGCGCCATTGACCATGCGAGAGTGCGCAATTCACGATCTGCGATTTTGCGATTTGCGACGGTTCATCGCATACATACCCCCCAAGGCTCTAAGAATTATACCAAATGCACGAAAACGTCATTCGGCTTCGTGGCCTGAATATCATTTATCATCTCCTTGTTGTTGACGCCCATCAACTGACCATTCTAAACCGGGCAGTTAATGCGTAGTCGAATATTACGGTAAGGATTCTATTAGCGTGTCCTCGAAGCAGTAAGATATCGAGAAAAAGGCAAGACCAAAAATCGGAGTAAGGAATATAACCGGATTGATCAGCACAGCCGCCACTACCTTAGTCCTCCAATGAAAACAGACCTTAGGTTTTTTAGAATGATATTACGATATTACAGCGCTGTAAGCTGCGGATGATGTACATCAGTATGTGGTGGATTAATAATTGTGGTGTTTTTTCTAATATTAATTGATGTCGAAGAAAAAGAAAGAAAAGCGGACACGTACTAAACTGGGAAAGGTACCACAGACACCTGGGTACATATTAGGTAGCTTCCTTAATCAGCTCGCCGACAATGATCAACCAATTGGTTGCGTTCAAAGCAAAAGAACGAACCGATAATTTCGTAATCAATCACAAGCCTTAGCTACAATTAGCTTAACGTCTTGGCAGTAAGCAGGGATTCAATTTAGAAACGGTGTTAGTGATTTTCACATCCTCAACTCCGGAACGACGCGGTGATAAGATAAAGAAATAATATTTCCAACGGCCAATTTTTGAGTGTTGACGCCAGATCACATAGATTCGGGGTTTACGTGCTGCGATTAGTATTTTCCGATAGCAATGTAGTGCCACTACAGATATACAGATACCGAATAATACCATTCGCAAAGTACTGCATGCGTAGAGCCGTAGAGTGGTCGTGTGTAAATTGTAAAATGCGCAGCAAGGAAAATACGCAGATACGGAGGAAGGCTGTGCGCTAGGAGGATTATTGGATTGGAACACTGGGGACATTGGTCGCAGGGATAGTTAGTGCAGAAAAACTCTGTGGGTCCAAAAGTGTGAGTCATACCTCTCTTCAAGCGAACAGATTGTGTTCTCGCCTATCTGTTTCAGCTGGTAGCTTGCGGTGAAATGTGCTGGACGAGCCGGCAATCAAAATTGTTAGTGGTTAGCAAGTTACCGTAAGACCTAACTAAACAGCTGCTAGACCACTTTGCCCGCACCCGGGAAACCGTCCTTGACACTTGAAAATCCACCCACGCGTCCGCCTAACTGAGTGGCTCGTGCACGACCATTCCCTTTTCGAATTCGTACCCAGGTACTTAATACTTGCCAAAATTGATTGAAGTTATTTGGGTACGTACCGCTCCGGTAGGCTCTAGGGATCAGATTGTTGCCTGAAAAAAATACTAAAAGTCTACTTCCTCCCACCAAAATTAAGGCACGCTTTCTTTTCCCCTCCTTCTTTTTTTCCCATCACACACAACTCTCAAACTACACACATCATAAGAAGGTCAATAACAAGTCCCTCAAGATGCGCTAAGCAAACTTGACCTCGTCGTCTTTTTCCTTTCATTCCCCTTGGCACCTTAAACGGTCAGCAAAATTCAGTCAACAAATAGAAACGCTTTTCTCCCCACTCAACCCTTTTCTTCAGCTCTTCCTTTTGAGGTTGACCTGAACTTCAACGAAGCTATCACCAGCTCCCCAAGTTCACCTTTCAATACCGCCACCATTTCGTCCCAAGACTCCCCAGTCTTCACCACGGATTCACATCAGTCATCATGGCTTCCCCCCAGTTCCCAAAGCCAGCTGGCACAACCCGAGCAATCATTCCTTGCGCCACCGGAGGAGGATTTCGTCTTGTTCGAACCCAAGCCGCAGGAACAGAACGCTAATCGTGCTACACCGTCGCCTGCATTGCACGCAGCATTTGGATCTCTCAACACCAACGCTAGCCAATCGCCTCAATTGTTCAACGGTTCTTCATTGCAGGGTCAGCAACGAAACCAATCGCTATCGCTAGCTCAGGTTATCCAGGCAACCGGACATCAGACTTCTTCTCAGGTTTTCACCAATCCATACACCGCTCAGCCGCACCTTTTCGCCGCCGCAGCATTGTCTCCTTCGACATCTTCGAACTCCCAGAATCGTCTTGTTCGTCCCCCCGTACCTCTTTTCCCACAGAACACGGGCACTCGACAAGCATCGTCCAACATGGACTTACAAGGTAACTTACTTAACCCTGCACCAAGTAACAGTAACTTCTTCTCACACGTAACAGACGCAATGCGTTTCGAGGACTTGACGGGTGGCGGCACCACGGCATACTCTTCTCCGGGTATGCCTGGCTACGACGTCAGCATGGGCTCTACCCCGGGCTCAATGGGCAATATGGCCACCGTGTCGCCCAGTGACCTACACTACGATGCTTTCTCGTCTGCCCCGAACTCGGCCGCGATCACGAACTTGACCTCGCCGTCCCTGTCGAACGAGTCTCCGGATTACTTGGAGAGCTACGAAGCCTCCCCGCTTGTGGGTGGCAACGACCTTGATGGTAACTTTTTCCCGGAGTTATCCATGTACGGTGCTATTCCCGGCGGCTTTCCCACTGGCAATGGTAATCTCGACTCAGAAGTCTCGCCGGTCGATCAGCCCGAGGGCGTCGAGATGACCAAGACCGTTTCCAGATCTCGTATCGAGTCGAGTGGGTCGCCTCTGGCCAGAACTCATGTGAAGCGCGTATCCGAGGGTGGCATTACCAAGCCTAAGAAGCCGCTTCCCGCCATCACCGTTGAGGACCAACACGACACAGTTGCCATGAAACGAGCGCGCAACACCTTGGCGGCACGCAAGTCCCGTGCTCGTAAGGCCGAGCGATTCGAGCAGCTAGAGAAGCAAATCGCGGATCTCAAGGAACGGCTTGCTTATTACGAGAATCTTTGCAAGGCCCACGGCTTGTGCGTCGATATTGAAGAATGATCGTTGCAAGGGTGGAACTGGAGGGGCGGCACCACGCCTTCCCAACCATGACAACCATTTTGGGATGACGGTGGTATCAGTCCGATGCTATCGGTACAGCCGGACGATGACGCCACTCGTCGAGGATATTAAATAGGGTTCTTTCTTGTCGTTTCCTCCATCTTCTTTAGTTCCATCGGATTGGAACCACCAAAATCGGGTGTGGTCAGGATTTTCCTTGCTTTTTTTTCCTTTTAGTCATCAGTCAGAGGCCATGGCCTTTGTATACCTCTGCATACTTTTGCCTTTCATTTCTGGGGCGGAGTTGCAGGATATCAATGAACCTCATGGAAAATAACTGTTGCCGTTGCCATGATATTGTGACTTGATGTGACCTGATGTAACTTGTTTTTTTCGTAATGCCCTCATGCTACCGTAAAGCTGGGGTTTTCACCGACCTGGAATGGGTTTATAACGTTAGCTAGGCTCAAGCTGCTTCGTCTTTATAGCAATGCTTTGGAATGTTGATGTTTGATAGGTTGCTGGTGGGTTGATTGTGTCTTAGACGTGTTTCCAGGTTGGCTGCTTAGCAGTTGCCTCGCAAGCCAAACTGCATAAGACCGGTTTGGTTGGTTTGATCTTGGAAGAAGGGAAGATGTAGGATAGAGGGAGGAGGCAAGTATAAATATGTTCGGTATGGGAGACTTGTTGGGGAAGTAGGTAGGGACGGATACAGTGTACGCCAATAAGGACACGGTAAAGACGGTGTTTGTGACCGGTTCAACAAATTCTGAATCCACTTTGGAAATTTTTCTTGAAGGACCAGTTGCTTGAGAGGCTTGGGAGGTGAGTAATCTTTGCACAGGCCTGATAGGGGGTTGGGTATGTCTTTGTCACTGTGTTGATAGGTAGGGTTGGGGAGGATGGTTGGAAGGTTGGATCCATGAGAAAGGATGAGGGGATGGATGGATGGATTGGGATGAGATGAAATGAAGGAGGGATGAATGGATGGAAGAATGGATGCCCAAGGTTTGCGTGGATAAAGTCTACCTGATTAACATTACGCCTCTTTCCTTAGGTATTACTCATAGTGAAGCCCTAGGCACTTGGTTTCAAAGTTTCCTCGCAACTCTACCCGCCACGCTGAGTGCGAATTGGGCTGCTAGTCACCGTAGTCATTGTCTCCATTGCGTCGAGGGCTCGGTTGTCTTTCTGCTGGCTACGTAGCTGCGTCAACCTGTGTGAGTCGTGGCACTGGATGGAACTCCACTGTGAGAAGCCTGTCTAGGATGAAAGTCATTGAGACACGGATTTCCCTATTGCTGAGTCACTTGGCTGGGGTGATGGTGAGAAATAAGACTCAGTTATAGTTTAATTTCAAAAGCGCTTTGTTTAAGTTGCTATGGGAATAACCAATACAAGACATCCTACTCAGAGGTCCATTGGGGCCTGTATAGGATGATGTATAGGTGTTAAAATTCAGAGGAAATACCAATAAGAGCTCCAGTCACCGACGAAGAGTTCCACCGCATCAATCATATCGACCTCCATATCATCCTCATCACTCTCCAAGCCCTCTTCTTCGATCTGCCTTCGTAATTCCAACCAATCACTCCTCTCCAGTTGTAATTTATCCCACTGAAGCTCGTTACGTTCAAGCCTCAGATGTAGGACTCTTGCCCGGAACTTGGCCTGCTCGAGCCTGTCTTCCAAATCAGTCTGTCGCCATCCATCCGGCCGCCATACCTCGTGGAAATTCTCAGGCCTGCGGTGGGGATCGAATAACATGCCGAGCCAGTAACTAGTCACCATGGCGGATATGACCTGGAACGTCACATAGCCGAGATCCAGGTGAGACACTCCCAGAAAGTTGGAAATGGCGAGAGAGGGAAGCCCGTATGTGATCCATAAGAGCATCTGCACGAGAAGAAGGGCGAACTGAGAGCCCTCGTACGCTTGGAGTTGCCGGGGGCCGCGGGAGAAGGCGCCGAATCGCGACGGGATTCGGAAGACCCGCGACTGGAACCGGTAACCTTCCTGGCCGAGCATGAAGTGAAAGGCATTAGGCTCGCCGTTATTGTCCAGCTCGGGGGCGAGGAGCTTCTTGAAGATTGGTCCAATAACGGGTATGGGCATCGTGATAGGTGCTTCCTATATGAAAAACTATCAATTGACGTCTCGTGGGGGTTGAGGCCTTCAATAGGGGTACGAGGGAAAAGTGTTGAGACTTACGCAGAGCAGCACGGTAGTAAGATAGTAAGATAGTAACTAGTTTATATACGTATAGCACTAGTATTCAATATCTTCACCGTTGAGTATCTCATAGGGCTCATGGGCCGGAGGATCCTCGCGATTGTGTTCTTCACGTGGGTTTTGAAGATGTATTGGATGAATGATCATCTCCGCTATGATAATCACCCAAAGGCACACGGTGGCGTTTTCGAGTCCAGCTTTGATGAAGTCGATTATCTGGGCCCAGGTGAACATGATTGCTAGAATGAAGTGTGTAGAAACTGTACCGAGATGCGCATATGTAGTAGTGTTAGAAGTAGACGAGGGAAATAGTCCTTTATATGAAGGTAAGGCACACTGTCAGTTGTCTATTGAAACATAAACCAGACGTCCACATGAGGAGATAGTTACGCCACAAAATCAAAAGGTCAATATTTTGGTTGTAATAAGATTCTTGTCCAACAATTTGTAACCAGGTGCTTTACGAGGTGAGGCTTCGATAGAGGCACTTAGTAAACTCAAGTCATCTAACGCTAATAGGAGACGAGCAGTTATACCACCTAGGTAAATTACGCCACAGAAAGATAGTCTGCGTTTTGCGAATTTAGAGAATATTATCATTCAAGACTAGGGGCATGAAATATCGGGGCAACGCCGTTTAGAGATCGAAACGTTGAATGCCTGTTTTTACCAAGAAGACGATTTGTCAAGTATACGTGTTATGTTATTATCCCGAGAAACCATGAAGCCCAAGAAATTCTGTTGAGACGCGAGATACGGGGAGGTAACTAAGTAAATAGACTCGGCAGATTTGTATGTAAAGTAAAACGACCGAGGCTTATATAAAAATAAATAATATCTAATATTAAAGCGAATTCGTCAACCTTATTTTAGTACTGTTTAACTTTGCCAAACCTCTAGCCTCATGCATTGAAATGTTAAGTTGAGCAGGCGTAAGCCCCTTTTTCTCCGTGAGTAGTTGATTGACACCGTAGTCTAACCTCCCTCGTCGATACACGTAGCTGTGCCACACACTAGTATTAGCATGATGAAACAGACGGATATCTCGACATAAGTTGGTTTGCTCCTGGTTCGCCAAAGGTCGAGACGTTCCTTTCGTAGAGGTGGGTTCATATTTCACCATTGCGGAGAAAATACAGTAAGAGAAAGCATCCAGCTTGCAACAACATGCGAAAGTGGTGCGCAAGTATGTTCAAGGATAAATAAACATTTTTATTGAAGGTAGCAATCACCATATTTATGATTTCATGTATAGAAGTTTTATCAATCCATTCCCCTGAAGCTCCTATCAACTTCCCGAACCTTCCACTTCTGCATCGTATACAAATCTTTTTATTAAGGCTGCGATTGCTTCATCTGTCTCCTCTAACTGGTCGGGATACGTTGCTGCAGTTTTGTTGCGCACAGCAGCCTCGGCCGTTTCCAGCATTTCCGCCAGACTAGGGCGGTCTCGAGCATGGTCTGCAAGACATATAGCCAAGAAATCACGAAGATCGTCGTCGAGCGTGGGATACTTCGCGCCATTCCCATGTTCTAAGATCTCGGTCGCTCGTGTTTCGAAGCCTTGGTACTCCGTGATCCATGCCGAAATTCTTACGTCCTGTCTTGCGATCAAGTTGATCATGATCTAGGTTTATGTTAGTCCCTGTTGAGCTCCTAAACTTGGTATGGGACTGTTGGTAGTACCCTAGATATTTTCCAAACATTATCGCCGACTCCTTGGAATCCCTCTCTTGTCCGTCCAAAGTCAATGAACTTAAGCGGTGGAATTATAGCATGTTCTGCGAACCCCAGGCCAGCTGTACCTATCATCACTTGGTATTGTCAGCAAATATGTCTTTCCTAGAAAGGGGAGCTGACAGACCATTTGCTTGATGTAAGTCTGCATGCTCAATATCGCTTGGTCTCCTACCATCCGTAGGGATGGTCTCCAACTGGGATACCTGATCTTCAGTGCCGTTCATAGGATAGGCGAGAGCAACACAAGCTCTTATTACTGAACGCAACCACGGAATGTTAATCATAGCGAAAACATCTAACGGGAGGCATCGTACTTACAGCAAAGGAAAAAGGACCATAATATTCGATTTGGTAACAATTGATCGTACTTCACTAATCTGTTATACAGCCGCTTTATATCTGCGTTTTCTAGGTATTCCAAAACCGCTATCGGGCCGATGATACCTTCTAATGGGTCCCTGGTTATTGGGGTTCTTCGAGCGCCCCTGACTGGAGTCAACGGGGCGGGCTCATCGCGACTCGCTAGTAACCTCACGATGTGTTCGGAACCGCGAAGGGTCTATAAAACGGTAAGTCAGTAGAGACTCCAGCTCTACATAGATGACATAGACTTACTTTCAACCAAGTTATCTCATTCCTGAGGTCATCGTCATGCCTCGGGTTCACGGACCGCTTTATAGCAATGCGCCGATATGTAGTCAACGAGAGTTTCTCGATGGCAGAAAATGTGAGGCCGAAAGCACCTCGCCCAATTAGACCCTGGAAGGTAAATTTTTGATATTGTGTAGCGAAATGTGCTCTTAGATCGGCTTCGATATCGTCTATGGTCCTGTTACCATACGAAACTACGGTGTCCGAAAGACGCTTTGGACTCATTCGGCCATCCATAGATCGATCAATTACCTAGGAAACTAGGTAGTAGGTTGTGACCCAAATAAATTTTAGTAGGTGTATGCATACCTAAGCAGAAGACTTCTAGGCCGGAAGTGAGAGAGACCGAGATGTCTCTTTGTATATTTGGTTATATCATGAAAAAAGGCATTGTGAGATCCGATTCCGGAATAAAGGTAAAGTAAACATCCTCGAGTCAATATTGAGGAACAAAGGGGCCAGTCTCAAGTATAGACAACACAGAGCTTTTTAATCAATAATTGAATTAGCCTTATCTAATCTACCTGTATTCTGTTAATTTTTAGCGTTAGAAAAGGCCATGGAGGAAATGATGCAGTAAACCGCACCTAGATACCCGTTTTCATAAGATATAGCACCGAAGGTCTTGTGATAGTGACACTGAATCGAAATGTAAGACGAAGTCCTTGTAGTGACATCCACATGAAATGCTTGTGAATGCGCCATATCCCACTTATATTTTAGATAATTCCCGACTTCGTGCATGCAAAACATAACATCATATCTCATTTTCATCTCTCCTACATATCTACCAAAACACCCCAACTTCAAACCCCCCTAATGCGCTTTAACAACACCCGCCTGATCCGCCTGCGCCGCAATCCTCTTCTTATACGCCTGCACATCCCCAGGAAACTTCCAAACCGTGCCGTTCTCGCAGACCCAGAGGCTCGTGCACACCGTCTGCAGCATCGTGACGTCGTGGGACACCATCAGCACGCCGCCCTGGAACTCCTGTAGCGCCTCGGAGAGCGCGTCCATGGCCTCGATATCGAGGTGGTTGGACGGTTCGTCGAGGACCAGGATGTGGGGCTGCGTGAGCGCGAGGCACGCGAACGCCACACGACTCTTCTGACCACCGGACAGCACCTCCATCTTCTGCAGGCCGGTCGTGCCCGTGATGCCGAAGGCGCCGAGCTGCCGGCGGTACTCCTCGTCCGTGCGCCCGGGGTACGTCTTCGCCATGAAGCTGACGGCGCTCATCGTCAAGTCGAGCGCGTCGACGTGGTGCTGGGCGAAGAACCCGATCCTCAGCCGAGAGTTCTGCGAGATGATGCCTTTCGTCGCAGACAACTTGCCGATCAGCAGCTTCAAGATCGTCGTCTTACCTGCACCGTTGGGTCCGACGATGCCGATTCGCGAGTCGAGCTGGACGTCTAGGTCGACGTCTTTGAGAAGGATCTTGTCGGGGCTGTAGCCGAAGGTGACGCCGGACATCTGGACGATGGGCGGGGACAGTTTCTCGACTTCGGGGAAGCGGAACTTGACGCTGTACTCGGTCTCGGGAGGCTCGAGGATGGGCATGCGTTCTAGCTTCTTGATGCGGGACTGGGCCTCGGCAGCCTTGCCGGCATTGTAGCGGAACTTGTCGATGAAGGCCTGCAAGTGGGCACGCTGGGCCACGTTGTTCTCATACTCGCGCTTCGCCGTCTTCTTGCGCTCCTCGCGGGTCGCGTAGAAAGACTCGAAATTAGCGCCGCGGTAGTAGTCGAGCCGCTCCGAGTGTTGGTGTATGATGTCCGTCGCGACTTCGTTGAGGAAGGCCCTGTCGTGACTGACCACTAGGACGGTGCTCGGGTATGTGAGGAGGTAGTTGGAAAGGAAGGTAATAGAGGGGACGTCCAACATGTTGGAAGGTTCGTCGAGAAGCAGCAAGTCAGGCTCGCAGAAGAGGGCTCGGGCGAGTGCCAGACGCATACGCCAACCACCGGAGAACGTCTTGGTGGCGAATTGTTGGCGTTCCGGGGAGAAACCCAAACCTGCCAGAATACTAGCTGCCCTGGACTCCGCCTTATCTGACTCCATTTCGGCCAGTTTCGCTTGGACTTCTCCAAGCTTCTGGTCAAGCGCCTCTCGGTCGTGGTCTAACTTCGCAGCATCGGCAGAAGTATCCGCCATGGACGACCGCTGAGACTCTATCTCGGCAAGTCGTGCACTGATTTCCTAGACAGCAATATTAGCGTGCGAGGCCGGGAGATCTGGAGGCGAAGGACATACTGTTTGCTCCTTGAGTAACACTTTCCGCCAAACATCGGCATCTAAGACAGCTTGTAAGGCAGAAGTGTCATCACCAGTAATCTGGGGCCAGTTAGTATACATATTAAGTCGCTAAGGTACGGGGGGGTGTCATACCTCTTGTTCAACGTGAAGAATGGATATGTGTGTAGGAACGGGCAACTCTCGCCTGGACAACGCCCTGAGCAACGTAGATTTACCAACACCGTTGTGACCAACCAGACCATAGCGGTGTCCATAAGCGAGGGTCAGATCCGTATCCATCAGAATACGTGTTCCGCCGATACTAACATCTACGTTCTCAATCTTGATATCCTTGGTCTTGCCAGCACCTCCGCCAGATCCGAGCTGCAGAGGGTTGACAGCCATATAGAACTCCTCATAGCTCTGGGCATTCTCGGTCTGGTTAAGCAGTCTGGAAGCTTCATACTCAACCGTCTTGAATTGCTTCTTGTTCTGTTTGGCGGCGATTTTGCGCTCTGCCTTCTCGAGCTTCTTCCGGTCGACCTTGGACTCTACCTTGCGGGCGTTTGCGGATTCTAAGTCCACGCTGCCGGTGGCAACTGCTAGAGTCGAGGACATGTTTCGCTGGGAGCCGACCTGGATGGCCTGGTCAAGCCGCCTCACGGCGGACGGGCCCCGCCTCTCGCCATTGCTACTGTTGGCTTCTTCATACTTGTCAACCCACTTGGAGACCAGCGAACGGATCTTGTCCTGGTTTGTGCCGGCCGGGTCTCCGGAAGCGGAGAGCAGGAGCTCTGTGATAGCAGCGGCAGCCTCGGCGAGGGGCGACAGAGCGGCAGATTCCTCATCGCCTACCCAGGCAGTAGATGCATGTCTAAGATACCCTACCGAATACTCGGAGACGACCGGGTCAATATCCGGAATTGCGGCTCTGATATCGGCTTCCATTGTTCCTTGTTATCGGGATGGATGCCGGAGATTACCTTACCCACTAGGACTTTTAGAGGAGGGTCCAGAACGTATCAAAACGGGATTCAATTTGCGAGTCTTGCAGTCGGCTCAAGCAGGAAGAGCTGGAGAAGCTAGATCCGTCTATCTGGTCTTTTTGTTGCCCCCTGAGATCGCAAGGACACCGCTTCCAAGTTCCAACAGCGTGGATCCCTGGTTGTCAGATTTAATCTCGTGCTGCAATGCACGATGCAATAGGGTGTCTAGTGTGATCCGTTTGTCGTCCAAGCGGCGGTTATGAATCCTGAAATTATTGTTGCATCGTTCAGGAAATAGGCACAAAATCATAAAATCGTAAAATGTCGTCTGAATAAAAAAGTGGAACCATACATTACACATGGGCACGGTAATAATTGTATACGGCAGATACTGTACGTACATGGGTAGACACGGGAGATGACTAAGATTATTCATATTATGACGGCTCATCTTCGGCGTCGACGATATTAGCTTTTAATTGCATGTGACGAAAATGTAATAAAGATGACCGTTATTCATGTAGGCATCCGTGATATAATATTATTCGACATAATATTATTCGACAATATTCACTCTTGTTGGTTGCAACTCACAAACAACAACAAGAATTGATATTGGAACTTTTTCAAGTCGTGTAAGCAGGCAGGTTCTGTTGGTCAAGCTAGTTGAGCTGGTCGAGTTGAACTGGCCATGTGCTTAGGCCTCGACCTTTTTCAAGATCAAAACATCAAAATTGCTTCAAACCTATCAAACCCTTTCATTATGAGGCGGTTCATCATGTTGGAATCCCTACCCTGTCCTTGTTCTTTCTTCTTCCCTTTTTGGCGACGCCTAGCTCCGAACGATCTGCTGCTTAGGTGCTTCATCGAGATTTGATAGGCTACCGATGTGAAGACCCAAGGGATATGTCAGGATATGTTTGGTTGTTTCGACATGGGCAAGTATTGGACCCTTACCTAACCAACAATTCAGTCTCACTAGCAGCGACATGAAGGATATGAGGACAGGGCTAGCCTTAAATTCGAAGGAAACAAGACTGGAGACAAATCTTGCTAAGCCGCGGAGTTTGCCTAGTGCCTAGGTACCGTAGGTATTCGATGTATCGTCAACGCCACAGCGATCGACCGGGGACTGAAGCGTCACAACTCAATTCGGATCGATCTCGTGCAATCCGTGCGTGCCAATAGGATATTTGCCTTCGATCAGTGCCGTGCCGGGTGAAGCGCGTGGGAATGACGCGCCGGCCACTCGCGGACGCGTTCTGGAATCGCTTCCACGATCCTAGCATCGCATACCTGGAACTTTGAAACGCGCACCATTCCCGTCGCGCTTCCGCCCTCGCTGATTGGCCCTTCTACGCACTGCATTTTCCCAGCTAACCGCAGCCGCTGTGGGATTCTTCAGCTAACCCGTGTCTCACAGCCAGACAGCGCGCCCTATCATTGCCATTGTTGGCAGTTGGAACGCTTGTCAAGATCTTCACCTAAAATTTTTATGTTTCTAGAGGGATCCGTATTAGGCTGGATGCCCGGCGCAACACGCAGCTGGATGATCGGGATGATGCGGCCGCCGCCTGGACCATCACATTGGGCACTGGTTTCCACATGCCAGATGCAACCTCTCTCTAGGTATCTTACTTGATTATACTCGCCAATCTGCGCGAATCGTTCGATGTATGTATGTCCCGAGATTCCTAAACACTCCCGCTGCAGCTGTCATGAGATTTAGAGTCTCTATAGTAATGGACCCTTTTCTCCTTAATAAAGATTTCACACGATCCGAGTAGGATCGCTTTATAGTTCCTGTTTATACTCTTGTAATACCTTTCTTAATCTATTCCCCGACAGCCCTGGAGATCTGCTCATAGAGGGTTACATTTCGCCATTGGAAGGTGGCCAACGTCATGTCGCCATTAGGGGACAATGGATTTCAGATGCAACTGCAAGAAAATCCTGAAAACCTCAACGACAGAATTGGCTGAAGCACGTAAAGCATGGATCTAGACATTTGTGGTAATGATCAAATAAAACCATTGGCAAACCTTGGCCAATGACCTCTCATGTTAGCGAAGAAGCAGTTTTTCAAGAAGCAAAATTTTATTCTAGGCCTCGTCGTAATTATCAAACCCGAGGTAACAACTCAGCAGGCAGGACTAGTAGAACTCATAGCCTGCTGTTGTCCAACCTACGGCCAATTTTGATGACAGCATGATCCTGTATCGGACGGATTTTTGATCCGCATCCAGATAGTCGGGTTTAACACGAACGTCGCCGCATCAGCATCAGAATCGGGGGAAGGATCTGGTTTCACATTCGCTTCCTATGAATGATTTGCAAATGACGTTCTTGCTTGGAAGCGACCTACATATCGATGAACTATAATATCTTCATTAATTGCCTCGGTTTACTGTCCTTGGTATGCATCGTCGAAATTATCGAGACATGTAGCTAGATATGTTCAGCTGTACCATGAGGTAGACTTCGCCCGAGCGGAATTAGACGAGATAATTGCTCCGAGAGACTGCGAAGGATATCCCAACCTGTCCCGGCGTTAGCTCCTTTTTGTGGTTCGATGGGTTCGATGGAAGCGTCCGTGCCGTGAAAGGTGAGCTTCAAATTTATGAGGTTTCGGCGCCAAAGCCGAATTTGGATCCAGGGGTTTCCTTTCCAATGCGTGCGGACTCTTGGAAAAGGCCGGCGCCTTACTAGTTAAATGTCCTCGAGACGGTCTTGAATAATAGCCGAAAAAGACAGCTAGCTAGCTAGCTAGCAATATATCGGCTATCGTGAACTATTAATTCTCCACAAGAATCGTTAGAAGTCTCGTTTCAAATGCCTTGGGTTGTCGGCGATAACAAAGGCCCAGAGCATCTTGTGTCTTTGCCATGCTTTACGAAGACTTTTAGATTTTGGTTGTGACGCCGTAACAGAAAGTCGATCCTTGCTTAGGGTCGAATCATTGGACAGGAGCCTCTTCTTCTATTCGATCGCTAATGACGAACTTACTAGGCGATCATTAAGATTTCAGCTGGTATTTTTGATCCTAGACCCTACTCGTGACTAGACCGACTTAATAGATCAGAGAAACCATCGCATATTCTCAGACGGCGTCCTCAAAGCGGTCCACATGATCCGGCATTGCGCAATCGTGAATCGGCGACCCCGGTAGAGGTTCAACTAACAGAGCTAGGCTGTTAAGAATGAATGGTACCGAGATATCGACCCGAACCCGAAGCCTGGGGTTATGTTCTGAACGAGTTTCACTCCAAAGCCACATCACATCAAGATCTCTTCAGCAACAATACTCGAGTAGATAGTACGACGCCTCATCGATCAATGGCATTGATGAAGATGAGGGGTAAGTCCGAGTACATGTAGCTATTTTAAGGAGGACTTTCGAAGTCCCCACGTCTCCAGCCTTTTTTCATCGTCACACGGCACAGCTAAGTACCTATTTTACCTAGAGTCTAATGTGTACTTGTGTTGTTGTTTACTTTCTTTACTTACCACCTTACCTAGGTAGGTAATATACTTGCGTTGATGTACTAGTCGGTAGCGGATAGCACTCATCATTACCTACTGATAGGTCGTATACCTCGCCGTATATTCCTTCACGGTTCGGAAGGTACCAGGCATTAAAAAAAAGGCGAGCTACATAGCGAGAAATGTATATCGGGTATCAGATGTTTGCATCCGTTCCGCTGGCTTTGGCAATTCCACCGTCACTCCCGCAAAGTCCTCTCAAGCAACAAGAGTGAGCTTCGCAGTTTGTTTAGCCAACGCTTGAGTAGGTAGTTAATAGATCGATGTGAAGTGATAGATAATAAGTCGGTTGTGATTCGCAACAGAAGCCGATGCCGTCGGATCGTAACGACAACGACGGCAATATGCCTCATCCTGACAGGCAAAGCCTTGTCTCGGTGTTTCGGTCCTCTCATGGATATTGGGGTCTTGCATTGTACAATACAAAAACTGCGAGGTGTGCGCCGCAATTTAAGCAACACTCGTATCTGTGTGCCGTCACCTAGGTAGCAGCTTTCAGATCCCCGCTAGAGCCTTAAGAAAATGGCCCCCTAGTGTACTAGTCCAAGTAAGATTTCTGTGGAATATGAGACGTACATGAGAGACCGCCTCCCACGTTATTTGTATTGGCACGGACCCTGACGAACGTTTTCCGGGGAAGGGATATCGGTAAACCGGAGAATAAAATCCAGCAAAGGTAGGCCGCCACAAGCCATGACTTACTAGACGGAAAGAGAAGGATACACAAAAGCCACCGGCGGTCAAACTCCAAGGCTTATGTATGATATGTAACTGTGGAATAATAAGGTGTGGGAAGTGTTGCTAATGAGTGGTCGCACGATCTGCTTGTTCCCCATGGAGCACAGCTTGCCCATGTCGTGATTCGTGACAGCAGGAGGCGGCAGGCGACAAATCATTGGCTGAAATGACACACCGTAGTTGGATACGGAGCTCCTCTGGGAGGGGCTACAAGCACCGACACTGATGAGGCAAGCATCAGCATGCAAGTTGCAGGTGCGGTATTGGCAACAAATATCGCAATCAACTATATGCAACAGCGAGAGGACCAGTTGATGAAGCTGTTTGCGTGGCTCGCGCCGTCTTTTTGGGGGATTTCTTCTTTCTTTTAGAAAGGGGCCTTTTCTCTCGGTATATATAGCAATTATAAAATATACCTAGGTAGGTACTGAGAGGTAACAAGAAAGAAGACATAAGAGAACTTACACTAACGAGCATGGCAAGGCTGTCCAGCTTGACAACGAAGGATAAGCGCTTATGCAAATAATATTATGGTATACATATAGGAGATGCCGATATTTGCATTTCGCTCTGCCTGCTGGAGGGGAAACTCGAGGTTGTTATCTCCGGAGCATATTTCAGGATACGCTGTTTGTAAACATAGATATTAGTAAAGTAAGGGAGTTTTGTCAGTGAACCTTCCAAGGCTCACTAGGTGTCAGTAGTTCGAGGCATAGTCTCATGCATTCAATTATTGTAACATCTAGAGATGATCTTGTTCCTATTAATATAAGTCAAGAAGAATATTGGAGACTCGACTCGCAGTAGTTTACTCAGCTAGCAGCGACATCTGGCAACTAAGAAGACTGAACCTGAACCGAGAATCTGGAACCGTCGAACCAAAGCACAAGAATGACATAATGAATGCAGCGTCATTTTAAGGCTGGGTTGTGTCTTCGAATCGTCGAATCTCTCTCAGAATCTTGGAATGCACCGATGGAACCCATCATTCTCGTTTACAATTCGCTAGAAGGCCGAGATGCCCGCTGATGTGAAGATTTAAATTAAAAAAAGCATTCGACTTGTCTAGGACTGGCATCTCGTTTTAACCGTTTCGTTGTTCAGCACTTAACCTAGATGGCCTTTCGACCAATGAGGAGCTGTGATAGGTCTCGGATAATGAATGGCGCTAGTATGTTGCATCGGTCTATCCCATCCAGGAACTAATAATAATAACAATAATAATCATAATAATAACATCATCGCCATTATCATCAGCAGTACTTATGCGTGGACTGCGCGTCCGGAAAGCGGACAAGGCGCCATCCACTTCAAGGATCATGCATCTTAAAAAGTGCATCACGATAAAAAAGTATTAGTTTCTTTTCTTCGGTATTGGATCTGAGTACCGTGCCTTGGATATAGGAGAAAGAAAATATGGAGAATTAAGTTAAGCATAAACATTAGACTTCAGTCACCTTACGTAAGTATACGTACCTTGAATGGATCATGATGAACTTAAAGTTGAATTGTTTCTCTAAGGTCGTGTAATTCTTTAGTTCAATGTATTCAGGTACTTGGACATCCCAGCAGCTGGATGCCCTGAATGATTGAAACTGCTAAATACCGATCCATTCATTATGAAGATGAAGTGCTGCATCAGAATGGAAATATGACCTTGTTAGCCTCGAATCCTTAATATCATATTTCCAAGTTATGCACTGTAAGCCGGGCAGCGTACTGTACTGTACGTGTAGGGAACCCGCATTGCATTGCAGGACAGGCAATTACAGGCCTTGACCTTGGCACACGGTCTTGTTCTCCCCTATCTCCAGGCGTGTCAGACGACTGATACACTGTGCTATACTGTACTGCACGGTACTATACCTGCTAAGGCATTGTATGATTTGTATGCATGTATGGGAAAGCACATGGTGCGCGTTCCTTCCAAAATAGCACCTTTTAATAACAGGGTACCTCGGTACCTATGGTAACCTAAAGTTTAACGATAAAAATCTAGGGAAATACAGAACAACGTTTAGGGACAATTATGTAAAGGTACATGGACCTTCCTTCATTTTACTGGGGAATCTGTGGCTTTAATCTTAGATCGTCGAGTGTACTTCGTAGCCCGGGCCGCTTGTAGTATCTAGCTCCGTACCCAGAGGTAAACATCCCAGGGCTCTTATTTTTTTTCTATCATCAAAAGATTCCAATCCTCGTTCACCAATCTCTTTTTTCCTTTCTCCCAGGCAAGATTCAGGTTTAGTTCCAGTCATAATTGGTCTTGCTATGCCTATATGTCGTCGTATGTTAATGTTCTCTTGCTGCAGCTTACCCTCCCCGGATTTGCGAGATTTCCATTTCTTTTTTCCTTACTCCTAACTTCTATGACAGGCTGCTTCTTCGTCTACCTACTCGCATAGGGAGACGCTCTATCAGGAGTCGTAGCAACCGCAACAATAACGACGACCACGGCAGCTGTTATACCCCGAACTGCTTCGTCTTTGCCATAGTACCCTTTCTAGGAGAGACTGCTACTTTCTAGGACCTAATTGGATTCGCCATATTAATCCAATCGCACTTAGAAGCGGCCGTGTTAATACCCTGCTGCCAGTAACAGTAAATATTGGACCATTCCGCATAATAGAACGAATCGTCGCGCCAGGCCACTCAACCTACGACCGCCGACCAACTACTTACGACATCACACGCACACAGACCTGGAATTTTATAAAATTAGGTTTATTCACTTCGTCAAACTTCTAGAACACGACGTCTTCATGTCTCAATGAACAATGGTTACGAGAACTTTGCAGAGAGTCGACTCTTTTTCCTCCCGCTCCTCTACAGAAGGCAGCTCTCTGTTCTCCTAACACCCGTTCAAGATGCAGACGGTTCCAAGTGTAAGTTGAACGCGTCTGCTTTGTGCAACTCATCAACCACAACCTATTTTCCTGGAAGAATTGATCACTGTAGTCGCTTTATTTAACATATTTTACTATATTGCGTCGAACTACATACGGTCATGATACCCCCTTTTGTCGTTCTGCGGGTGTTCCTCTGGGTTTCCAGGTTTCGTGTGGCTTATACCTGGAATAATTGCTGACTTCCAATTAGCTTATTGGAGCTGGTACTGCGGTCGCCGCGGCGGCAACGGGGCTAGTCTTTGGTGAATTGCCAGATGGACAACCCACACTGCACCCAGACTCTAGCAAGAGAAAGTCGATAATATCTGATAGAGACTTTCTCAGTGTATTCTCATCACGACCTGGAACAACGAACTCGACTGCCACCGCTCCGCCGAAGAACGACTTTGTTCAAGACTCGAACCAACAATCCTCTTCTTCTAATGCGACGGCCCGACCGCGAATTCCTCGACGACCTTCCCATATCCATATAACACCACCGAAATCTTCAGGAGCACGGCACTCTGCTGCTAAACAAGGCGAATTTTCACCTGCTACCCCCATCGCCGAAGACACGCGTGATTCCCTTTCTTCGAGTAGTTCGTGGATACGAAGATTATCTATACGACCGCTATCCCAGCACGAGAGTATAAGGTCAAGTGTGGGTCCAGATTCGCCTTCCATCACCTTTTCCCACGGGTCCGCTGCGCCAATCCTCTCGCCTGGAGGGCATCCACCTGCACAACTACCTCCAAATAAATTGGTGAAACGCGCATCCGCCGTCAACGGAAGCAACACCGGCCCTTTAGCTCGACGAGGTTCAAAGGCTCAGATGACATTACGCAGACCAGCTACGAGCCACCAGCGGTCTGCTACATTAAATCAGCAGATTAATCCCGAAGAGTTACCACCTTTGACAAAGATCTCGTTTGACCAACATAGTCGGCCTAGAGCGCAGACTCTAGCTAGTCCAACCGAGTCGGAATTCCCTGTTTCCAGCAGGAAGTCGTCACCGTGGAAGTCGTTTTGGCATTCTCGTTTATCTCGAACCACCGTTAAATCCTCACCGCTGAGGTCCAACGAGACAACTGCTCTACCTGGTGCTAAGCGGATCTGTGTAGAGCAGCAAGGTCGCCGAAGAGCCTTCTTAGTGGCGCCGAGTCTTCTTATGGGTACCTCTATTCTAGAGGTGCCGGATGACATCCCACATGAACCAGAGAGTCAGTCTAACACTGAAGCTAGTCCTCAAACCTCAGACAAGTCCTCGACATCCCCTGAAGCTACGCCTTCTAAACAACCCCGACGGTCTATTTCGATGCATTTCAGCTCACCCTCGAACTGGGTATCAAAAACCGGAAGTCTCCGACGTCGTAAGCGCAGTGAGACCATGGGTGGATCGAAAAGGCATGTATCGGCTCCGGCCACGACGGGTGCTGAATCGATGCCTGGTCCTGACATAACCGGTCACGAGGAAACCTCGAACGATACTGGTGGTCTAGATACTACCGAGGCGGAGTCTGATGCATTAGTTCGACCTCCTACTCGCCCACGAAATGTCTCGTCTCCTTTGCCGCCTATCTCGAGGCTCTCGAGTTTTCATATTGATTTAAACAAGATCGGGTCGTTGACAGCGGGACATTATGCCCCATCTGAGATATCCACGGCTAATTCTGCAACTGGCCCAAGAGTAGTTTCGAATGCGTCGCAAGCCCGGACGCTCGATCGTACCTCGACAACTGCTAGTTCGGAGTATCACCGTGGATTTACTTCTGGTGATGATGATGACACCGACTTTAAGACGGATACTCCGTTTGATTCGATACGAACAGCAGCATCAGGACGTAGGAAGACTCTCGACAGCCCATTAGAGTCGATGTTCGACGAATCTCCACCGAGTACTGCAGGTAACAATAGCAAGCCGAAACGTCTGTCAATACAAGAGATTTTAGGACCAACGTTTAATGATGGAAACAAGATTATGGAGGAAGATGAGAATTTAGCCACTCCTATCCGAGGAGCGTATGTGCAAACTGGGGCACGGTTCCGGACGGCGAATATTGGAGACGAGGATGGCTTCGATTCTAATCCAGCATCTCCTAATTTCACCACGCAAAGAGATGAGACTCGTTTTTCGTTCGACGACGACGACGACGATCTCGACTGGGACAATGAAGAAGAGAACGGGATATGTAATCATTTGTCTCCCCCTAGCTCCATGAACTCGCGAAAAGGTAGCCCTAATTCTCAAGCGGCACTGGGGTATAGCAATGGGAATGCGAAGCCCAACATGAGAGCCAACGCGCGTATTGACCCTGCTAGGGAACGACCCCGAAGCACCGTTTTTGACTGGACAGAATCTGTTGCCCACGAGAAGCATGATACTAATGGTAATCATGCACGACCAAAGACGGTCCATGGCAAGCAGGAAATGGATGTGCGGGGTGGGCGCTCTGCGAGTCGTAAAGGACCTACGCCCGCACATGTGAGAAGCCAGAGTGTTCCTGTTGTTCCAGATCAATCCGAGGCTACTACACCTACTCCGAAGTTTGGAACATGGGGGCTTGGCCAGAAGAATGCGAGTGAGGATTGGGATGATGATTTTGAATTTGAGGAAGAGGAGAATTTTGGACTACTCTCTGGGAATCATGAGGAATCCCGATTTTCGATGGTCGTCCCTGCGTCAATCCAAGCAACCCAACCTACGATTCGAGCCCACTCTGGCCAGATACGAGAGCTGTCACTTCTGGTTAATGATCTCAAGCGACTGTGTCGGCTCGGTCGTGAGATGGATATGCTTGGTGGATCATCTTCTAAGCTTTGGCGGGAGGCTGAGGGTATTATTGCTCTAGCCTCGCCCGACGAAGATCCCACTGAGGTCGTCGACTCTAGGCATAATTCGGAGAACGATCTTGTTGATGAGCGATTCATTGATCAAGGGTTTAACGGAGCTAATCTTGACGATCATGGATCTCCTAGGGTAACGGAAAGCCAACGAAATGCTGTCGTCCGTGACCGTCCGGTTGGTCGACGCCGGTCTGTCTTCGCACCCGATGACGACATATTCGGCACGTGGGATCAAACAGATGAAGAGCAGCTTCCCGATCCGCCAAAGACCCCGGAGAATCGGGCTGGTAAACCGGAATTTGGCTCAACCAGTGTTGCTAGATCTGTCATGGAAGCTATGCATTCGCGCCAGGTCAAGCTTAACGCTCACCATGAGGATAATGAGCCGCCTGGAAAGCTCAATTTTGACACAAACAGCTTGAAGGAGTTGGTTAAGAGAGCCAGTGACTTGAGAGACGGTCTATCGGACCTCGTTCGCAAAGCGGACCATCTCACACAGAGCCCGGTACGAACTCCGAAACACACGAGGGCTGACGGTAGCCCTGCATTTACGCGAGTATTTGATGAGCCGACGTCGACGTCAAGCCCTACCAGACGACTGCCTAATAGCCACAGTAACACCTCTGTTATAAGTAATGGCTCTGTTGGTGCATCCCCGTCTAATGGGATCAGTCAGCGTATGCAGATGATGACTGTTAGCTGAAGACTGCGCACCCGTCGCTCATGAACCCCCTTCACCTCGCATCGAATTAAACCCCAATTCTGGTGGGAGCTATGTATATGTACAAACGTTTGTCTAATAAGCATAGCGCAGGGTCGGTTTTCAGTTTTTCTTTTATTCCAGGACTCGCATACGGAGGGAAATCCACTCTTACGTCTAATTATGTTGAGCGAACGCCGAAGGAAACCCCTGTCAGGTTGATATCTAATTGTCGACCTGAGTACAAACCTAATACGATACTTTTCCAGTCCATGCTACCATCAGCAACGTCTGGACACACCACGATGTCTATTATTTGCAGGAGCATTAATGCTTACCCATACTCTTCTACTACGACTCCGAACACCTTGACGTACGAACGTCCATGGATGATGATACACTACCTCTATAGAATCACGGAGTATTACGAATACGAATAACGAACTTTGCATGCTTGGTCCATGCCTGCACGACTCCATGGCCTTATCGGACCCAGAGCAAGAAATGGATCCGAAGGGTTCTTAATTTTTACGCATATATGGGGATCACGAGTGGAGGCATATTAGACCCAAGGACGCCCACGCGGACCCTCGATGGGATTTGACAAGTTGCCTCCATCTCGCTTCATGCATAGCCTCTCCCCAGGCAAATGGAAAGAAGGGGATACGGAAATTCCAAAACTCCAATGATATATGCATTTTTCGTTTGTCTAGCCACGTCTTGACCTTACGAACATTCACCGCTGTACATCAGCTTATTGTAACGAATCGTTTTCTGTTTAAGTTTCAGCTCAGAGAAAAAAACGAATCGACTTCTTTCATTTTCCCGTATTTCCCAAAAGGCATGGCATTGGAACGGAACGGATCGGTTTAAGGCGAAGTCATAAGGTATAAGGCGTGCATTGTGTACAGGTAGACAAGTCGGCTTTGGTTTAAGGCAGGCTGGTTAGGCAAAAAGCAATATAAAATGAGAAAACCAGGCGATCTAACCGGTCGACCTTGTCAGAATGACTCCTATATGTCTTTTATTGCTGCTATCGTGAGAAGCTTTTGTATGAAATGTTTTTACCCCTTACACCGCTGATTACTGTATAAGTCAACATGTTGCCGTCGCCACTAGATCCATCGCCGGAATAATTGTGTAATTACCATACAGCTAGGGGCTGAGAGAGGTATCGCATAGAGCTCTAGCTCCGACTTTGTCTTTGTCTCTAGCCTACGGCACCTTTTCGCGATTGTGATTATCCTTCTCCTATCGGCCAATAGATTAAAGGGGTACGATGACAACAGGCGGTCAACCGGTTTTCCGTTATTGTTTTGATCTCCATGACCAACGCTTCTTAGCCAATACATCTACCCGCCTATACAATTCCAACCACCACCATCTCAGCATAGTCGCGCTCGTTATGCAGAAATCATAGGCAGCAGAATAAGAAACCGCTTCTATGCTGAGGTGTTGCTCGTCATATTTAGACGGATGTAGGTACTTAGTACTTAGACAAGTAAATGTGGATTAGGAGAAGACGTTGCCAAGCACCCGTTGGTTTGGTACACAATACTTCTCAAATTACACGTAATTAGACTAATTCGAAAGTAGCTTGTACCTATCCACCTGTATGCCGATATCGAGGCCCGTGCGTTAGTTTTGCTCCCCTGTTCCCCTGGCAGGTTGGTAGGTACGGTGCAGTTAGGTGGCAGCTGGGTGGTAGGAAAAGGCAAAAAGAGGGGTGGCCCCTGTTAACGAATTGGAGCGACCCTTTCCTAATTGGAAATCTCCAAGCAAAAAAAGCTGCCTTCAACTTTCTCCCGCCCAAAATTCACACCAGGCACAACACAACCTTTCCTCAAACAACACACACCGCTCCTCTTCCCTTTATTTCTTCTCAGCTTCTACCAACTTACCATCTTCAAGAACGCATCTTTTTTTCTTCTCTTGCTAGCTTCCCTCAAGTGTTCGATTCGTAGTAATCATCCACCATCAAAATGCGTGAGATCGTAAGTATTTACCTTATCTGATGTTTACTGCTGACCCAATCCCACCACCAAAACGGCCCCTGAACGCGTCAAAAACTCTAAAACCCCTTGATTCCTGCCCCTCACGCACAGAAAAACACTACAACATCCTATTCTCTGTGTAACATCAGCATCAGCATCAAATCAAATAACCATGATATTCCAGATCAGATAGCTAACCGTGTTTTTTTCACCTCAATAGGTTCACCTCCAGACCGGCCAGTGCGTAAGTACTACAGCTATAACCCCCGACGAAGAATCGCGACGGAATATAGCGGGGCTCACGAATATTATAGGGTAACCAAATCGGTGCTGCTTTCTGGCAAACCATCTCTGGCGAGCACGGTCTCGACAGCAATGGCGTGTAAGTCCCTGAATCGTCAATTCGCGACGCCAAGAAAAAAAAACTGACCGCCAATAAACAGCTACAATGGAACCTCGGAGCTCCAGCTCGAACGCATGAGCGTTTACTTTAACGAGGTACGCAACCAGGGAAACACATGGCATATACCGAGGAGTAGTTACTAATCACCCCAACATGCACAGGCATCTGGTAACAAGTATGTTCCTCGAGCCGTCCTCGTCGACCTCGAGCCGGGCACCATGGACGCCGTCCGTGCTGGCCCGTTCGGCCAACTTTTCCGACCCGACAACTTCGTCTTCGGCCAGTCTGGTGCCGGAAACAACTGGGCGAAGGGTCACTACACTGAGGGTGCTGAGCTTGTTGACAACGTTCTCGATGTCGTTCGTCGTGAGGCTGAGGGCTGTGACTGCCTTCAGGGTTTCCAGATCACCCACTCTCTCGGTGGTGGTACCGGTGCCGGTATGGGTACTCTGCTGATCTCCAAGATCCGCGAGGAGTTCCCCGACCGCATGATGGCCACCTTCTCCGTCGTTCCTTCTCCTAAGGTTTCCGACACCGTCGTCGAGCCTTACAACGCCACTCTTTCAGTTCACCAGTTGGTTGAGAACTCGGACGAGACTTTCTGTATCGACAACGAAGCTCTGTACGACATCTGCATGCGTACTCTCAAGCTGTCCAACCCCTCTTACGGCGACTTGAACCACCTGGTTTCCGCCGTCATGTCTGGTGTCACCACTTGCTTGCGTTTCCCTGGTCAGCTGAACTCTGACCTGCGCAAGCTCGCCGTGAACATGGTTCCTTTCCCTCGTCTTCACTTCTTCATGGTCGGCTTCGCTCCCTTGACCAGCCGTGGCGCTTACTCCTTCCGCGCCGTTACCGTCCCCGAGTTGACGCAACAGATGTTCGACCCCAAGAACATGATGGCCGCGTCCGACTTCCGCAACGGCCGCTACCTAACGTGCTCTGCCATCTTGTAAGATAACACCTTTCTATTAATCTTTGATAAGCAAGTATGCTAATTCGAATCTTCTAGCCGTGGCAAGATCTCCATGAAGGAGGTTGAGGACCAGATGCGCAACGTCCAGAACAAGAACTCGTCCTACTTCGTCGAGTGGATCCCCAACAACGTCCAGACCGCTCTCTGCTCCATTCCTCCCCGCGGCCTCAAGATGTCGTCTACTTTCGTCGGCAACTCGACTGCTATCCAGGAGCTTTTCAAGCGTGTCGGCGAGCAGTTCACTGCTATGTTCCGACGCAAGGCTTTCTTGCATTGGTACACTGGTGAGGGTATGGACGAGATGGAGTTTACCGAGGCCGAGTCCAACATGAACGACTTGGTCAGCGAGTACCAGCAGTACCAGGATGCCGGCGTGGACGAGGAGGAAGAGGAGTACGAGGAGGAGGTCCCCGTCGAGGGCGAGGAGTAAGCGATTGCGTCTTATACCCATTTCCATAAACGGCACCATACAATTTGTTGGCACGGCACGGATGGGATGAGTAGGGGTGTGACGGTTTTGGTAGTTCTCGTCTCCTATACTATTCTCGCGCCCCCGTTTGTCACCTAAGACCTTCAATGGATATAAAGTAATGAAATTGATCCGCCACGGTCAATTGAATGGTCTTCGGGGCTTGTTAGATATACCTCTTCGGTGTTCGTCTGGAGAAAAAGGAAGGGAAATTCATTCCTAATAGTGACAAGAGCAAGAATTGATTGTCTTGTTCCAATTACGTGACAACCTAATATTGTTCTTAATGTCTAGTCTTTGCAATACAATTCACTTCGATTATTCCATGGGCATTTACCTATATTCTTTGTCCACCAATCGTTTGATTACTTGCTCTAGGTTATTTTGTATCCTAGGGCAGGTAAGACTATCATTTACGACATATAACAAAAAGATACTAAACATCCAAGTAGCTTTCCTTCGTAGCCACATCATCTAGCATACGGCACATCTTTGCCCTTCCCCCCTTACCAATCGACCGCAACGCCGCAACCTCCTCCAATCTTCCTCACGCCCTGAACCTTCCCGTTTCCATTTCCATTTCCATTTCCAGTCCCGCCCGCGTCGACGCCGGCCCTCTTCCCCCTCCGCCCCTTATTATTACTATTATTAAACCCGATCTTCCGATCCAGCTCCTCGAACTGGTCCGCCGCCGCCGTCGCGTCGCCCTTCCGCACCATCCACCGCCCCGTCCCGAGCGCGGCGTCCAGCTCCGCGACGGGCGGTAGTTGGAGGTACACCATGCCGTCGGCGCGCTCCTCGGCGGCGAAGGTGGCGATGGATAGGCCCGCGTCGTTGCGGCAGGTGCCGCTGCGCAGGTCGAAGTTGCGCTTGTGGTAGGGGCAGGATATCCAGGGTGTGGGCGTGGGGTGGGTGGTGCGTGGTTGTTTTGTTGTTGTGGGAGAGGAAGGTGACGAAGGCGGCGCGACGTCCTGCCCGATGAGCCCGTCCGACAGCGCGAACGAGCGCTTGTGCGGACACATCTGCTGCGTGGCGTAGTACCTCCCCTTAACCCTCCACAGCGCGAGCTGGGTATCACCTCTCTTGATATTCGCGCTGATGCCGTTGGGCGTCGCGTCCGCGCCCGCGAAGTACGCCGCCTCGATCACGGGCTGCCAGGCGGTGCTCGTCCAGCGGTCCTTCAACCCCCTGAAATCCTCGCCCGCGGCCTCCTTAGGCCAATCCACGGGCCGCGACTGCCCGCGGTCCCGCGTCGTCTCGACGGCGTCGAGCGTGTCGGAAGTGTTCGCGAACTGCGCGAACTTGCGCGCGAGCAACGGGTCCCGCACCGCCGCGGCCCACTCGTCGAAGTACGAGTCGACGAGGCCTTGCATCTGCGCCTCGAGCGCGGCGCAGATGCCCAGCTTGTCGTCGAGGATCACGGCCCGCAGGTACGAGAGCCCGCCCGGCAGGGACTCGAGCCAGCGCGCGGTCCGCTGCAGCTTGTCCGCCGTCCGGATGTAGAACATCAGGTACCGGTCGAGGATGGGCACGACCTCGGAGGGCGGCACGTCTTTGGCGAGGAGGTCGGAGTGCTTCGGGTTCGCGCCGCCGTTGCCGGCGACGAAGATGTTGAAGCCTTTTTCGGTGGCGATGAGGCCGAAGCTGGTTTTAGGGGGTTGAGTGGTTTAGTATGGGTTTGCAACGACTTAGGGGTTAAGGGGGGGAGAGAGAGTGAAGGAGGGAGGTAGGATGGGTGGCTTACTCCTTGTTCCGAGCCTCGGCGCACTCGCGCACGCAGCCGCTGACGCCGCCTTTAATCTTGTGCGGACTTCGTATGCTCTTATATCGCTCCTCGATACGCACAGCCATCCCCACGCTGTCGCCGACGCCAAACCGGCACCAGGTCGTGCCGACGCAGCTCTTGACCGTGCGCAGGGACTTGGCGTAGGCGTGGCCGCTCTCCATACCGGCGTCGATGAGCCGGGCCCAGATGTCGGGCAGATCCTGCTTCCTAGCGCCGAACATGTCGATGCGCTGGCCGCCGGTGATCTTGGTGTAGAGGCCGTACGCCTTAGCGACCTCGCCGATGGCGATCAGCTTGTCGGGCGTGATCTCGCCGGCGGACACGCGCGGCACGACCGAGAAGGTGCCGTTGCGCTGGATGTTGCCCAGGAACCGGTCGTTCGTGTCCTGCAAGCCGTGCGCGTCCCGGCTCATGACGTGCGCGTTCCACAGCGACGCGAAGATGCTGGCTACCGCCGGCTTGCACGCCTCGCACCCCTCCGAGTCCGGGTCGTTGCCTGCTTCTCGCATGACTTCGGCGAGGGTTCTTAGCTGCTTGACGCTTATGATGTTGAATAGGTCGGCGCGGGAGTAGTTGAAGTGCATGCATAGGTAGTTCGTTACTTCGGCGCCCATCTCGGCCATGGTCTTGTTGAAGATGCTGGTGACGAGCGGTACGCAACCGCCGCAGCCGGTGCCGGCCTTGGTACATGCCTTGACGTCTCCTAATGTCTTACACGTGCCGTCTTTCACTACGTTCACTATATCGCCCTTCGAGACGTTGTGGCACGAACAGATCTGAGTGTCGTCGTCGAGGTCGTCGGTGCCGTCGTCTCCCTCCTTCTTTGCGCCGAGGATAAGCTGTGCTGGGGGGATGTCTAGCTCTTTCTGGTTCTTGACCATGGGGACTAGTTTTATGTAGTCGCTGGTATCCCCGATCATCATGCCGCCGAGGAGGTATTTGCCGTCGGTGGTGAATAGGTATTTCTTATATACCTGGGCGAAGGGGTCCTTGTACGTAAGAGCTTTAACTAGAGAAGACGAGGACCCCTTGGTCATGCTCTGATCTTCCTTCTTTTTCCGGGCCGCCTTCGCCGGTAAGAAGCTGGGACCGTCTCTGTCCGCGAAGAAATCGCCGAAACTCGCCACGTCGACTCCGAGAAGCTTGAGCTTCGTACTCAGGTCAGGCCGTTTAAAGACTCTTGGCACGTGGATCTTGGCTTGTGTGAGATTAAAGGAGAGAACATCGGCCATTTCGATGCCGGGGGCGATGAGGCCGAAGGTTTGGTTTTTCCAGCTCGCGCACTCGCCGATGGCATATATATCCGGGATACTCGTACTCAAGTCGTCGTTGACGAGAATCCCACCGCCCCTGTCAGCACATTCGATGCCGGCGCTCCTCGCTAGGCCATCCCTTGGCTGTACACCGATAGCAAAGCAGATAGTGGAACAGTCCATCTGCTCGCCATCTTCGAATACGACACCCGTTAAATTGTTTTTCTCGTCAGTTTTTATCTCACCCACTCTCTTACTCAGTAAGACCTCAAGTCCTAGATCGGTGACTTTTTCGACAACTAGATTACCAGCGTCGGCATCCAGTTGCCGACTTAGTACCCATTGGTTTCTCTCGACGAGTTTCACTTTATCGTAGCACTTCAGGTCCATCATCGCATTCGCCGCCTCGAGGCCTAGTAACCCGCCACCGACGACAGCGCCAACTGTCCCTTTATGCGACTCGCCAAACGCGATGAGGCTTTGCAGGTCCTCGATGGTCCGGTAGACGAATACTCCATTAGCGTCATATCCGGGAGTATGGCGCGGGCGAATCGCATCGGAGCCAGTTGCCAAAACAAGGATATCGTACGACACCACGTCGCCATCAGCACAGACCACGGTCTTGTTTGTGGGATCGATAGCAGTAACCAAGGTGTTTAAGTGATAGTTTAGCTTGTTGTCCGGGGCATGTTGTGCGTACTATATGGCGAGTAAGTTACTTGTCTGGGGGTCGAGGTCGCCTCGAATTACGAAGTAGACTCACCCATTCTTTCGGGTTAAGATATAAGTTCTCAACCTTTCGGTGGCCAAAGAAACTCGTGAGACCAACTCGGTTATAAGCGAGGTGGGGCTCTTCGCCAATAACGACGATATTGTATTCGTGAGTCCTAGCGTCGAGCTTCAAGAGTTTCTCTCTATGAACTAATTAGGAGTCCGAAATCTAGAAGGATGGCTGATGGTATAGTAGCGACTCACATGAAGGCAATGCCGACCATTCCTAGGCCGACGACGACCAACTTGGTCTTCTCGTCGAGAGCCATCTTGATGCGAATAGGAGGCACAGATGCCACGATTACTACGTCACAACTTCACCCCTGGTCTTATATGACGTGGTACAGCGAGCGTTTATAGGACAAGCCGCCTAGGCATGAAAAAAAGCACTCATCAAGAATGGATTTCAGATGAGTGTACGAGACTCACGATAATTTCAAAAGCGAAGTAAGCACAAATCCACAAAGACAGAAAAGCAGGTAGATGGGCTGACACCGAAACAGATGTTGGAGCTACCTACATGTCTGATGACAGGTACGTGCATCTCCGGCATCGAGTTGCTCTAGACTATTCAAGGTAGCCCACCAATAGATCAACTATGAATATGCTGGCTATAGCCAAGATATCCATTGCTCTCATTGGGTATACAGGCACGAAGAAAGTCGAGATAGTCTAGATAAAGTACGGGTAACTGCCAACGCTCGAGCCAACTAGACCTACCCATGAATCCGAATAGCCGGCCCGTAGTCTTGCGCCGACGACTGTAGTTTATACTATAGTCTATCATGGCACGCATCTCCACGACCGAGCCAGGGCACATTCTAGTGCCTTAGATTTAGTAAATATTGTTTCGTACAAGATAGAGGATGGAGTTGTCGAACTTGGCTTCGACTGATAAAGGGGAGAGATTTCGATAAGGTAACGTCCCTGACCAATCAGAGTCCCCCTGATTCATTAGCGAAGAAAAGCGCAGAAAAGCGCCGCGGAGAAAGATCGCAGACCTCAAGTGCTTAGTTCGTCCTACCTACCTAATAGCTTCTTCCTTATTTAACGCTGTTTCCCATTGCTAGAGAATTTGACATCTCCGGCCACCTTTATATTCGCCTTGTAATCTTAGCATGCTTCCGTTTCTCTGTGACGAGTTCTTTAATGAAGTATCTCCACCGACTTACGGACGATGTTCGGCATCCGCTTGTGTTTCTCCTCGGAAACAGTCAGCTTTCTTATGATGCTCAACTCTTACTAAGAGGTTCTGCTTCATACTGTAAGCAGGTGTAATTGCTTCGAACACTACTGGCCGCTTCAAGTAAGCGAGGAATTCATCAAGATTTGGTTAAAGAGCTTTCGGGTTTATTTGACCAACCCCCCTAAACGCTCTGTTACACAAGAGAAGCCATACAAGTCGATGATCAACAGGGACAAAGCCATCATCGTTCAGTTCCGCCATGGATTTATCTTGCCGTGGTAGATTGTAAGTCCTGGGTACATTACAGGCCTACCTCTTAGACAGGTATAATCATTTCACGATATTTCATCGGACCGTGGCTGTGGCTATCCGGCTTACACTCTGTCGCGCATATGGTCAAAGGATGCACCCGAGCTGAACTGCAGGCGTTTCTTTTCTATGCTCCGTCCCTGACGCCTCGCGCCATCTCATCAGCAGTTCGCCACATTCGAAAGACCTCTGCGTCTACACATCTTATAATCACGAGTTCAGCGGGTAAGCGCTTGGGAATAACGGATAGGTCCCTATAACACTTGTATTCTTGCTATAGGTTTGCTTCTGCCAATGTTCTTGTTTCTCCTTTTGAAAATAAAGGGAACCTTTCTATGTACATACCAATCGCCACCCCAGACCCATGTACATGTGGCTGACAACCATCAACCCCAATTGTGCCGTCTCTAAATCCCAGCTCCTACGAAACTAATCCAACCATGGACTCATGATTATGCGCGTACGTAAAGCTGACGGGGGATGAGGAGAAGACCGCCTTGCCGCCCCGGACGGTAAGTCCAACCCGAGCACCGAAACCAACCATCCGTTCATAGCACAGTCTTGCCCCCCTTCCCCCTAGACCCTCATCCAAACTTCGCCATCCCCTCGACCCTCTCAGCAGCGCCCTTAACCTCACCGAGCCAGCTCATCCGCTCCTCGACGAACTGCTCGACGCGCGGGCGCAGCACGGTGTCCTGCAAGCTAAAGTCGTCGACGGTGCCGATGCGCAGGATACTCGCGCCGGGCCACTGCGCGCCAACGCGGTACATGAGCGTGCCGCAGGCGCCGCAGAAGTGGTTCGTCATGCGGTGGCCCGAGGCGATGGTCTTGCTCTGCCCGAACTGCTTTAGGGTCTCGCGGCCCCGGAGGTGGCGCAGGTAGGCGTCTGCTACGATGAAGTTCGATGCGAACATGGAGGCGGTGATCTTGTGGCAGTCGCTGCAGTGGCAGACGAATGTGTCTATCAGGCCGGGCTTTTGGAGAGGCTGTGGGGGGGGAGGAGAAGAGTGTTAGAGTATGTAGGGCTGAGCGAGGGGAGGGGGAGGAAGGGGGGAAGAGGGAGGAGGACTTACGAAGGCGAGCTGCACGGCACCGCAGAAGCATGTTGCTGTCGCTTCGGTCTCCGTGGACCAGCCGTCGCTGGCGCTGCCGGCGAGGGGGAAATACTGCTTTGACTTGTCGACGGTGGCGGCCATGGGTATATAGTTCGGATTTGATATGGCGAGGAAGAGGTGAGTAGATATATCTGAGACTACTGGTGATGTTTGAGGTGCGAAGGAATGCGATGAGGATGATATTGTGTCCCTTGATGGTGGTTCAACAGCTAGATTATATAGACAATCTTCAAGCTACTATATGATAACTACATGCCTGCGAACTCATCTTCTATCTTCCTTACTCGGTGTTTAATAGATTGATACTATTATTCAGGAAATGAACCCGGACTTAACGCTAATTTGCATTCTACTATGACGCGGAGTCTATAGGAACAAGAGGGCTTGAAGTTATCTAGGCATCGAAATTGACTCGATCCGCAGGACCAATTACCTAGATAAGTATATGGTAGAGCACGATTTGCAGCTCTTATAAGAGGTTGTAGGTAGGTTGCGATGCTAATAAACAGTTACGCTCACATCTGATAGTACGGATGGGGATGTACGGCGTAGAACGGATAGACCCGCGGCCCCGGATTTCCCCTTCCGGGTAATGGTGCTTGTGCCGCTGCATTAGATGACTAAGGACAGAGTTTGCATATCTGCATCTTGGCTTCAGATCTGGGTCCCGGCAATCGCAAACAAGGTTACGAATGTTTATCCGGAACTCTAATGTTATTCCTTTCGTCTTTCTAGAACACTGCTACGTCATCCGCATATAAAAATCGGCAGATTCTGACCACGTCATCAAGACATAAGGATACCCTTTTCATAGCCACTTCCATTACATCACAGCCTCATAAATGTATAAATTGGTTATACTCTTCTATGCCGCCTTCTTGGCAGATTGTTCGCCGCGTCACACAATAGTTGTCGTTTTCACGTGGGGGAACTTTTGTCTTGAGGTCCGTGGATAGCCGACTTAGATATATCGTTCATCTCCGGCCCACCCATTGAACTACAATTCTCTATAGATACCGGTGTGAATATCTTGATAAAAATCTTCTAATAGCGTGATTAGGATATACCTGATACTGAAATATACTAGTGAGTCTGTCGTGCTAGACTCCACGGCTAGCCCACCCTAGCGCTGTCGATGTTCATCTCACATTATTAGCCTGCGGGTGTCAATTACGGCCTCCTTTCCTTTATTGCTCTGGACTGATCGAGGATCGCACCGAAATCTACTCTAACAAATAGTATAACCTACTATAATCGCGATGGCTTCACTTGAGGAATTAAAAATGTAGCAGAGAATTGAAATCTTAGGCACTTAAGAGAGACTCACTTGGGAATTGCATACTGTCCACGTACTTGACTTCTTGGCCTTTTGACACACAGACACGCGAGGCGCAGTTTAACAGCTCGTTCTTCCGATCGGTTGAGCATGCTCCCTTACGTCTTGGTTCCGGCCATATCACAACTATGCACCCGTTCGAACAAAGTCGGTGGTGGCATACGAGAACTACTGGAGTTGTTACTAGGGTGAGAGAGAAGACCGGTTCGTACTAATGATTAAGCCATGACCCGGTTTACTTGTCCTGTTCGAGCTTCTGAGCTCCATAATAGCTACAAGGAGCTGAATCAGAATTCGCTTTAAAATGTGAACTCTCGTACGGTAGCTTTTAGTGGAACGAATCATAGCGCGTATGGGCCACATTAACTGGTCGAAGCTGCTTTCGCTCCGAGCTTGAACCTGACTGCCTACGTACGTACGTAGACTCCCATGATAGATGGAGACCAATATTAACTGGAACATAGATCGGAGGTGCCGTGTGACTTCCATGGTTGTCGTCGTGCAGATTATTTCCAGTAACCACTCTATGTGAGGGCACGGAGAAGTTCGGTGATATTCTGAGACTTTCATCTGACGTATGTATATTCTGTTTTCTACCTATACTTAGCCACGAGGCTCGGTATAGATTATGTTTCGGTGGGTGGCCTAGAGAATGTGAAATTGGTAGTTATAATATAAAATCTGAATCAGGGGGGAAAGATGACAACATCTTATAGGATCGCTGTCTTTTACCTTTAACTCGGCGGTACGGCAATACCGAAAATAGGGGCGACAACGCCGACAAGTTATACGTGGCGGCCAACACTTGACGGCGTTCCCCGCTGCTTCGCCGGCGCAGGCTGACGGTTCGCCGTATGTAATACAACAACATTATTCTAGAAAAGCTACTTAATGCAGCTCATTGGCCAATAATTGGACAGCCATGCCATACCCCAAATCCGCTGGGCTAGGCTAAAATTAACATTGCCCAATTCACTCGACAGGAGACTCTTTCATAAGATTGCTTAGGATACTAATGTCGGGTAGAGATGTCGAACATTAGGGCCGATCGAAACTGACCAATTCAACAAAGACATTGAAAGACATCGAATGGTTCGGTGACGGTTCTTAGCTTTCGAGAAGACTTTAGGAGAGACGAATGATCGCGGAATTATCGGAATAGTTCCTGGCTAAGTGGCACGTAAAAACGTGGAATTTATTATTCGAGAAGAAAGGAATCTTCCTAATTAGAAGAAGCAACCCGGATTAACAAAGGAGGTACCTGAGGTGCTGCAGACAAAGCAAATTACTGCAAGGAAAGGACATAAACAATAGATTGAGGTTCGACACACGTCCAGGTTAAGATTATGATTATGTGATCCTAGAATTTTGATAGTGGCAAAGAGGTTGGCGATGATGGACTTCCTTGTAGATGTAGATAATATTTCGTTGCTTAAGGTCCACGGTGAACCTCCGGCGTCCAATGTAGGGATGGCAAATGGTTGGGATGGATAAGGGGGATAGGATAGCGTGGTAGCGTGGCAAGCAAGGAAGGCAACAAGCCACAAAGCGTGGAAATGTACGGGCTGAAACACGGATCGATACTAGAACTTTACTTAGTCGGGTTAGCCCTGACGCATGTCTGTGCTATATTACACACTAATAGGCTCTATATCTTAGGGTATCTTGGGTATCTTGGTGGGCCTAAAAGGCGAGGATGGAGTACATTTACTAGGGGAGAATGCCACAGACGGTCAGCTCACGCGGCAACTACTGCTTAACTGCTTGACTGCACATGGGAACTCCGCAGCTGAGCGGCGACGATCCTCTCATGTTATCTCAAATCCCTACCTCTGATAGGTCCATAAAAACTCAAGCCCACCACGCTACGCAAAGTACCCTTTCTACAGGTCTAATGCTTGTATACGATACCTGTAATCTCCCTACTATCTCTCTATTAAACCTCGCAACACGGCACAGGGTGGTACTTGTACTATACCCTACCTAGACCGACCTAGGTACTCTCATCCGTGCTAGAGCGCTGCTGCGATCGTTACAATTGGCAGTTGCAGAGTGGGAGAGTTACATACCTAGGTAGGTGGTACCTACGTCGATACCTGCAATACCTGCAGTTTGCTGGTGCTAGTTCGACTCTTAACTCTCAACTCAACTCTCTCTCTTCTCTAAACTTACTCATTCTCTCTTATCCCTCTTCTCGCCTCTCGAGATAATAAGTTATTACTTACTTCGTACGAGTATACGAATACATATACATATCAAGCCACCAGTTCTCTCGGTTGAGCTGCTTGAATTAATTTTCCTTACCTCCCATTTATTACCTACCCATGGTACTAATAACCACGTTACCTAAGTCGATCATCAGGCTGAGAATAGTATTGTACACACGGTACCCTGGGACCTCTCAGAGCGGAAGTGGATAGTGGATCATTTCTGACCTCCTGACATCCCCAAGATCCTCCCTATCATCATTCTATCTTTTTTTTGCGCTTAATAACTGCCCTATCTTTTCTTGGTCTTTTCCAATCGCCCAATCGCCATATCGTCATCTGTTCAGCGACTTCACGCTGCTGAACACCACTTAGAATTGCCGAAACTGGATTGCCAGACCTATATTCCCCATGGGCAACAGCCAAGGCAAGCCCGTTGACCTCAACGGCGAAGGTACGTTTCTCTACTTTGCTAGAAAGAGGCTGGGATTTTCATGCCATGTCTCGGAAGAGTTATTCTTACCGCCAACAACTTCTATCAGCTAACGAGTTACCTTTTTTATTTCTTCGCAGTAAACCTCAACCATTTCCGATTGTTACGAGTCGTCGGCCGAGGTGCTTTCGGTAAAGTACGAATAGTCGAGAGGAAAGACACGGGCTTGTCGTTTGCCTTGAAATACATTCGTAAAGATGAGGGTACGTTGATTCCGCAAGTAAATACGATTGGGTATACGTATGCCGTTTATGAGAAAATTTTAGATGTTGACTTTGTTCCGCCTTTATAGTCGTACGGTCCGAAAGTGTTCGAAATATTATACGAGAACGACGCATGCTCGAACATGTGAATCATCCGTTTATCTGTAACTTGCGATATAGCTTCCAAGATATCGAGTATATGTATGCACCAATTATCAGTGGCGGCACCAAAGCGAGCTATCTAATACGACTTACACTAATAGGTACCTTGTGGTCGATTTAATGAGCGGAGGCGATTTACGTTTCCACATTTCGAGGAAGACCTTCACCGAAGACGCTGTGCGGTTCTGGATAGCTGAATTGGGTTGTGCCCTCAGATACATACATGGCCAAGGCATAATACATCGAGATGTCAAACCGGACAACGTGCTACTGGATGCTGATGGTCACGTCCACTTGACCGATTTCGTAAGACGCCAATCGCTCCATACCTTATTTTATAAGCTGACCATTTTGTCATTTAGAACGTTGCGTCTGATGTGGTGCCTGGAAAGCTTCTCACTAGTAAATCGGGAACTCTTGCCTACCTCGCTCCTGAAGTCTATGCGGGCAAGGGCTACGACGTCAGAGCCGATTGGTGGTCCCTAGGCGTGCTGTTCTATGAATGCATATACAATAAGGTAACAGGACAAACAGCCCATTATGGATCTGAAATTCCCCGTCAGCATAAGTGCTTACCAACATGATAGCGGCCTTTCGAGGGCAATTCGGAATCCACCTTGACGAACATTATCCTCGCTGCTAACCCGAAATTTCCTGTCACCCAACCACCTGTCTCGCTACCGTGCCTATATGCCATCGGTTCCGCTTTAAACCCGAACCCTGATCAAAGGCTTGGTAATACCTGGCAAAGCTTCATAAACGAACCCTTCTTCCAAGCCATTGACTTCGCCGCATTGGAACGAAAGGAATTAGAACCTATATTTGTTCCGTCGGCGGACAAGACTAATTTTGATGCCACCTACGATCTCGAAGAGCTGCTGCTAGAGGAAGCGCCGCTGGAGGCTAGGGCGCGGAGACAGAAGCCTAGGGAGAAGCTGAAGGATGATGCCACGGAGAAGGAGATCCGAGAAGAAGAGCTATACCGTACCATCGAACGAGATTTCCAGCCGTTTGATTATACTGTGGCAGCGTACAAGAAGTAAAGCTCCTTGACAATCTTACCTTCTTATAGACTAACGTGAAAATAGGATTGCGGGATTGAAGGAAGGGGAAGGTTCGGAAGACCATGAGTCGGCGCCTGGTCCATCTCACGAAGAACCACAGGCTATCAGTACCAACGAAGCCAAGCCGGCCCCAACCAACAATGGAGTTTCACAGACACAGCACCAGTCTCCACCCGCACAAGACGGTTCACACTTGAACAGGAACTTTTCAAATAACAGCCGTGCACCTAAGGCTCCACAACGAGCGGCACCGCCACCACTTCCTTCGTACCACCGCGCATATACTAAGAGTATTTCAAGTTCGGCAGGCATACAAGTCAAGTCCCCAACCGGTGGAATATCGGTAACGCTTGAGGACACCGGAAGTTGGTCAGATTTGGCGCGTAGAGATGCTACATTGCCAACCGATGCCAACGCTGTAAATGACGATAAGGCTTCTAGTGGAGGTGGCGGAGTCTTCGGTCTCTTTGGCAGGAAGAAAAGGGGTCATAGTCCGAAGCCAAAAGAGAGGGGTGTTCTTGGCAAAGAAGGAGCACGACAGGTCGTCGGTTGATTTTTCCGGCCCAAGCATAATTCTATTTCAGCAACTTTTTGGGCGTCGGAAACTGGTTACGAGGGTTTCGTGGAACTCATCCGCATATTATACCCTCATCCATCACATCACATAAATCCCCTTTAACATTCACGAGCCCAAGCTGAGGTCGAGTGGCTTGTAAGCCAGTTCGAATCTCCGTTGGTGAAGGATTGAATGCGACTCAACCATCGGGCGGATTACGATTTCTATCAGTTTCAAACGAATACGGACACCCCCATATCATGAGTGACGAACCAAGCCGTTATTCCTCTCATTGAAACTAACAGCAGTGTTAGTTTCTAGTAGCGAGTTGATACCAACTCGCCTCCCCTTCCACCCCCCTTGTCGTCACTATTGGCCCTTGGCGAAATACTGAGAGGCCATCTCATTACTTGTATATTCTAGTGTGCAAGTTCCTATCTTCAGGGTTCAGTTCGAATTCTAGACAATTCTACCCATGATAGGAATCGACGTCTGGCACGACACTACATCGAAGCTCCACTACTACTACTTCGGAGTAAGGGATAATTGGCAGATTTCGGACCATATACGGCTTACGGTACCCGCTGTTAATACCAATCCGTGGGGCAGGCAATATGAGAAGGAAGACGGGACCATATCGGGTAACAGAGGCGGCATAGACACTGTTACTACAGTTGGCATGTTTTATAGTGAAAGAACGTGCTGCTTCAGGCTAGCACGTTCTGTACGGTAGAGAGCATGCAATACACATAACACTACTTTCCATACTGAATAGCGACTTCTATTTCCTATCCCAACCGATATGTCAATGCCATTCTATGCTGGCTTCTCAGTATGAGAAGTCGCATCACTGTTGTCTTGATTGATGTAGGACAGTTGCACTATCTACATTGATATTTATACTATAGGTGTTCGTGATGTCTCTTACAAGGAGCGTGCTATGCTTGAGCATACTTAGGTACCTATGAAAGATACCCATCGTATGGTACCTTGGATTTCAGCTACTCTCGTAATTAGTCCGATACTCTCAGCTAAACAATATGGGGTGACAATTAATACATCAGGAGATATGCTCACACGCTTGAAAGGCCATAAGAGGCCAAGTAATGGCAAACGTCGACAACCCAGAGAGATATTACACGTAACTACAGAAAGATTCTCAAGAAATAAACATCAATGAGATAAGAATAAAAGAATCAAACCATAAAATAAGGATGTTCATATATCTCATGATAGTAGGTAGGTATGTACCGTGTTATGAGATATGACCATAATACTTTTATAAGTTGTGAAGTATTTAGTTTACATGTAACCATCTCAACCTACCTTCTCTTATATTAGCATACATCTGATGATGAATAGGGAACTACCTCTTTTTAATCATCATGTTATGATACTTAGGTACCTACCTAGTGTTAAATATACTACTGTCCTCTAAATGAACCGTATTCTTATGATCTTATCTTCATCAAATGTACAAGTTTGCTTGACGAATTTTATATCCGGAACATCCGTATACTTAGAGAGTTATTTCTTATCAAGCCAACTTCTTAAAACTCGCTAGCTGTTGTTATTACTTCCTTTGGTTGAATTAGCCTGGCTCTATCTTACAATTTGGAAAGGGATCAAAAGGGATGCCTTTACCAAAGTATTTGCTACTTTGACTGTAGAGTATTCTACATATATCCGAATGAGGGCTTCACATCGGATAGGCGAAGATTACGTGGACCCATGCTGTTATATCGAAGACGGAAGCAAGGAGACGAGTGAAGTAAACAGCTCGGGTCCGAAACTCTCCTCGGGAGCCCGTAGATCTTGCGGGTTTGGCTGTCTGTAAGGCTATTACGATGTATCACAATCCTTTTGTTTTCAGCTGAGAGTCCTCATACTTAATTATGTTGGAGAAGTCATTAATTGCCTCATCTTAAGTACTTTAGTACCCAAGTAGACAGGCATGTCGTTCCTATCATGTAAGAAATCTAGAATGTAAGAACTAGTAAGATTTAAACCAACACCAACAGCTCCCAATGGCTCGATCAACAAGATTGTTCAAGTGTCCCCTTGATATGTTATGCTTGTGATAGACTTGGCTACCTAGGTAGGTACCTATGTTCTTCATTGTAAATGCTTGCGTCTCCTATTTCTCCTTGATATAAAACTTATAGATGGTACCTACCTAGTTACGACTGCCACTAATACATTTAGAATTCTTTTATATCGCCAGCATAATCTACATAGTCATAACATTAAACTCGATCCATGGTGCTGTCTCCTTGCCGGTCATCAACCTCGTTTTCTAATCTTCCGAGATCTCTTGGGTATACATAACGCGACCCCTAAGAACAAGCAATTAATAGTGTAAACTGTCTTGCAATATATCCAGGATAAAGAACCATATGCTTAGATGCTGTATGTAAAGAAGTCAAGCGGTAGCCCGCAAAACACACATATAGGAGCCTCTTGCTATTCTCGTATTAAGCATTAAGCATCAAACTACCTCAAGTCCAAGGCACTGAAATACACAACTCTCGACAAGCCGCTTCAGGAACATAGTCAAATTGGTAAGTGCGCACACCTGTGTAATTCATCATCAAAACAGGACCTCGAAGCTCTCATACATAGTTGAATCCATGACTTTCATGTGTGTTTGGTATGTATGTTAGAATCCTATATAAAGAGAGACGACAAGACAGATGCTACGTCACCTCGAACCGAAAGTCCTCTCCCGTATCTCACCATTTCCTTTTTCTCCCCCCTATCCTTTTTTTGGTCGCCTTTGGGAAGATCTGGTCCTTATCCCTCGCCAATATCTCGATAAAATCGACATAACAGGTTCATCAATTGGCAGTTTTAGTGGTAAACACATCTCTCAGGGCAAACAATCATCAAAATCATCATCCCTGGTCTCATCTCATCCATCATTTATTACCTAAGGTAGGTAAAATAGGATATGTTAGTTAGGTATATTCCCAATGAACCCGGCCGTCGGTCATAGACTAGCATTCATTGACGAGTCTAATAAACGCTTCGCCTTGACCCCTTGATAATAACCCACCCGGAATCCGCCTAGAAGCGGAGACTCGGTCCAAGGAAAAAGCACGACTCAGGAAAAAACAAAAACACAGACAACATAAAAAGGTTATTTTTTCGCCTTTACTCTGTCGCAAATGCAACTCCGTTTCCCATGAATGTGGTTTGACGATGTGAGATGGAAGACAACCTGACACCCCAGAGATGGGGTGAGAAGACAGGTCTCATTCTCTTTTCTTGTCCTTTCCTGTTTCGTTTCTCTCGTCTTGACCCGCGGTGGTATTTGCCTATACCCCACGCCCCTTTCCGCCTTATGGCATAACCTGCCGTCGAAAGCAATAGAACTCCTTCCGCCGTTACCCAATGAATGGTGATGGTGGTGGCACAATAGTAGGTAGGCAGTAGCACTCTCTCTATCGAGAAGCGATGATCCTCCGGCTATGTTCTTTTACAGTGAAACGCTCCCGGATACAGACGAGGCGCATTTTCCGGCGTCAGCACCTAGGTACTTGGTCATGACAGCCTTGAAGTCCTGCTCATCAACAACGGCACCAGATCCACCGCACTTGGCCTTCTTTTGGAGATCAGAGCAGAGACCGTCGAGATCAAGGTCCCCGGACTGTACGCGGGGACAGGCTTGCAGTTTCTCCCTATTCTAGGTGTTAGCACATATCACTACTTGCTCCAAAAAAAGGTAATTTGACGTACCAAATATTGTTACACGTAAGCAGCTTTCCGTTGCTGTTGATGATGGTATCCTCAGATTCCTTACGGGCGTCGATCTCGGCGATCAGGTTCTTCTTAGGCGCGTTAGGACTCGGTGCTACGTTATATGGAGTTGTGAAATCGACGTCAAAGGCGTCATTGAAGAAGCTGTCATCGAAAGTAGCACTCGCAAGGATATTGTCCTGGGGCTCCCGGTAGTCACCGAAAAGCTGCGGATCGAATTGGCCACCATTTTGCTGCGACATCCAGTCGATGCTGGAGAAATCCACGTTTCCCATATTATTAAAATCTGATATTTATGTTAGTTATTAAAGTCATAATGAACAGCATCTTGACGAGACTTACGATTCATAGAATCAGTCGTCAAGGATGGTTGTTCCTCGCCAATCGTGGTAAGAGTATCCACAGGCTTGAAGCCCATCGGTGATTGAGTGCATGGTTCAGGAGAGGTTCCACAAGATGAGCTTGGTCCCATGTTGGAGTTCGCTGTCGACGAGCAAGGAGAACCTGCGTTTGCTCCATTTACGCTGTTGTGGCTAGAATCCAGACTGGTCCTGGATACACTGGCACCGAACGTGCTGTCGTAGGGAGATCCCGAGGATTTCGATGATGCATCTTTGGACTGTGCATCAGAGTTCTCCCTGCTCTTAGCGGATTTAGCGGTGGTCTGGTCCTTGGACTTATCCATGGGGCTATTCTGATTCTGGCTGTTGGGGCTGTTGCCCGATGACGACGTGTGATACAATGATGTCCTGGGGATAGAGGCATAAGAAGTCTGAGGTCCGGGAAGGACTCCAAATTTGGGGAACTCGAATTGGAAGTTGACGTCGCTCAAGTTTTGTATCGCGGCATTGCCAAACACTGAATTCCGACTTGGGTTGCTGCTAGTAGTGACTGAACGCGGACTGTTAAGGAGCGTCAACTTCTTCTTATACTCGTTCAATTCCATTGTCAGCTTGTCGATCTGAGCACGCAGCTGAGTGTTCTCAGTGTTGGTTGCCGTAGAGGCCTTTTCAAGCTCCTCTACCTTCGTCTCGAGGTCCTTCAAATGCTTCTCCTTGCGCTCTCGGAACGCGCGTTGAGCTGCGCGGTTTTGGGCCTTTCTCTTCTATACGTATTACTGTTAGACGTGGTCTGATTCACCAAGACCGATTGGTTCATGCTTGCGACTCACCGAACTAGGCTCGTTCATCAGAGGCTTGCGACCAGGTTTCTTGGGAACCTTTCCTTCACTCTCCCTTCGCTTGCCTCCACCCTCTTCCTCCTCCTCATCCTCGTCATCTGGATGGCTTCTCTTATCAGGGCTCTCCTCATCAGGAGAACTAGCTTTAGAGTCGTCAGTGGGCGAAGTGCCCGGGAGATCCCCAATCATCTTTGCTTGACCGTCATGACCAAAATCGAAATCGAAACTAGCATCAGGTCCCAGATCGTAATCATAATCCAAGAATGGACTCTCCTGGATGCCATTGGAGGTACCGTTCGGGGAAGCCAGGTTGGGTTCAGTCTTCTGAGTCTGGACAGGAGACTTGGACAATGACTCAGGCGAGAGAGACATCGCGTTGTTTGAGCTGCCGCTATTACCGCCTGGCTGGTTCGAAGTAAGAGCGCGGAATAGCAAATTCTGCTGTTGAGGTGTGAGGATGAAATTGTGTAGAGCTTGAGAGTGAGTCGAGGCCATTGTAGCTTGGTTTCTAGGAATGGCGACGACAAGTTAAAGAAGCAATAAGTCACAACTAAGGAACAGCGAGAGGTGAAATATTGAAGACTAGAAGTGATATGAATTGAATACGTTGACGACCCCTCTTAATTGGGTGAAGACGTCAGTGCTCAAGTTGAGCCAACGCTGCCAATGACGACGATTTGGAAGCGGAGCTAAAGGCGGGAGAATGGCTCGAAGCGCAGCAATTGCCGCGCTATAGTGTTGACGTATAAGTCGTCGAAGCTTTGAGATAAGATCGATCTTAAGAGACTTATTGGTGGCCTTGAAGGTCGAAGCTATCCACGACCAAAGTGCCACGCAGATGCTTGAATGTAAGGGATTGGAAAAGAAGAAGACAAAATTCGCCTCCCAGGATTCCTGAGGCTGATAGAAAGACTGGAAAAGGAACAAACGTTTTTTTTCGCCTGATTTCTTTTAGAGGGAGTCGACGTAGGGGGAGCCACACTACTAAAACACACCCCCCTTCTTCCTCGGGACAGCGTGGTCGATGTGAGAGGCTTGTATTGGCTGTATATCGGTAGGCTTGTAAGGTACAATACAGAAAATGTATGTGAAGAAACCGATCTACGAATCTCTCATGATAGGAAAGGAATTCGAGAGAGGGGGGCAGAAGACAGGCAATTTTCCGATTTGTAAGCGCTCTTGGGTACAAGACAAGTTCAAACATTGGAAGGAAACTCGATGTGGCGGGGAATAGGCCTGGTCCTTGTACTGTTCCTTTTAGATCCTTGGCCTTTTGGTATTCGGACATAACGGAGCTGACTGTGGCTGGTCGCCCTTCGTGTGTTTCGCCTATCCGTGTTACGTTCACACCCCCTGATCTCCCCTGCTAGGCAATCTGTACTTAAGATCCACTAGCACCTCGAATTTCGACAGCGTTCGATGTTTCCTTGTCTTCTAGATACGATGCGTACATACATCTGCCTATGTAACTAACTATATACGTATAAAGGCTGCTACATCGCATACATACTTAAACTACTAGTTTGCCGATCTAAAATGCTTGATCTGCGTATGACATCGATGTGACAAGGTGAGCTTGGTCTCCAATCTAACTTAGAGCATGAGATTTCTACAGGACATATATTGTACAAGGTACGAAGCAAGCATTTCGAGAATACCTACCTACGTACTTACCTACCTACATAAGCGATAATAGTCACGGTTGTACTTACTAAGGCCACTTCGATGTACCTAGGTAAGATACACCCAATAGGAGATCTTATGCCCTTGGGGGTTGCAGGCCACGGTGGGATCGGAACGGCGTCCAACGGCTTGTATGATAGGCCGAGTCACGTTATCGGATCTCTATTTAGCCTTTAAGTGGCGGGGATTAGGGCGACATGATTCTATCCGTACATATATATGCCCCGTCTGACCTCGCAGACCTCGGCGGTCGGGCTTTGCAGTCTATGATGGAATAATGGTAGGGACGATGACTCAACGTCAGCCTGGTGCCTGACTGCTGGAGACTGTGCCGTGATCAGCGTATAAATTCCCTAGTATGAAGGCAGGAAAGGGTCACAGGCTAGTCTAGGCCCCTGGATAGTGGGAAGGTCTGAAAAGGCAAGTCCGCATGATACCTACATATAATAAAATACGCGAGGTCAAGATATGTACGGAGGTATATCTCCTATGTGTAAATGTAGGTGCACTATTATATGCACTACCAACCGGTGTTAATGCTTACCTTGCACTCATGTATGGCCAGTTTTCAGGTAACAGTCTTGCTAGGTATGGAATATTCCGTATGAACACCGCTATCTCGCAGCGTAAGCCCTAAGTTTGGAAATGAACACAGGACTTCTAGATTCGAATGCGGTCTTTATTGCTGATCTCCGTAGAAGCCGTGGGGCATTGGCGTAGAATCATTATCTGACCTGCTTCCAACATATTGCAGTGGTACAACAGCTGACTTCAAGGTCGATTGCCGTCTATTCATGGCGTCACAAGAGAACCGGAGTGGGCAGACAACATTCGGCCACTATTCTCTATAGGTGACGGAATTCCAAATGCTGCTTCATAATGTGTGTAAGAGCAAAATGCTTATCCAATGATATGAATGTAGCATATGCCAAGTGCAAAGTGCATATCCCACTCTTAAACCGAAACAGATAATGCCTTGCAGATTTTGAAGAGAGCGGTGTTGAGTGTTTTAATAAATTCTAACAATTGATTGAACTTTGTAGGCGCATATGCAGAAAACCAGAAAAAGAAAGGGGTATCCGATACAGGACTACATCCACGTGATTGGAATCGATACTTCCATAGGTACATAGTGGCGCTGGAAAGACCCAACAAGGTACCTAGGAGAAATGGTGGAAGATTCCCGTACGTACCTTGACAATACGAAGCAGGAACATTTAAAGAGATACATGCTCTATGTGGGCTCGGTGCGGAATTCCATCCACTAAGAAATTGTTGATGCTCATGCCTCCCTAGCTGCGGTTCCCCGCACCTACGAGGGGTGGGAAGATAAAAGGGGCTAAACTGAAAGGGGTAGCAGGTTATGGCCAAGTAAGTACCTCCTTATGCTAATTATGCTGCGTTGGTACAACACTTGACTCCTATTAACGTGCCTTAGCCTTTCGATACGTCAATCGTTAATCGGCAGATACCATCAGCCTCGTCATCTACCCCAAAACATCTACAATATCGACACCGACTTCAGAATACCATTCTTTACATAGTAATTAAAGGAGTTCTAGTTGCTGACATACCACCCCTCTCTATCTGTTGTAAAAGAGGGGTTATCTTTGAGTTATTTGATCCGATACGGTAACTACGGAATTCCATGCCCTGATCCAACCATGGATCTCGCATACGACCACATTGCCGAAGAAGCCCTCCCGAAAGATGGAAACGAGAATCGCGACGGAAACCAAGATGCTGAATCCTCCCAGAAGAAACCCGAACACACTCTCAACGAAGACCTTCAGGAGGCATACCGTGCATTCTCTAGCAGCACTTGGGGTACATGGCTTGGCGGAACTGTCGGTAACGTGATCAAGCAGGTATGGCAATTGCACGAATCCATAGGGGCAATCTAACAACACCCTTCTCATCAAAGGGCGAGTCTGTGTACAGAGAGGCACACCAAGAGGTCACATTGCTCAGTGCAGATGCTACTAGGGGCCTTGCGAACCTCCGCGCAAGAGCTCTCTCGTTAACTACGTCACCGCCTGTCGTCCCGGAACAAGGATCGCAGTCATCTAGCGATAAGGAGAAAGATCCCGAGACTACCCCGACTACAGCGAAGGCCGCCGGCTCCGATGATCCAGCAAAGGACTCCGAAACGGTTATATCGCGGTTGAAAGCAGAAGCCGCGAAACGCCTGAAGGATATTCAGCGTGCAGAGGATGCTGCCGATGAGGCGCTCCTGAAATTCGGCGGGAATATCCGAGATTTCTTCCGCGACGCTGTCATCGTCAAGCCTGCCTCTGAATCCGACGACTCCCAGGGAACCGCTCGCCGCTTCGAAAGCAAGGATGAATCCGGAAAACGAGTAATTCACACCTCGAGATACGACGCACAACTTCATGTTATTCACACGACCGAGAAGAGCTTTACCGAAGATTCTGCTACTACGGAGTATGCCGCATGGGCGAAGAACTTTGATGCGGAGAAGAAGACAGAGAACATCAGTGCCGACTTGGCCAAGTATCCGGAACTACGGGCCAACATGGAGAAGCTAGTTCCCGACAAGGTTCCTTATGCCGACTTCTGGAAGCGATACTATTTCCTCAGACATAGTATAGAGACAGCTGAAGCACGTCGCCGAGATCTACTGAAGGGTCTGTTTCATTTAAAATTTATAGTGTATCTTTATGGACCTAGCTAACTGGTTTTTAGCCGCATCCGCCGAAGAAGAGATCGGCTGGGGCGAGGAGTCGGAGAGCGAGGAATCCGAGGAGGAGGAAGAAGAAGAAGAGGAAGAATCAGAGGAGTCCGACGAGGACACAGCGCCAACTAAGCCAGTAGGAAAGCCGGCGAGGCCAGCTTCTACCGAATCTTCCACGACAATTCACCCACCTGCTCGTGCCGCTCCGGCCAAAGGACATCTCAAACCTGCTGAACCCCGCAAGTCTAACGATGAGAAGTCTCAACCCGACAGTGATACCAGTTATGACGTTGTTGGCGCGGCATCCGGAAACCCAAGCCAGGCCCCTAATAGTCCCATGGAAACTCGGAAAGCGGAGGATAGCGATGATAGTGACGATGAAGAATGGGAGTAATATAGTGCTGCCTGAAGATTGGCTCGTTGGCTCCCTGCTGGTTTTGATTGATATGATTTCGGAGTTATCGTTGGCGTTGGTTGGTCTCTTTTGGATGGCTTCGAATGCATGATATTGTTCTCCCCGACGCTCTTGTATATCCTTACAAGCATATTTCATTGCAAACTTGCTATGTTATATCATGCCGCAAAACTACCAGCGACCCTGTTCTTTGAGGGTCGCGGTAGCAGACTTCATATCTCACATGCTACTGCTCAACGCTTCTTTCGCGTAACTTTTGTAAAGCCATCTTCGTCTACTTCTGGCGGAGGGCGCTCCTTGGGTACCGCAACTAAGGCGGGTGCTTCGTCCATTTCAACGTCCTCATCCTCTTCATCCTCGTCGTCATCGCTTTCCCAGTCGGTTTCCTGGTCTTCTCCATCTACCTCTTGCACCTTAACCGTCTTGCCTTTCGTAGCCAACCATCTACGTCGCAGCTCTTCGACGAATTCGAAATTGCCGGCGGCGCACTGTGTGCGAGCCTTCACTATGCGATCGGCGACTTCGACTTCGGAATCATCATCGACGTTGGTCTCGAATTCGTCCCACATGACCTGCAGCAAAGTGGCTTCAACGTCCTCCGCGATGGGATCCTGGGGCACCTTCTGGGACGGGTTGCGCGGCTTGGCGAGGTCGACGAAACTGGGAAACATATCGACAATGGCGCCTGCAAACCAATCACGCTTGTCATCGGAATCGGGACCGCCTAGGCCGTTTTGGACTGCGACTGTGAGGGAGATCCATAGGTGCAGCGAGATGGCTACGCCTTGTTCGAATTGCGCTTGTCGGGTTTCTGGGGGTTAAAGTCTAGTTAGTTGATATTCGTGTGTCGGAATGAAACCACTAAGCCTATATATAATAAAATACTCATGGGAGAATATAGGAGAATATGATATATACCTGGAGACGTTTCAGCCTCTGTAGAAGCCATTTTGGTGATTTTGCTCAACGCCAATATCAGATTTGGTACTATTTACGTATAGAGGGGCATTTTTTGTACATATTTCGCCCACTTTTGATAATAATTTCTTCCTCCGTTATCGTTCTGCCACTCTTTACCGCATAGCGCATTGCGGGTAGGGGATATGCAAGTCTAATGAACTGAGATTCGCGCTAGCCTCTCTTATCGACAGCCTTTCCCCTTTCGGGTCAGATTCACTGTGAATGGGTCGTTCTGTCTCAGTTTGTCTCATTTCGATCCGAGACGGGTTGGGAAATGACATCACCAATAAATGATATGTAAAATGAGGTAGCTGGGTAGGTGCCAGCTGGATAGCTTGGCTACCTGTAGTTTCCCTACATACCTAGGGATGTATTCTCTTATCCACTTAATACATAAACCCATAAAGCCAATGAGAAAAGGAGTGACAATAGACTTTCTTAAATTGCATCCCTTCTCTCCATTGTTACGCCTGACGGGCTTGTATAACTCACAAACTCCTAAGCTTACCCGACTATCCAATGCTTCGATCCAGGCACACAGCCCGTCACCGCTATAGCTTCTGACAAGCTACGTTTTTGTGCTCCTCGAGAAACATTCGAAAACTATTCGACATACGACACCTAGGCCCTGCTTAGGCCAGGTCGTCATGAATATGAATACGGCTACTGTCTCTATGGCGGTTACGCCGACCGTCTTGTCGACGTTTTTGTCTCACGTATGTGCCCAATCTATTATGATATAGATGGTTTCCGTCTTTCCGACAACCTAGACCTTACGTTGTTATGAATGTGCGGTTGCCATTGGCTTATAAATGGCCGAGCCATCCGATGATATCTCCATGTTAACCTTCCACCAAAATCTTGTTTGGTTTCCTCTGGTATCCACGTAAGGAGTGTGCTAAGCTGAAGTGTGGTGACACTGTAGTATCTGAATCGCAGGCCATTACGCCAGCGACCGACTGCCCATCTATCGTATGACGAAGGCTTACACCTTATACGGTCCTTCCTTACATTCGCGTCGCACCACACCATTGAGGAACTACAGGCTTTCACTTCGCAGTGGGTGCCTCATCCCCAATGGGTTAAAGTGGACCAAGTTGAGATCCCCGAGGAGAGGCTTGTGGAGGCTGCCGGCGTCATACAAGAACAACTAGGGCCAGATGGTATCAAGAAAGTCGGCGGTCAGAATTGGTGGCAATGGCGGAAGCCCAAGAGCCCTCTTCAGGCGGAATGGATAGAGATGAAGGCTGACTATCACGAGCGTAAGAAGGCTAGTGATCCGGGCCGACGAGTTATGCTATATGTCCATGGAGGTGCCTATTTCTTTGGGAGTGTCGATGAACATAGGTACCAGATGCAACGACATGCTCGGAAGCTGAAGGCTAGGGTTTTTGCTCCCGAGTACCGGCTAGCTCCTCAATTCCCTTTTCCTTGCGGGCTTCAGGATTGCTTAGCAGCATACCTATATCTGCTTGAAACCCAAGATCCAACCACAATCATCTTGGCCGGAGATTCTGCTGGAGGCGGAATGGTCATGAGCATGCTGATTATCATGAGGGACAGGTATATCCCTCTTCCAGCTGGTGCCATTCTCATTAGCCCTTGGGTGGACTTGACACACTCTTTCCCCAGCGTTTCGGGCGACTGCCCTCTCGACTACATCCCTCAACACGGGTTTCACCACAAACCATCAAAGGCGTGGCCTCCTTTAAACGCGGATGAATATGCCTTATTAAAGGAACAGGTAGCCAAAAACACGAAGTTGGGCACAACTAAATTGATGAAGCAGGAATCAGTGGAAACGAAGCAACTCCCCCAAGATCTTGCTCAACTAAATGTGGGAAAGGGAGAAGATGCTGATAATAGCAGTCTTGCCGAAACAGGGTTCATCTCGGTTAATCTTGATGGGAAAGAGGTTAAACTCAAAGACCAGATTCAGGTAACTGTAGAATGTAAATATGGATGAGGAAAACCTGCTAATATCTTTCTAGATGTATACGACTAACGAGCTTTTGTCGCATCCTCTGGTCAGCCCTGTGATGCAACCTAGCCTTGGTGGGTTACCGCCTCTGCTCATTATGACAGGGGGCGGAGAAATCCTCCGAGACGAGCAAATATACTTGGCACATAAATGCGCAAATCCTTCCAAATATCCACCTCCGGACTCCGCGATGGATGATGTGGCACGAGAACAACTAAATCGCTACAAACCTACCGATGTACAGCTGCAAGTCTGGGACGATCTATGTCATGTTGCGCCAACGCTCAGTTTCACCAGACCAGCAAAATATATGTATCGTTCGGTAGCACAGTTTGGTGCCTGGGCTTTGGCTAGGGCCCAGAAGACCGAGATCGACATTCTCGATGACGATTCTATTTCGGTTATATCAAGTTCCAGTTCCGTTTATAGTTCCGATGCCGGCACTGCGAATAGAGAAGCTAGGGAAGAAGTTCAATCTGGGGAAGGCCCCAAAGCTGAAGTAGGAAAAGCTGGGGACCCCTTGCCACCTTTCAAGAACCACATGATCCGTCAGCGTGTTAGTCGTCATGGTATTATTACCCCCTTGGCAGCCCCTAGCGAGTTACCCGGTTGTACTATGGATCGGAATGATATTGGTGTCGTCAAGGAAACTCCAGTACGAAGATGGCTCGAAACACGCTCTCAATGGGATAAACGCTTCGGGAGTGTCCGTGCTAAAATTCACAAACGACGCCTTAAGGAGATGGCCGCGGGATATGTAGGCTTCGACGGAGAAATACCACCCCCAGCCGCTCTTGCTAGCAGACGTAAGCCAGGCGAGGACCTAAAAGAGAAGAAGAAGACCAAGAGCATGGGTCTTGCACTGTGGTCTCTCTGGGGCTCTAAACATGACGAAGCTACTGTGCATCGGGAACACGGAGTTGACAAACCTGGGGTTAAGTATGCCACCACGGAAGAAGGAGAAGGAGCCCGCTCCCCGTCTGATATTAAGCTGCAGGAGGACGGGGCTGCCGACAAGGAAGTGACACGCAAACGAAGTCGGTCAAAAACAAAAACTGTTAGGGACGAGAGTCAGGTTGCAGAAGACGATGGTGCTCACGAGGACACTCCTATATCTGTGCTTATGGCTATAAGACAAGAAAAGTCCAGACAAGCCGATCAGCCGCCCTCGGCCGGAAGTAATATGCTCAAGCCAGATTATGTTCCAGATACAGGCGTTACGGGCAAGCGTCCTACCGTCTGCGGTATTGCCGTACCATTCAGTCTTGATAAAGAAGCCGAAACTGCTAGCATGATCACGTTGACTTCAGCACTAGACCAGCCAAGTCGAGCCGCAAGTCCGACACCGCTGAACCCGCAGACTCGTGCTATGGCATCTACCAGTGCTGCTGTCGTCGCCGCTATTACCGACAAAGCAAAGGATGAGGTTATCGATCCCGAAGCAGTAAAGAAAGCAGGATCTACGACCACCAACTCAGCACGAGCCTCCATTGTTGTCTACAGCGATGAGATAGACAACCTTTGGAACGCTAAAGCCCCAAGTATGGCTACTACACCATTCACCGAGAATGGTGATGCAAAAGGAGTTTACGCTACTGCACCGACGACACCGCTGGTCACTATCGACGGGGCCCCTCCTGCCACCGAACGTCCCCCGTTGGAGTCATTCGTTAGTGCGCAGGAAGATCTACCTACGAAGAAATAGTTAATTTGTATTTTCGGAAGTTGGGGATTCAGGGAAAAACGGGATACAACTATATACCCAGATCATATCTCATTTGTCAGACTCAGGACAGTGTGCATGCCATTTATTTACTATGTCTTTTTATATACCCTCGTTTAAATCTTATTCATACCTAGGATTGGGAATTGAATTCTTGCAGTTGCGGGATTGGAAGCGGTTTTGAATTTGAGGTGTTATGCTTCATGTCATTTTCTATAATTGGTATAATACAGATTCTACAGGTCCTTTGATACTCGTGATTCTCATGGCTATAATCATCATATGCCCAAACCGTAAGGACTTCGAAGACATCCGGTTATGGACACGGTGACTTGAGGGTGACTCGATCAACTCAATATTGAGTGACACACCGCAGTCCCGTCTTCTATATTCAGCATCAGTCTATACTGATTAAAGACGACTTTTGCCTCTTCCAGGACAACCTCTCAGTCCAAACCGTTCTCTCGCTTCCACCGGTCCAGATACAGCTCTGGGCTCTTGGGTCCCATGCGATAACCCTCGTACCGACCTCTCGTCCGCCCCATCACTTTTGTCACGAAGGGGGTTAACTATTATCACCCCCAGTTAGTCTCCAACAATTAATAATGTGGCTTGTGTTCGGCTTCCAAAGGTCCCTGGATTCGAAGGGAAGGGGAGGTTACCTTGAAGCTATCCATATTAGGGGGTACGACGAATGTCCGCACCCTGCTCCAGTCGATAACGTAACCACCATGCTTGGTGTGCCGACCCATTCTACCCGTTCGTGTTCCCTTGTAGAAACCCTTGTTGGCATCCTTGGTGGTCAGCCGGAATTTGCGGAATGCCTTGAGCAGCGCCTGAGTGGGCTGCATCGCGGGCGGGTTTTTGTGGGAGGTCTTCCCTTATTCCTCTTTACTGGACGGGTTCGGTGGGAGGATAGGAGAGGATTTGTGCGGCGCAATATGAAAGTCGCCGCTAGTATCGTACGTTGTCCGAGATTAACTGATCGGTATCATGGACTGGCGAAGGTGAAGGCAAAGGCGTAAGTACTGAAGAGGCGCTGTAGTCTGAAGTCGCAAAGTCGCGATCTTGAAAATCGTCAAATTTAAGTGGAGTTCGATACTTTGGTACTTGAAATGCCGTCAAAGTTTAATTGGGTCCCCGGACAACGTTAAACCTTATGAGGTAAATGGAGTTCTAGCGACGGCGGACGATAATACCGAATCCGTTAACCCGTTAATTTATTTTATATATTACGATATATATTATATAAATATATAATAAACTTTAATTATTA